GGACTTGAACCAGTCAGCACTCTGCGAGGATAACAGTACCGCAGGCAGCTCCCTGATGTGTTGTCACAGTGCCCATGCCACAGCACAGATATTTATCAATCTCAGTTATCACCCTCAATGGTCAGTTGAGAAGGTAGAATGTTTATTGAGCACCTGTTATGTGCAAGGTATCAGGCTGGGAATTGAGGGAGCATTTATTATATAAATGGTCAAATATCAATTTCTAACCAACTGAGCTATATTGAGTTGGATGTTCTCTGCTTTCAAAGAGTGGATAAAGCAGAACACATGTATTTGGAAGTTTAATCAGCTGGACAAAGCAGGCCTAAGGCACAAAGCAGTGAGCAAGTACTCTGGTGTCCAGAGGCCAAAACAGTCCAGAAGGATGGTCAGGGAGGAAATGGACTTATAGCTAGGCCCTGATCTCCTTAACAATGGCTGTAACTGGACAGGTCTTCTAGACTGTTCTTAGTTCAAGTCCTGGCAAACAAGTGCAGCCCCACTACACCTTGGCTCCCTTTACTGCCATTGGTGGTGAGTTCGACTCCAGCCCTGTCCACTTTATGATCCAGGACGGGTCCCATAACCTCTTAGACACCAAGATTCACATCGCTGAAAGAGAAGAGGTGGCCAACTGTGACAGCCACATGGAACTACGATGGAAATGAAGTGATCAGAATGCAAGTTCTTGTTAAACTACAATTAATGTCATTATTAACTCATCATTCGTCCTTTCATGTTTTCCCAAGGGATCATCTCACTACTAGACTTGTAAGCTACAAGAGGATCATTCTGGAAACACCTTTGAAATGATCATTAGAGCTGACACTTCCCAACTCTTGACTACGTGCCAGGCATAATTTTGTTACCAGAAGCATTTTCCGTGTTCCCAGTGTCAATCAGAGTAACAAGAATAAGGGATTGGGGTGATGCGACGAGAACACTGAATCTGTCAGATGTGAGCACAGCGGCCATCAGGGTCTGAAGAACTACCACCATGCTAGAGGAAGGTGTTTCGGGTTCACAAAGAAGGAGGTGGTGGTGCAGTGGGATCGTGGAAAAGTTAAAAGCTGGTGGAATTTTGGCTGGAACTAAGATGAATCATTGAAGAAGAAATGACATCTTAATGATACTGAGTTTTCCGTACCACAAAACGTGCTTATTTCTTTCTTTCTTTCTTTCTTTTTTTTATGAGGCCTTCTTTGATTTTGTACCTTAAGGGCCTCACTCAGTCCTCCATTGTCCTAACCCTACTTAAGGCTCACTATCCTTCAATGCCTGATGCTTAGTGTCTTGGCGACCATTTTTTAAAGATATATATTCTATCTGGGTTTTTTGTTATTGCAGCCAAGAGAGTAAATCAAGTCCCTATTACTTTAACTTTTATAGATATAGAAATCTGAACTAATTCATACCAGGATCCCATAATTAGAACTCCCTGAATAAAAGACATGTGTTTTCAGGACTCCCTGTGAAGAAAAGGTTGATCTTCTAGTCGACAGGCATTGGGCACCTGCCATATATCATGTTCTAAGCTGGAAACAGTGGCTACAACCGATCAGACATAACACCTGTCTACCAGTTGCTAGAGGCTAGCTTCCTTCAACTGTGAGATTGACATTCTCATGCCAATCCTGCATCACAGAGGTAGAAGGAAGGCAAGCTAGGGAAGTGAGACAGCCAACGAATGCCAGATCTGGAACTGAAAGATCATCATGACTAATTTTCAAGCCCCAGAGAAGCTCAAAAGCTCACAAGTTAGTCAGTAGTAACTGATTATTATGTAATCTACTGAACCCTGAATACCTTCCTCCAACTGCCATCATGGTGACCGAAATCTCCCTCATGAAGGGCAGGGCCCACAACTTATCCGAGGTTGTATTTCTCAGCATTAGCACAGAGCTTGCTCCAGGATAATGAGTGAAGGATGGTGAATGAATGCATTAATGATGAGCCTGTTAAAAATGATGAGCGTGCTTCTGGGAGGAGATGGGAGCTATCATCACTTGGGGGATGCAGAACACACAGGACTGCTGAGAGAGAGAAAGAGAGCGAGCATGGGAGGTTTCCCACTGTGCTAAACCTCCCTCCAAGTTACTTACTATCTCAACAGTTCAGTTTCCTCCTTGCGTCACACCTACCTTGAGGGGGAATGTCAGGTTCCAATTGGGTGACATATGTCAGGCAGGAGAATGCCCTCAGAGAATGACAGATATGATTGGGCCAGTTTTCTTTGAGCAGCAGATGGGATTTGTGTGGGCCTTGTGGATGTAGAGACCCAGCAGGCTAGGCACGAGGAGGGCCCCTGTCACCACCGCCATCATCCAGAAGCCTTTCTGAAGCCCAGGACTTCATGTAGGTGTGCTGAGTGAAGCCCTGTTAGAAACGAGGCAGGGTCAGCTGCAGCCCCTTTTAGGGCTCACATTGCAGGCACCTCTCCCTGGGCAAGACCCGATAAACATGTTCAATCCTCTGAGGATTAGGTGATTGTTAAGTCACACCACTCAGGAATGAATGGAAAGAACATTGCCAAAGGATGGGGCCAGATCAGAATTGGAGCAGCAGAGCTTGACCAGGCGCCCATCTGGGATGCTGGCGTCAATGGTGGAAGATTAGTTTGCTACACCCCTGAGCTGGCCTCTGGTGTGTGTGTGTGTGTGTTAAAGATTTATTTTATTTTTATTGGAAAGGCAGATTTACAGAGAGAAGGAGATACAGAGAGATACATCTTCCACCTGTTGGTTCACTCTCCAAGTGGCTGCAATGGCCAGAGTTGAGCTGATCAGGAGCCAGGAGCCTCCTCGAAGTCTTCCACATGGGTCCAGGGTCCTCAGGCTTTGGGCCATCTTCTGCTGCTTTCCCACGCCATAAGCAGGGAACTGGAAGGGAAGTGGAGCAGCTGGGCACAAACTGATACACGTATGGGATCCCAGGATGTGCAAGACAAGGATGTAGCCACTGAGCCATTGCATTGGTCCTGTTGTTTTTTAAACAAAAAGTTATCATGTCTTTAAAACTTGGACCTGTCCTACTTTCAAGCAGTTTCCATTTAGAAACATTTAGGGACGGCCCAACATGATAGCTCAACTGGCTACTCCTCTACCTCCAAGTGCCAACCTCCTACATGAGCATCGCTTCATGTCCTGGCTGCTCCACTTCCCATTGAGCTCCCTGCTTGTGGCCTGGAAAAGCAGTAGAGGACAGCCCAAAGCTTTTAGACCTTGTACCCATGTAGGAGACCTGGAAAAAGTCCCTGGTTCCTGGCTTCAGCTAGACTCAGCTGTGGTTGTTGCAGCCATTTGGAGAGTAAACTAGTGGATGGAAGATCTATCTTTCTGTCTCTCCTTAACGCTGTAAAATCTGTATTTCCAATAAAAATACATTAATCTAAAGAAAAAGTGAGAGAGATGAGCATTTAGGAACAACATTCTTTCCCTTTATCACATTAACTTCATTTTTGCATTAGTGATATCTCATGACTTCAGCATCTCACAGACTGTAAGAAATGAAGTGAACCTTGAGACAGACAAGCCGGTCCCTCTTCTCTTGATACAGGTGAGGAAGCCCGCCAAGGTCCACACAGAATTTGCCTTTATTCAAGATCATGTATGTAGCAGTGGAGTTCAGACTAGGCGCCAGGCTTCTGGACCAAAATACTTCAAAACACAGTTCATGGAAAATGGATTTAGAAGGTGAGATGTTTTGGTGCAAAAACAGTTCTGAGATCCATGCACCGTTTGCTGCCAGCACACATTTTCCATGAACTTTTTGCAGACCCCGTTGTCTACCTTCTTCCATGGCAAGACACTCTTGGCAGACCCTGCCTGAGGGGCTGTGAGGTTCGGAGTGAGGTGTATGATATGTGATTCTGTGTGGGATGAAGAGAGAGACTTGAGCTGGCAAGTCTATTGCAACATGAACTCTCATGAGGATGGGCCAGGCTTTCTCTCACATGAGCTATGATGCTCACACTCCCAGCAGAGAGCCACAGTGTGAGCCAAGAGCCCACCCAGGGCCTGTATTGCTGTGAGTGATGTCAGATCCCAGGGCCCCTGAGGAAGGGCCGCTCTGTATGTTCGCAATGTTGTAGAATTAGGATCAAGCAGGGTTTATGATCCAACACCAAACAGTTTATAAGAGTTTGAAATGAAATCTCCGCTTTTGCCCTAACTTGCTGTGTGTCATCGAGTGTATTAGTCTGCTTTTCATTACTGTAACTAAAATAACCCAGGGAAGTTACTTTGGGAAAGAGCAGGTTGGTTTCAGTTTTCAGCATGAGTCTGATGGAGGCTGGCCATGGCAGAGGAGCCAAGGGACAGAGAAGGATCCCAAGGCTGAACTTGAACTGGAGTAATAATCAGATCTTAGGAAAGCCACCTTCCGAGAGTAGAGCCCCTGATGACTTAAAGACCTCCTATGGGGCTCCACTTCCTGGCTGCCACAACTGTATCAAATCTTCTCCCTTCCTCTGTCAACCATTAACTTTAAGACATCCACGTTTGAACAGCTGGAGGAGTCTTGGGGGATAAATTGGACTCAACCCACATCATTGAGCCTCAATTTTCCCAGTGGTAAAAATGGAGTTATTCCACTATGCTAAAATGGGGACAATGCCATCCATCTGACAGGGATGTGAAAACACTCGGTAAACACTCGGTAAGTGGCAGCTGGTCTACCAGGCTCTGTTTTTGTTGTCTAGGCACTTAAATTGGGAGAAATTATTGTCAGTCTTTCTCCCTGGCACCCCTTTCCAATGTGCAAATTTCTGCTTTTTCTCTCATCTCTTTGTCCTCTTCTGGGCTGGCTGATCTGTTAGCAATCCTGGCTCATTTCTTCCCCTTGCCCAGTGCTTCTGCAAATTGCAAGGTGGTTGCTAAGAGATGTCAGGATACAGTGGTGAGCAGCTGGGCACTGCACTCTCATCCCCTCTCCTTCTTTTTCATCCTCCCTCCATTCTTTCTGATTCTCACCACACCCACTCTCCCTTCTTCCACCTGCAGATTCTGAAAAGACAAAGAAACCAATGCGTCTGTATGGCTGCTGTTGCAGATGGGAAGATGGTCTCCAGACCTCAGACAGCTGGCCAGGGACCCAAGGAGAATGTGGCCTGCCTAGATCCCCCAGAGGAGACCCCGGAGCGGGTGCCAGGCCAGCTGGCCATGCTGAAGAAGGCACAGGAGTTCTTCCAGACCTGTGATGCTGAGGGAAAGGGTTTTATCGCCAGGAGTGATATGCGGGTAAGCCAAGTCACAGCTGGCCTAGATCTCCTGGTCTTGGGTGTGGGCTTGCCCAGATGGAGGTGACATCCTTAACAGAAAAGACACAATCAGTTCTGCAAAACAACAGCAACAGTCCAGGAGAAAGATCTCTGGGGAGGAGCCCCATCTCCTGGGTTTATTCTGTGTCTGGCCTTTGCTTACTGCCAGCACTTGGAGCTGTTTCCTTTCTCTGGTCTGGGTCATGGGAAATGACAGTGGGAAACAGATTAGAGGGGATCGCAGACAGAAGCCTTCAGAACCTTTCTGGAACTTGGGGCTGCACTGTGACACTCCAGGTGGTAGGGAAATCTCTATTGTGCAACATGGGAATCGGTAACGTCAGGTGCAATATTTCCAGGTGTCCAGCTCCCTTGGACTTGGTCCACCACTACCTCTGTCACTTTTGGTTCCCGGCACAGCCTTGTGCGAACTGGAAGGGGTTGCAGGCTGCATGTGGCTATGGGCAAGAGCAGGAAAGAACCCCAGGATGGGTCGGGGGGAGAAATGGTGTTCCAAGAAAGTACTGGAGAGTTCACTGCTATTTTGAAAAAGAGAGTTGAGTCTCTTTTTATTTCTTCTTCCTCATTACAAAGAAGACAGCAGCCCATTTACAGATAACAAGATCCATTTTGCAGACTGTTAAGAATCACTTAGGAGCCAACAAGTGAATCAGGTCCAACTCACCATCTGTTTTTGTCAATAAAGTTTTACCAGAATTCAGCCCTGCCCATTCCTCTCCAAACTGCCAGGGTTGCTTCCCCTCTACTGTGGCAGGATTGACTTGTTAAGACAAACACAGAATGGCCCACAAAGCCTGGGATCTAGTGGGCTGGCCCTTTGTAGATAAAATTAGCTGAACCCTAAATTAAGTTAACAAGAAAATTTTAAGAGATTTCTGTGGTAAATTGGCTTGGGTTTTCATCTTGATTCTGCAGCTTAGGAATAACGTGAATTTGTGTAAATCTCCTAACCCCTCTGGAATATAGATCTTCAGCTGTGAATTATTAATGGATGCCTCCCAGCATTAGGAGAGAATTAAAGGAGCTTATGCATGTAGAACACTTAGCCTTAAGCCCAGGCCCTGAAAATCCCTCCATAAATGCGCTGTGCGCACTCCGCATCTTTAACCCAGTCCCTGGTGTCTCCCAAACTGCTAAGCTTTAAAATTGTGGTAAAATACACAAAATATACACTTGCCCACCATAACCATTAAAAACTTTTTTTTTTTTTAATGAAAGGGAGAAACAGAGATCTCTCAGCTGCTGGTTCGCTCTCCAAATGACCCCAGCAGCTTGGCCTGGATCAAATGGAATCCAAGAGCTGGGAACCCCATCTGAGCTTCCCAAGAGGGTGGCTGGCACCCAGTTACCTGAGCCACACTTGCTGCCTCCTGGGGTGCACATTAACAGGAAGATGGAATCAGGAGCAGTGCTGGGACTCAAACACAGGACCCCCTACAATCTGGGTTGAGTGCATCCCAAACAGCATCTTCGCTAGTGGAACTGACATGGTCATGCAGCCATCGCCAGCCTCCATCTCCAGTACTCATCTTGCCAAAACCAGCCCCATTCTAACCTTGTGCCTACTAAATAGCAACTTTCCATTCATCCCTTCCTGCTAGTCTCTGACAGCTGCTGTTCTATTTTCTGTTTCAATATGTTCAACTGCTCTGGGCACCTCATAAAGTGGAACCACACAACATTTACCCTGATGTGACTGGCTTATTTCACTAGGATAATGTCCCCAAGGTCCATCCACCCCTTCTTTTTTATGGTTGAATAATATTTCATTGTAGGAATCTAACCCATTTTGTTCACCCAGTCTTTTTTTTTTATTTTAAAGATTTATTTTTATTGGAAAGTCAGATATACAGAGAGGAGGAGAGACAAAAAGATCTGTCCACTGATTCATTCCCCAAGCAGCTGTAACAGCCAGAGCTGAGCAGATCTGAAACCAAGAGCCAGGAGCCTCTTCCAGGTCACCTACATGTCACCCATTCTTCTGTTGACAGGCACTAGGTTACCACCACCCTCTTGGCTGTTGCACAAATATCTGTGTCTCTACTTCCCATTCTTTTGGGAATATATCAAGAAATGTAATTACTGGGTCATCTAGCTTTTCCATGTTTAACTATTGGAGGACACACAACACCATGACACTGTAATGTAATACACAGGATACCCACCTTTCTCTACACAACTCATCCCTGCCCCCCACCAGTGAATTATCCATTCCAAGGGCCCCATGATGCAGAGGTTGAGAAACATGGGTCTCTATCACATAGTCAGCCTAAGCCAAGCCCTGCAAGGCACAGCATCCTCCAGCATCACCTTCCCATCCTGAAAATGTGAGGATATGGTTGAGTGACCAGTGCTGGGACAGAGGGCTGGACAGAATGCTGGGGTACTCTCAGGAGAGTTCAATTCTGGCTCTGAAGATAGTTCTGTGTGTTTGTAGTTGTGCAACCACATGCTTTAAACAAGGCTGGTTCACAATGCTGGCAGGAGAGCTCCAAGAGACATCGTTTTCCCATGGTTCTGGAGCACAAATTTCCAGCCTGGCTGCGACAAGATGACCTGCTGGCTCCTGGAAGGTGCCCAAAGAGAAGACTTTGAGAATCAGCAGTTGGGGCTGGCCATCACCTGAAGAGGGTGCTCAGTAGCTGGGTCACGGTTTCCTGTCATCACTGGGAGCTGTCCATTTTCTCATTTCAAATATTTGATGCTCCATGTTTGCCAACAGCACAGCAGATCCTGGAGCCACGAAAATAAGTAAACCCAATGAGATCCTGGTCCTCTGAGAATTGCGATTCTCTGTGTCGGCAGCTAATGGCATCTTAGTATATAAAATGCTAAGGCTGAGATACAAGACTTAGGCATGGGAGATATCAGTGGCGGGAACCTGCATGTGTAAACTGACCTAAGCTGGGGTTCACAGAGGCCTTTGTGAGGCAGGATGGCAGGAGCTGAGAGCAGTAGGAATTGGGAATTGCCAGTGGTGGCATTCGAAAGAGTCCTCCAGGCTGTGGGCAATGGGAGTGGGACAAGCCAACTTCCTACCTGCTTCTTGTCTTTATCCTGCCTGTCTTTTCAGAGTTTGGAAATGCTGAGTGAAGCAGGATGTTTAGAAGGCTCTTTGTTGGTGGTGCTGCAGACAGGGACTCTGAACTTGGCTCTGGTGCTGGTGTGCTGGGGTGCGTATGGCAAGACTGTGACAGGCCGTTCTAGAACAGATGTACAGGAGACCCATGACACCATTGCTCAAGCCCTGCATGGGAGATGAGTTTTTTACCCCAGCTCCGGATTCTTGGCTCCTTTCAGGCAAGTCTCAGAGCCTCCTGGACCTAAAGCACACAGGGAAGAAACAACTGCTCCCCTCCACCTTGTTTATCTCACTTTGTTAACACTGTAGTCAGCACCAGGTTCCCAGGGGACAGTACCAAGATAAATTGGCTTTACATGGCTCTCGGGTGCTAGAAGGAAATAAATAAAGGTAATTATGGTTATTAAGAGGAAAAGACTTTTCAAGTAGGGCCAACAAAAAGAGATGCGAGAATCCCATAGGGGGACTGTACTGCTTGCAGCAAAGGCAGAAGCAGCCCCTTAGTGCTGGTTTAACCAGGACAAGCAGGAGAGTGGCTTGAAAGACATTGGATGGCTTTTCCCCCATTTCCACTGACAACACGAAGAGGGAACAGTCTGAGATGTGGGCAAGGAATAGAATTAGAATGCAGGTCGGGGAGCCTTGTGGTCAGTGTCATTTTCTACTTGCCTTTCACCGGAATCCTACAGCCCAGCAAGGCTGTTACACGCACCATAGACCCCATCTCTGATGCTAATAACTCCTGCCTCGCTCCAGCAGTGTCTGCCATCGCTCTAGGGTGTGGAAGGGGGAAGGGTGTGGAGGGGAAGGGAGGAAGGATAGCTCAAGGAAGGACTGGAATCTGGCTTTGATAGGATCTCAGGGGGTCATCCTCCCATCTCTGCATAATGCCTTCTGCTCCCACTAGCACTCTTAAGCCTCAGGCTGGCCCCATCACCCGCCGCCTCAGCCCATGTTCTCTTTTGAGACAGCTGGTTTCTGGGTTGATCACAATGTATATGCTAAGCAGACCCATTTCTAGAATATCTGCACATGCTCCGACTCTCCTTCCCTATGTGAAAAGCACATTCATAGTTACTTCAGTTCTTGCAAATGGTTTTCGCCTCATTCTGTCTTCCAGCTTGGTGAGGCATCATTGTCTCTGACAGCTTAGGCACCTCTTGAATCAAGCATCCTGGCCTCCTAGCTCATTGTAAGATCAAGCTGAGAGTTCTTGCAAATGATGTTATAGGTTTTCATGCCTGTCAGCTCTTTTTTTTAATTGTTCAGAGGTGTATATACTTTCCTCCCTATAAAGCACCTCATTCATTGCCTTCCACTGGAGCAATTTTGTGTGGATACCTGGTAGGTACCCAAGAACACTGCTGTTCCTTCCCTCCTCATGGGGTCCCCTCCGCCCAGCACTTGTGCCTGGTGCAAGCTCAGGAGCACCTCATATCACCTCATCCAGAAGCAAACGCTCCTGGAGGGTTGGTGCTTTCAGCTAATGGCAGTTGACTTCTCGTGAGGAATTGTCAGTCAACTGGAAGCAGAACTAGAATCCAGGAGGTGAAGCCATCACCAAGTGAGGACGGGAATGATCCAACATCAGCTTTGAGCTCAAGGGCCAGAGTGTGAGGAGGGGACACTGGGGCATCAGCTCCTGAGAGTCACACACCTGCCTCTCTCTATCTCTCTCTCTCTCTTCCTCACTCTCTCTCAATCTCACTGGGCTATGTTTTTACATTTTATTTATTTTTATTTCTTCAAGAAACAGAAAGAGCATCCATCTGCTTGTTCCTTCCCCAAATTTCTGCAGAGATTTCTGAGCTAGGGGCCCAAGTCAGGAGCTAGGACCCTGAGCCAGGTCTTCCACATGGATGGTAGAGATTGACCTCTTGAGACATTCATTACCTGCTGCCTCCTAGGGTGCCCCCAGCCATGGGGAAGCTGAGCTGGGGCTTAATTCCAGGCTTTATTCCAATATCTTAACTGCTCTACCAAAAGCCTGACCCTTAGACACCTACACCTTAACTGCAAGCAGAGGTAAGAGAGCTAAAATTGATCCAGAAAGACCTAGGGATGAAACCTTCCTCTTGGGCTGCCATCCACTGAGTGCCTCAGTATCTCTCTCTCCTTTTTCCCTTCCCTCCTCCCTCTCGCCCTCCCTTCCATTCAGTGTTGGATGCTTTCTCTGTATCACATGCTTTGCATCCATCATCTCACATTCCTTTATGGCTCCTAGCCATATGGGTATTGTCCCGCATGTGTGAAGTCCTGTACGGCTTTTGTCTTCCATAGGTGTTGAGAGTGACACCTTTGGAGTGAGTCCTGGCCATGCCACTTCTGGCCATGCAACCTGAAAAGAGCTCACTGAACCTCAAAGTTGGTGTATAAAATCAAAGCATTGTCATGGGGATGAAACTCAGATTACTGTAGACAGACAGACAGACAGGCAGCCAGATAGACAGCTAGAAAGAGAATGTGTAAATCCCCTTGCAATTCGCCTAGCATATTAGCAGGTACCCAGTGAGTGGTAGTTGTTTTGAGACGGAAAGTTGACCAAACCATCAGGGGGCAGAAGTGTGCTTCTGGCTTCGGTGGGACAGGACCAGACTCAAGATCTTTCTCTGCAGAAGGCTCTGAGTCCGGCCAGTGCTAATTGGTACAGTCTGGATCCCTTTCAGAGACTCCATCAGGAGTTGCCACTGAGCTTGGAGGACCTGGAGGATGTGTTTGACGCCCTGGATGCTGATGGCAATGGCTTTCTGACCCCAGAGGAATTCACTACTGGATTTAGTAAGTTCTGGGGAGGGGGATGCCAGGCACCCTAGGGCCAGGGCTCCGCCTAAAGCTGCAGAAGATATTCCTCTCCCCTCGCAACCTGGGACCCACATTGTACAAGTTCTTCTGCTTTCTTAAGGCTGCTCTGCTTGGCCTTACTGGCCTGGTGTTCGTTAGGCTTCTCTTCACATGCTTATCTCTGCTGTGTACGCCAGCACCCACTCCATCCCTACAGCATGGTCACAGTCAAGTCCCATCCACAGGAGGAAGACAATGAGAGCGGAGAGGAGCCCTGGCACAAGGCTTACACGATGGGGTAGGGGAGACCATAATGCCAGTTCCAGCAATCAATCTATCTATCTTTCTTTCTTTCTTTCTTTCTTTCTTTCTTTCTTTCTTTCTTTCTTTCTTTCTTTCTTTCTTTCTTATCACTAACCTGCTTGATTCAACTTGAGTCTTCCTCAGGTTGAGGGATATCAGCTTTGGGGGAGCCTCAGAGGGTTCAAAGTAATAGAGATTCTAGAGATGACCCCAGGAAGAACGAAGATACAAGAACAAGTTAGAGAAGCTAACACATCCTCAGTTCATATCCGTCACCAGGCACATTTTATCAGAGGTTTGCCTCCTGCAAGGGTCCAGGACATTATGGTCTTAGGGGAAATATCGCTGCCTTTCCTGACCTTCGGGAGCTTATCATTGGCATGCTAGGATAAGACAGATTTCTGTAACACCGCACAGTACGCGTGTGGGGAGAGTCACTTATGAAGGGGAAGTATACTGAGGCTAGTGGAGGGATAACATTAATGATGATATAGTTCATAGGCAGACTGCTGGAGCCTGGTGGATGCAGAGTTCTTGTTTAAAGATGAAATCAACAGAGGTGTGTTTTCAGCCAGACTTTTCTGATGCAGTTCATAGGCTGTTGTAAGCCTATGAAATCATTCGGTCTGGTTTTGCCAAGACAAACACAAGCGGGACTCAAATTCAATACATCTATAACAGGCTAATATTTAAATGTTGAAATTTTTTTTTGTATGGCCCCAGGATTGATGGCATACATATACAAATGGCCCTTAGAAGAAGTTTCCTCAACCCTGTTTTAAAACATTTAAGAAACACCAAGGAGTCCTCCTTGTACCTGTCAGGAATTCTGGCTTTCCCAGTTCTCGCATCTTTGGTAGAATGCTTATCCAAGTGAAGACATCCATAGCAGATCTCCGCTGTCAAGTGATTTCCCTTGTTCCTTCAGATGAACTTCAGATGACTCCTGGCAGCTGAGAAAGCTGATCTCCTTGTGGGCCAGTTGTGTTTCATTAGGATCCTTGTGTCTCACACCTTCCAGGTCGCTTCTTCTTCAGCCAGAACACCTCGAGTCTGGAGGATGCAAGCAAACAGGTGGCTGAGTTTCAGGAAGAGAAGGTATATCAGTCCAGAGAAGAGGATCCAGGGGGGACAGACAAAGATGAGGAAGCCCAGTTCCAGAGGCTGATGGACAAGCTTGGAGCCCAGCAAGTTTTGGAAGAGTAAGTGGTGAGCCTGAGCTGGAGGATGGAGGCCAGCCTGGTGGAACATGCCCCTCACCTGCGTGGTATTGCCAGTGAGGACACTGGTTTCTCACAGCTTGCCCTTGGCAATGCCCGCTGGGTGTGTCAGATTCTACTTTGACCTCTTGGCTTTGGTAGATATTGCTATTCTGCTCTCACTCTCTGCTGCCCTCTGGCAGCATAAGCATTGAAACCAAAGCAGGGGACAACCTACCAAGGGTTGGAAGGATGCCCTGGTTCTTCTCTGAACCCTGTGTGGCATCTGCATTTTATCTGTACAATGTACTGAACACCCACAACATGTACAGGGTAGGTGGAAATGGCACACATTCTGGGAAACACCCCCTCCAAGACTGTGCAATGCCATTGGGTACAGTGCTAGGTTCATAACATATAATAACAAATACCTGACAGGTGAGTGGATGGATGAATAGGTGGATGATGTGGCTAGTTGGATAGATGAATGAATGAGTGGCTGGATGAGTGGGTGGATGGATGGATGGTTGTGTTGGTTGGTGGATGGGTTGATACATGGATAGATGGATGCTGAAAGGATTTTTTGGACAAAGTATAGGAAAGAAAGAATGGAAGAGGTGGAATATGGGAAGGATAAAAGGAGAACTAGACAGATGAACAGGTAACTAACCGGAAGAAGGCTCATTTATTCTTCTCTATTGGGCCTGGAGAGTAAAATCTACACCAAAAGAGCAATGCTAACACGACACTATCAAATATTACTTAGGAAGAAAGAGCCTCAGATATGGTGCTTCTTACCCAAGCCCAGAGAATTTCATTCTTTAGCCTGGGAGCCCCCAAGTGTGACTGCCCTCCAAACTGCTTCTGTGATGTAACTGGGAATGAATCAGTTATGTCTTTGACCTAGTTTGTAGATTGTCGAGTCTAAAGCAATAGGGGCTCATGGTGTCTAGCGCCTCCTCGGTGGTCAGAGTGACCCCGTGTGTGTCTTTTCCTGCTCTGGCTGTCACTGCTGTGCTCATTTCTGGGTGTGTTGCTGTGTCTTTGTCTCAGACTCTGCCCTGGACTCTGAGTCTCCCAGCCCTCTGCTCACACGCTCAGCACCAGAGGCCCATCACAGACTTCCCCAGCAGGTCAACAGCCGCGAAAAGGGCCAAGGCAGGAGTCACAGGGCCCTGACTGAGTTGGGACCCCCAACCCAGATCATACCTCTGCCGCTGCTGTGGGACCTTGGGCTGCTCCCCTTTCAGTCTTCCTCATCTGCCAATGGAGCAATACCAATGCCTGCCTCCTAGGAGTGAGGATCGAATGAGCAGAGATTCATCAAGTACCTTGTCAATAGCAGGTTCTCAATGCCTATCACTGTGGTCACTCTGAGAGCAGCAATCACGATGTTGCTGGCGGCTGCACCTGTTGCACCATGCCCCTCAATGAGCCCTGCAGAGCCCCTGTTCTGCAGGCCCATACCCACACCTTTCCTTTTCTTGCAGCGAGAGTGATATCAAGCAACTGTGGTTGCAGCTGAAGAAGGACGAGCCGCAGCTGCTGTCCAGCTTCGAGGGCTTCCTGGCCAGCGTCTTCTCCCAGCTCCAAGAAGCCCACGAGGAGAAGAATGAACTGGAGTGCATCCTCCAAAAGTGGGTAGCCAGTCTTAGCTGCTCTCGGGACCTGGGGACAAAAAGCACAACCAAGGGCTCTTTCTCTGACATCTTCCACCCACGCCTTCCCTGGCACCCCTCCCCCGGTTACCACTATTTGCCAAAGTGGGAGCCGGGGCTCCACCTTCCCTCTCCCCTGCTAACTTCTCCATATAAGCTGGGTGCTCTTTTAAATACTTCACATACTCGATCTTATTTAATTCTTTCAACAGCGCTTTACACTGGGGACTCATTATGCATTATTTGCATTTTACCAAGGAAGAAATTGAGCCCCTGAAAAGCATCTGTCATGCCCCTGAATGCACAGCTTGCACATAGCAGAGCCAGGAGCTGGTATGAGATTGTCTGGTGCCCAAGACCCCAGCACATAGCATCTCTCCCCAGCTGTGGGTCAGCCCTCCCTTGCAGAATGGTGTTTCTGTGAGATGGTCCCAAGCCCTGCCACATAGCCCCCTCCTAACATTCCCTCCCCGGTCATGGGGAGAACAGCCTAGCCTGGTGGGGGGCCTGGGTTTCATTCGGTGCTCAGCAGTCTCAGAGAAAGGCATCCTGGTTGCTAACTGAAAAGGCAGAGGCCCTCATTGCCGCGTGTCTTGACTCACAGGCCAGAATACAGGTCCTCTTCGCTATGGCTGCTTTTCCCCTGGGGCCTCCCTGGTGTCCACTCTAAAACGCACCTGTCCAGCTCCCCTGGGACTCTCTACAACTTGGGGGAACAGTGCTGGAAGACACAGGGCCCAGATCACAGACTCTGGGGAGCACTCCAGGGAGGGTTTCTCGAGACTGAGAGCAAGGCGGGTTTGTGGAAGCTACCTCCATGGTACCTTAGGGGCCAAGGCCCAGACATTACCCACGGGGCCTCCTCGGCTGGACGACGCTGCCTCAGGGAGACACAGAGCCCTGACCCCACCACAGCAGAGCCTCTTAGCTCAGGCATCCTTCTTCAAGTGGCCTCTCCAGGTGTTTGGCTTCATTTCGCAATTGCTTTCAGCTGTTCTTGAGCTGAAAGTCCAGGACACCCTGGGCTGCCCGTGTGATCTCAGCTGGAGTCCACACCCCCTGCCGGCCAATCTTCAGTTATCTCTGCCAACCTCACCTGCCTGGGCAGCCGTGGAGGGATCGCAGCCTCACGGAGCTCAGTGGCCAGTCCTTTTTCAGGAGACACGGAGCATTTCTGAAGTGAGAATGCAGAGTCCCAGGTCCTTTCCCCTGCAGTTTCAGAATCAGCGTGTCCTAGGGAGGCGGCCGAGGCACACTCACCACAGCACATGACCCTCGCGGTCATGGCACACGCAGGGCATGGACCCCACTGCGAGAGGCGCTGCGGTAGCCCTGTTCTTCCAGAACCAGTCGGCATGTAAAAGCGCAGCGCCAGGTGTGCCCTTCCGGACGGTGTTGCGTCCTGATCCCGCGGTGAAGGTGAGCCGACCATTGACGCGCTTTATGGGTGTGTGAGTAGGTAGGGCAGAAGCCCGTTAACACTGCCCGGTGAGCAAATGGAAAGGTGAGGGCTGTCGGTGCCCTGTGTTCACCGGGGCGTGATTTGTAAACCTAATGAAAACCAGATTGCTTTATAGGGTGGGTGACAGCTGCCAAGTTGGTTCCTCCAAGGCAACCCCAATCTAATTAGAAAGAAACTCATCCATCTTGGAAATGCAATTGGTGATTTCACAGGCTGCAGAATTTCCTGCACACTTTTTTTTTTGCATTCAGTTGTACTCCAGTCGCGTGTGAGTGTAGGCATGTGTGAGACGTGGAGACGGACACGCAGGCAGTTACAGAGGAAGGGAAAACACTTCAGGGAAACAAGAAAATTCAAAGTTTTCTAGCAAGAGCTTCTTCTTGCTGCTTCCTTAAGAAGGCAGCAGGGGGCAGTGCTGAGTCTCAAGCCCCTCCATAACCGTTCCATCTCACCTCCAGCCCAAAGCTGAACTCTCAGCTGAACGGGCTTTCACACACCGTCTTCTCTCTCTATGGGGTCTGCGCTCTGTGTCCAGGGAGGAAAGGGGGCCAAGCCCCTTGCATGGTCTTGTCGTCCTTCAGCTTGGGCAGTGCAATAAAGCCCCATTTCCTTGCTCCAGTTTCTGCTCACTCCATGGCTAGCAGATTCCAGGTGGAACTTGGAAATGTGGGAGGTTGTCAGTCACCAAACCTGAAGCCTGGACCCTCTCCAATCTCCAACGTTTAGCACTTTGTAGCTTCCTCATCTCAGAGGCCAGCTCTTCTTTCCCGTGCAAACAGCAGAGGTGCTGGGAACGCAACTTTCTGAGCTCAAAGCTTGCCGGTATGCCCACTCTGTGCGCCTGCGTTGTGTTGCTCTTCCACAAACCAGGAGAGACATACATCAGACACTCCCTTCTCAGCCACCAAGAATCGCAAGAAGTCAGCATGAAAATCCTCCAAGGCCAGGGGCCATTTCTAAAGTTCATGCTCCCAAGATATGTCCCAAATGTAGAAAAATGCCATTCATCTCTCTAAAATAAAAAAATCACACCTCCTCCTCCTTTTTTTCTAAGATTTTACTTTTATTGGAAAGGTACATTTACAGAAAGGGGAAACAGAGAGAAAGATCTTCCACCTGCTGGTTCACTCCATTAATGGCCACTTCCTTTGGGTCTCCCATAGCGGTTGGAGGATCTCAAGGCTTTAGGCCGTCCTCCACCACTTTCCCAGGCCACAAGCAGGGAGCTGGATGGGAAGTGGAGCAGCCAGGATAAGAACCGGCACCCATAGGGGGATGCTAGAGCTTGAGGGGCAGGATTAGCCACTTGAGCCATCACACTGACCCACACCTTCATTTTAAAATGAACAAGCTCCTTTTATTTTCCCCCGAGATTGATTTCAGTATGCCTCTGTGTAACACCTAGGAAGTGAACTGCATGACTGTCTGAAACCCTCAGAAACACCAACAGCTTTTACTGGAAAAGTGAAGCCAAAAGAGGGAGAACGCACGGGGAGAGGAAACGTCCTGAGAGGGGAAGCTCAAGCGCGAGCGTCACAGCCACAGCCCCGGCGCCCCGGCGTCAGCGCCTCGCTCCAGCGTCACACCTTCACCCTCGCTGTGCCAAGTGCTTGGTGAAGGTTCATTAGTCTCCACAGTCCCTGTGGGAGGCTGGCGGGCTAAGTGACTGCTAACTACATCTCACCTTGCAGTGCTTGGCAGATTGTATCTGTGAAAGGCATCCAGAGTCTGAGCTGGTGTGCGCTTCGGCGCCGGGTCCTTACACCGCACTTCTTTCCACAAGCCCCGTTTCTTTCCCCATATTCCAGCCCACCACTACTCCAAACTCTCCTCTCTCTCTACCCCCACTTCCACACATACCACCCCTCCGCTCCCTACACACACACACACACAGCCACCTTCTCAAGAGAGAGGTGTTTGGCCAGAGCTGTCCTGATGCCAATCTGTGCCTTGGATTTGGACCTAGGTTCTTTATATACATGCATATAAATATATATATGATTTACTTATTTATTTATATTAGAAAGGCAGATTTTACAGAGACAGAAGGATATTCTGTCTGCTGGTTCACTCCCCAAATGACCACAACAGCCAGAGCTGAGGCAATCTGAAGCCAGGAGCCAGGAGCTTCTTCCGGGTTCCCATGTGAATCCAGGGAACTTCCTCCATGTCTCACATGCAAGTTCAGGGGTCTATGCATTTGGACCATCCTCTGCTGCCTTCCCAGGCCATCAGCAGGAAACTGGATTGGAAGTGGAGCAGCTGGAACATGAACCAGTACTCATATGAGGATGCTGGTGCCACAGGCAGAGACCCGACTTTTCTATGTCACAGGGTCAGGCTCTGGAGTGATACTTTAAGAAAGGCTTGACCAACTCTTGACAATATTGGAAGAGAGGCATGAGTCTCTCCACACATGGTCTTGTCTTCAGAAGGGTCAGCTGTCCTCGTGTCCTCTGTCTGCTAGCACTTGGTCAGCCCTGTCTGCGCCTCTCTAAACCCTGAACACTGGGATGCTGTATGGTCCCGCCGCAGCATCTGCTTGGCTTTCCACTGACATCTGCGTAGGGAATGGTGATGTTCGCAGTGGGATCTGTAAGCCTCAGGAGAATCGGAGCACTTACACAGAGTGGGTATCCACTGCCCCTTGTGCTAGGCGCTTTTACAGGCATTATCTTTTCCAACCTCTCAGTCTGTTTCTGACGAAGGCATTACCATCTGATTATTCAAATGCAGAAAGCCCCAGGCTAATTGATGTGACAGGGACTTGTCCAGGTCTGAAAACTTGGAGGTGTCAGAATAAGAATTTGGATGTAATGAACTCTGAGACAAACACAGCAGAGTTGTGAATTAGACTTAACCTAGAACATGATAAAGGAACTATTCAGCCATCAGAAGGAAAACAAAAGACAGGAAGGATAGATATTGGCTCTGTTAACTCTGGCTGCCTGCTGCTGCTCCCTTGTTGCCCTCCATCCCTTTCCTCTTCCTTCCCCTCCTCATCCAGCTCAAGATGTGTAGGATCAAGTCGGGTGGCAGAGCAAGATAATTCAAGTGTTGGGGTGGGAGGAGGGTTTGGAGAGTGGCTAATAGGTTGACGAGTTATTCCCGTGTTTTATTCATCAATAGCTCGGCGAACTCAACCACAGGTGTTAGCTTTGTCTTATTCAGGATTTTCTCTAATGGCTTGAATAAAGGGAGAATAAATGGAGAGTATTTTGTAGTAATGAAAAGTTCTATCTGTAAAGAAACTATTATGAGATACAAACTTTTATGCATGAGAAGACATATAACAGCATTAAGGCAGAAACTTTAAACAAAATTACTGACAAGGCTTGTTAGATGACTTTAAAATACTTATCTCAGCTTTGACACATTAGGCAAGAATATTTTAAAGATAGCAAGTGTTTGAAGCCTTTGATCAAACCTTTAGAAAGGAACATACAACTGTTTGCCTTACAAGTAAAATATGCATCCTTTTCATAGAGAGCATGCAAGCATTGACAGGTTTTTAGCTAGAGGCGTGGTTTACAGATTCCAAAAATAGACAATGTGTCAGTGTATTCTCATATAGTAATACAATAAAACTGGAAACCAATAATCACCCATTAAAAGAAAAAAACACTTCAAGATTAAGCCTCAGGTAAATTAAATCATATGTATTAACACTAGAGATGATTTAGCCTGAATTCTGACTTTTAATCCAACTTTCAGATCTCAGCAGAACCTGGAAATCATTGCATCCTCTAGGTGACCCATGGGAGGCATTCACGACCTGGCGGGCTAGAAGAGCGGATCTGCTGAAACTGACCAGTGCGAACTGGGTCACATTCATGATCGTGCTCTGTGTCCAAAACACTGATGTGAGAGACGTTGGAGAAGCAGTAGCACCCTGTTTTAAATAGAAGCAAATGCTTAGGTATCAGATGTAGAGGTTTTAGTTGGCAAAGGGACTCAGCATTCATTGACGATGATGCATCCTCCAGGAAAGATGTAATACGACTGCATGAGTAGTTAGACGGCTGCTACAACAAGTGAAGCAATGGTCAGTTCTCATCTGTGCCAATCAGGCTCGTATGCTGGGCATTCAGTTTAGGGTTCTTTGACTTAACAACGGTCATTACAGCCCATTCAGAGAACGGGAATAGGAACTTCCAAAAAAAACCAATCTATGTAAGGCAGAATTGGAGGAAGGAAGAAGGCTTGGCCTAAACCCAGAGCAACTTCGAAAAGTTTCCATGCTGTTTTCAAATGCATTAAAGGCTTTTTTTTTCTTCAGCAGAGGGATACAGTCATTCATAGAAAGACACACTCTAGGAACCAGAATATTTTGAAAAGAATTGCTTAGAGAGGAAACAAGTTTCCTGTCACGGGAGGTGTTCTGGCCTGGTTTGGTTACATTCTTGATGCAGGTACTGTGGCAAGGTACTGTGGCAAGAAATCCTGCCAACCTCAACATTCTGCTACTGCACCGAAATCTAGCATTTCTTCCATAGGCTGCATGAGTTTCTGAGCTTTGTGCCCCAAGTTGTAAACAAGTCATTGCAGGTCTCCACCTTTAACAATTTGGGTCACAGCCCCAATGGGTGGCGTGAGATAGCCTCAACCAAATGGCCCAGTTGTGCAGGCTCATTTACACTTATATGTGCAGGGATCAAAAAACAGAACGTCTGGTGTTGGGAGACTTCAGAGAAGGGATCGAGGGAGACAAGACCGGGAGGTCTCGCAATGGATGCAACAGGTGGCACACAATAAGCATCCAGGGTGGGCTGCCTTTCTCCTCTGATGGCAACACATGGTGCACCTTGCTGGAATGCTGCCCGCCAGATGAGCAGGTCTCAGGAGGGCGTCTGCAGAGCTGCCTGCAGCTGCAGGCTCTGGGAGCCACAGCTTCTGTTCACTCCCAGCCTGGGTATCTGATGGATTGGTCTGACAGCAGTTTTTATTGACTAAGCCTTTTGCTTCTTGGTTGGCTGATTGCCTCGGAGCCTTCCCAGACTCAGCAGCTTTCTCATCCTTAAAGCTGACCTCTTCTTTCTCCTCGGGAGCATCGTCCCTCATTCTGCAAAAAGCCTGGGACAATCATTGCAATCAGAAATGTTTCCCTTATGCCTATGCCAAGCCTTGTAGCTCTGAACAGTTTCCATGCCATTCTCTTTTTTATCCACCTGGTGATGCAGGGAGGGATGTGCACCGCGTGGTACCCTGGGAAGAGAGGAGGTCAGAGCATATATTGCCCAAAGTCACACTGGCCCATGAGCTGGGTCAGTGATGTGGCAGGTGTGAATTGAACCCACCTGCACCTGCTCCTGGGACTGCTGGGTCCTGACCCAGGCTTGTCAGGACATCGGTTGGGCCTGGAGAATTTCCGAAGATACCAGCATGTCCAGGTGTGCCGCTGGGGGGGCCCAGGACTACTGAGGCCCACCTCGAAGTACCGGGGGGACTGCTTGGCAATGACCTTGGCCATGGTGAGCAATAGCCATGAGGAGATGCCTCTGGGACCTTGTGGTTGTCTTTCCTGTGTTTGGATTTTAGTGGTTTGTAAAATGAATAAACTCAAGACCAGCAAACTGACACATGAACAAGCAAAGCTTGGAATGTGCTAATTTAATTGGATGCAGAATGGAGCGATTAATATAGTACATTGATGAATATTACAGAATTAATGCCCTCCATGGTTACTAAACGCAAATGGTAAACAGCTTAAATGAATGACTCGTGACTGGTATTGCTTTAGTAGGACTAAATCTGTTTTCACCTTCTCTTATCTCGTTTTAATCTATTCTCCAGTATTTATATAATTGGACTCCCTAGCTAACGTTTTCCTTACCAGAACTTGCTAGCGAATAGGTTTCTTGGAAGGCAAGATCACTCCAGGAACCAACAGAATACCCGCTTGCTTCCCTAATCCAAACTGCATCTGGGGTGTTCCTACTCCCTGGCGTGGGCCTTTTCTCTGTGTTGTCACCCCAAGATTTTCTCTTCACTCTTATGGATTAGCTGGAAAACAGAAGGAACAGCCACAGATGTCTGCCTTCCACCAGTAAGATGCGTCTTACACTTTAAAAAGAAGAGATTTGCTGCACCAGGGATGCCAAACACTTTTAGAGAAACAGGGCCACTGTTCAGGGCAATCATGGAGGGCATTCATCCTTTGTTACTTGTGCCCTGAAGCCATCATTGTATGGTTTCTCAAGTGCTGGGCCTGCAGCCTGCAAAGAAGTGGGCATCAAAGATGGGGCATGCGACACAGTCAAGCAAGGTGCAAGTGGCCGTGTCCTGGGAATGTCAGTACTGCGGTGTTGTAACTTCCGGTTTCCATTCTTGTGCCAATGCCAGATTCTCCCTACTGGAATATTTTGGCTGGGGGAGGGTGGGTGGTTGGCGAAGCATTAAAAGAAGGCTCCATTATTGGGAGAGAAGGAAGAAGGGAAAGGGCTTATCTCAGAATGATCTAGTGCCCACCCCAGATGTATTGCTTGCAAGGATGAGGACACAGCATTGTCACCGCTGGCCTTTAAGTAGCCTCAGCCTCCTGGAGCTCTCCCCTTGTGGCCTGCATCTGAGCTGACCTGCACCTGGCCCTTGCCTCTGTGGTGGAAGGCGAGGGACTTGTTACTATTGTGAAATCTTCTGGGGGCTCATACAAGACCTATGGAAGGCACAAACTTCAGCATATGATTTCAGGGCACATTCTCTGATCATGTCACCATAGGCAGGTGGAGAGAAAGTAAGCAAATCAGGAACACAATCAACTCTGCCGTTCAGTAGGGAAGGGTTCTCTCAACTCACTTCAGACTGTAAGCCCAGGATCTGTGAGTGTAGCAGGGGAAGGTGGGGGGGGGGCAGGATGCTGGGCCAAGGAACACTAGGACCATATGGGAGTGATGGCTGGGGAAGCGGAGACAAGTAAATGTGTCACAGGGACCCTTGCAGCCCAGATCAGGTGGCTAAGCCTGTATCCCTGCCAGACTGACCAATCCGAAGGGTGTGATGCTGCAGCCCAACTGGCCTGACCAACAGTCTCCCTGCCTTCTCTAGCTTACAAGGTAGGCTTGCAGGTGCAGATCATGTCAGTATCTCCCCTTGCTGTCCATGTAGGAAAATTGCTGCCTATGATGAAGAAATCCAGCATCTGTATGAGGAGATGGAACAGCAGATCAAGAGCGAGAAGGAGCAGTTTCTCCTGAAGGTGAGTGGCCCTGGAGCGCCTGGCTGAGCAGGGGTTCATGGTTCTGTTCTCTCCCCTCAGTGGACAATCACAGAACCTGCCCACTGCACTGTTGAGCCTTAGAACATCGTTTCTTTTTTTTTTTTTTTAAAGATTTATTTTTATTATTTTTTCATTGGAAAGGCGGATATACAGAGAGGAGAGACAGAGAGGAAGATCTTCCGTCCGATGATTCACTCCCCAAGTGAGCGCAACGGGCCGATACTATGCCAATCCGAAGCCAGGAGCCTCTTCCGGGTCTCCCGCGCGGGTGCAGGGTCCCAAAGCTTTGGGCCGTCCTCGACTGCTTTCCCAGGCCACAGGCAGGGAGCTGGAAGGGAAGTGGGGCTGCCGGGATTAGAACCGGCGCCCATATGGGATCCCGGGCGTGCTAGGCGAGGACTTAGCCACTTGCGCCACCGCGCCGGGCCCAGAACATCGTTTCTTAAAAAAGCCTGTATCCCACACATTCCAGCCATGGCCAGCTGTCATGACACACATCTGCTAGCCAGGAACCCCTCTCTACTGATGCAGCATTCACTAGCTCCCCAATATGGGGAGTCAAGGATGGCCTTTCTTCCCAAGCCTTTTGCAACCCCATTCAGTCTGCTTTCCAACCCATGACCTGTGACAGATGGCACGATGTTTATGTTTCTATGAATGGGAGATCTAGAGAATGAAGCCAGTCGGCTGTGAGAGCAGAGACTCAGAGCCAGGTCTCCTGATGCCCAGCTTAGGCCCTGCCATTAGACCTGGCTCTGTTGAGAGTGTCCAGCATCCCAACAGCACATGTGATCATCATCCTTCATCCATCCCACAGCCAAGTCCCCTCAACACCTGCATCATCGGGTATGTCACCAGGGCCTCAGCATCTCTGGGGTACCAGGGAGGGGCTGTGAGACAGCAGAAAGAGCAGGGCAGGAAGAGCTCTGCCACAGGAGGGTCATGAGCTACTTGAGCCTTCCCCAGCGAGCACTGTGCTCCCAGAGGGCAGCTCAGTGAACTGGTGACAGTGCCCACTGGGCAGCAGCATATCCCACCTGGAAAGGGGTCTGGGAAGCCACCTGCCCACCTCTGCTACTCTCCTCCATCTCTCAGTTTACAGAGATTGAAGCTGAAAGTTTGAACCTGAAGCCTGTCCCCCTTGTTTAGTACTCCATTGGTAATGGGCGCCTGGGAGGGAGGCGGGGCCCAGTCACCAGTGGCAGTTACGCATTATCTGTCTCAATCTTACATGGTCCTCACTGATGCTGCAGGCAGGTAGGACCTCAAATTCCAAAAGTTAAGCCCTGCCGTTGGGTAGGTCAAGGTGAGGGAGGTTGGGGTAACTACATGGTAGGTGCATTGTGTTTGGACCTCACATGATCTTCTTTCTGGCCCGGAAGGACACGGAGAGGTTTCAGGCCCGCAGTCAAGAGCTGGAGCAGAAGCTGTTGTCTAAGGAGCAGGAGCTGGAGCAACTCGCCCAGAAACAGAAAAGGGTATGTCCTGTGGGGGTCCTCAGAGCCTGTGGCTCTTCTTCCCACTCTAGTCCCTGGCTCTCGCCCCTTTCCTTTGCCCTTAAAACTTTTCCTTCCTTCAATTCTTTCTTTCTTTCTTTCTTTCTTTCTTTCTTTCTTTCTTTCTTTCTTTCTTTCTTTCTTTCTTTCTTTCTTTCTTTCTTTCTTTCTTTCTTTCTTTCTTCCTTCCTTCCTTCCTTCCTTCCTTCCTTCAATTCTTTATTTCTTCCTTCCTTCCTTCCTTTCTTCCTTTCTTTCTCTTTTAAATAATCTGAGAAGAACTATGTAGCTACCCAAAAGATAGCATTTAAAATCCCAGGTTGTGCTGGTATTGGGGCACAGCAGCATATACTGCTACCTGCAGCACCAGCATTCCCTAGGAGCACCAGTTCAAATCCCAGCTGCTGTTTCTGATCCTGCTCCCTGCTAATGAGTCTGGGAAAGCAACAGAAGATGGCCCAGGTGCTTGGGTCCTTGCCACCCACAAGGGAGACCCAAAAGAAGCCCCTGGCACCTGACTTCAACCTGGCCTTGCCCTGGCTACTGCAGTTATTTTGCGGTGGAGTGGGAAAATGAACCAGTGGATGGAAGATCCTCCTCCCTCTCTCCTTCTCTTTTTCTCTTCCTGTAACTCTGCAAACACCTCCAGCAGGAAGGGTTACTCCAGAGGTCCATCTGTCCCACCTTCACCTGCCCACATGTCTGGCTGGAGTCATCAGCATCCTCCGAGTGTTTCATGACCTTGCAAGGAGGACACAGGCAGCATACAGGTCATCTGTGATGTACCTGAGCCTGCGGTCTGATTGCTCAGCCAAGATCCCATGCTCAGGGCCTCCATGCCAAAGCCAGGGCTCCTGGAGGGACAGGGACCAGGGTGCCCTGGGATCCTGTCCTGTTTTGCCCAGCCCTGGACAGACACAGGCGCATTGCTTCTATGTGAATAGAAAAGGCTGTTTTGGGCCACATGTTACACTTTGCTTGAGAATGCCCTTGCCGATGCTGAAGACGGCCACACTACTCACCCTTCCCCAGCTGTGGCTGCAGGTGATCTCACCCCCAGTCCCCACCAGCCACCTTCCCTGTCCCCTCACTCCATCCTCAGCTGAGCTTTGCTTTGTCCTCCTTTGTCTCTCTGCACCGAGCCTCTGCCAGCTAAGCTCTGATCCCCAGAACAAATGTTTGCCACTCGATTTAATTACGACATGCCTGCCTGATGACATGGGAGCCTCTTGAGAACGGCTCAAAACTCCTCATGGGTCCTCCCTCCTCCCCTGACTGGCCACATTCATTAGACTAGATTTATTACGATCTGTTTATTTGCTTTGGTTTGAGGCTTTCCCTGGTGGGAAGGTTGGAAGCCTGGCAAAGCCAGATAAAGCTCAACTTCTGACAATGCGGATTTTAAAGTTGTTCAGCGACATGAAGAAAGCTATGTGGTCTGCTTGACCTGTTATGGTCAGTCTCAGAAGGTCCATGATTTCTGGCTACTAGATTAAAAGAATTGGAAAGGGGCTGGCATTTATGGCACAGCAGGATAAGCCAGCTATAATATTGGCATCCCCTTGGAGTATGTTTGTATCCCACCTGTTCTGCTTCTGCTGCAGCTCCCTGCCATGTGTCTGGGAAAGCAGAGGGGGATGACCTCAGTGCTGGAGCCCCTGCCATGTATGTGGGAGATACAGAGTCCCAGGCTCCTGGTGTTCACCTGGCCCAGCTCTGTACATTGTGGCCATTTGGGCAATGAGCCTGTGAATGGAAGATGTCTCTTTCTCTCTTTCCATGTGTCTGTCTGTCTCCTCCTTCTCTGTAACTATGCCTTTCAACCAAATAAAATGAATTTTTAAATAAAAGAATTGAGTTATTTGGCTGAGAGAAGAAAAAAAGAGTAGAATCATTACCAGTGTTTAAAATTTACCGCACTTCCCCCCCCCCCCCAAACTTATCTATTTATTTAAGAGAATACAAGAGAGACTGAGAGAGATTTTCTCCACTTGCTGGTTTACTACCCAAATAGCTTCAACAATTAAGGCCTAAACCAGGCCCAAACCAGGAGCCTGGTTCTCCATCCGGGCCTCCCACATGGGTGCAGGGACCCAAACACTTAGGTCATCACCCACTGTGTTCCCAGGCACACCAGAGGGAGCTGCATCAGAAACACAGCTGCCAGGGCTACAGCTAACGCGTGGATCGCAGGCAGCAGCTTGGTTCACAGCACCATAGCATTAGCCCCTAAGGAAGATTTTCTAAAGAACACCACTGAGTTCTTCTCCCTTTCCATCAAGGAGCAAGGAAAAGAACGATGGACTTGAATGACAACAGGAGGGATTTAGGTTAGATCTCAAGACCTTTCTGATTTGAGGATGAGAGTGAAGAATCTGCTTTGGAGTGGGCCAGCTCCCCCTGTACTATCCAGTGGTTTAGTGTGGACACAAGGGGAGGAATGGAGCTGTGATCTGAAAGCTTCCTGCCTTCAGAAGTGTGCATACAGGAAAGAAGGGAACGGGTGAGGCCTGAGGACAGCAGAGGGGGAGGAGAGTGGACCAGTTCCTGCCCTCCAGAGGAGAAAAGCAGGTGGCCACTCAGCATGCCACACCTCTCCTCTTTGTATTGCAGCTGGAAGGCCAGTGCGCAGCCCTGCACAATGACAAGCATGAGACCACGGCTGAGAATGCCCAACTGAAACTCACCAACCAAGAGCTGGCCCGGGAGCTGGAGCGCACCTCGCGGGAGCTCGAGGACACCCAGCGGCAGTTGGAGAGCCTGCAGCAGGAGGCCTGCCAGCTCCAGCAGGAAAAGGAGATGTGAGTGTGGCCCTGGCTCTCCTCCAGCTCCAGCTCGGCTGTGCGCCTGGGGTCCCCTCACTCTCTCCCCTCTTCTTGTCCCGTGGGGCCTTGGGTTCCTTGCTTCCTGAGACCTCTTAGAATCCATCCTAGGATTTTCAAGCTATTAAGAGCAGACTGGTATTGTTCCAGCAATTGCTTAGTATGGACAAGGAACCGACAATCCTGCCCTTGGACAAATCATTACGTGACGTTAAGGATGTGTTATGGCGCCAATAAACATGAGGCTGTCAGCGAGTAAATGCTAACTCAGCCAGCAGACCTTGTTTGGTGGACTGTCCCAGTTTAGAGACCTGGGTTGCAGGTTGGACCACAGAGCAGCCAGAAATCTGCCTGGGTCAAAAGATAGTTAATGCAGTGTTCTTAATGATCAGACGGTGTGATCAGAATAGGCCTGGTTTGCCACTGAACTTCCTCTGGTGGCTGGCTGTTGGGTTTGACCAACCAGATTGAAGTGTACCTGTGCAAGAGTCAAGGGGGTGGCTTGGGCCCTCTAGCTACAGGGTCCCTGCAGACTCAGCCATTCAGCTTGCCCTGGAAGTGGTAGGTTTTGAAGGTGCGTGCACTCTGAGGCCCACAGTTATGTGCTCATTTGACTCATTTGTTTTGCACAACTCCTGTTGAAAGCTGTTCCGTGCTAGTTCCTGTGTCAGAAACATTCAATGTGTGTTGCCTCCTTTGACCTTTACAGCATCCTGAGCTGGCTGGTCCTATTCCTAACCCTTTTTAAAAATGAGATATTGAGGTTCAAGAATTTTTAAGGGACTGTTCCAAGATGCTAAATGCTAGACACATCTTGTTGACTCTCTACCTCACCCCTCCTTCTCCCCAGCTGGAAAACACCAAAGTTTGTGGAAAATGGAATTAAAAGATCATGTAAAAGTCTCATGCATTTTAAAAAGGAAGTGTTATTAAAAGAGAAGGGCACACACACATACAAAAACACACAGACTTATCATGCCATGATTTACTGCCCTGATGGCCACAATAGCCAAGGCCAGGCCATGCCAAAACCAGGAGCCAGGATCTCTATCTGGGTCTACAATGTGAGTCATAGAGGCTTGGACCATTTTCTACTGCCTTTCCAAGTTTGCCCCAGCACTGACCCCACCCCTCATGTTCAGAGAGTAGGACCGGGCATCATCCCTCATTCATTTATTCTTATACTCCTCATTCATTCTGCCAAAGGTAATTTTAGCTAGTCCTGAAGATGCCACGCTACATAAAAAGTCTGATTCCAGGGCAAAGAACAGTCATTACTTACCAATACTGGATGGTTAACAAAGGCTCACACTCCTTATTCAAAAGCAAAAGTCCTCACTTTGTGTGACTACTGGCAAGATCCATGTCAGTTGGGTTCACGAGTAGAGAAGTGTGTCATTTGGTCTTGCTTGCCTAGAGTGAGGGGGAGGAACTGCATTTTGATTGGGAATTTCATGCTAGAATGATGTCTGTAGTTCATAAAAGAGAGGAGTAGGGTGGGCATTGGGATACAGCTATTTAGCTGCCCCTTGGGACATCCGCATCCCTTGTTGGAGTGCCTGGGTTGGAGGCCTGTTCCCTACTTGCAGTTCAGCTTCCTGCCAATGTGCACATCCAAAGACAGCACATAGCAGCTCAAGTACTTGAGTACTCAAGTACTCAAGCCCCTATGACTCAACATGGAAGACCTGGGCCAGGTTTGTAACTCCTGGCTTCCACCTGGTCCAGCCTCAGTTGCTATAAGGAGTGAATCAGAAGATTGGAAGATTCTCTCTCTCTCTTTTTCTCTTTCCTTCTCTCTTTGTCACTCTCTTTAAATGATTTTTTTAAAAGGAAAAATACTCTCAGTATCTATTTTTAAAAAAGTATACTGGGGCGGGCATGTGGTACAGAAGGTTAAGTTATGGCTTGAGTTGCCCACGTCTCATGCTGGAGTGTGTTGGTCTAGTTCTGGCTGCTCTATATCCAACCCAGCCTTCTATTCACATGCCCCATGGGAGGCAGCAATATGGACTTGGGTCCCTGTCTCCTACACAGGAGTCGCAGGTGCAGTTCCTGAATCTTGGCTTTGACTCGACCCAGCCCCAGCTATTGCTGGGGAGTGAAACAGCCGAGGGACCATCTCTCTTTCCCTTTCTCTCTTTGCCTTTCAAGTAATAAAACTTATATAAATATAACTTTTTACAAGGACTCCTGGCAGCTGACTTAAAATCTAGCTCCTGTGTTATGCTTCCAGGACAAATGGGTAAGGAAGGACAATCAGATATGGACGCTTAACTCTACAAGCAGAATTAAGGATTCATGCTCTTAAAATTCAATCAGGTTCTAAAAACAGCATACATCTGAAGGCATGAGCATCAGAGTGGCAGATGGATTTAAACCACCTGGGCTGGTGCAGCACATCCCAGTGTGAGGATAAAGCATGTCCTCTAGTCTTATCTTAATGAACCACGCCAGCCACACACTGTAAGAAGACTATGCAGGGTCTGGTGCTATGGTGTAGTAGACTAACCTTCTGCCTGTGCCATCAACATCACAGTCCAGTCCAGCTTCCTGCTAATGTGCACCGTGGGAGGCAGCACATAATGACTCCAGTACTCAAGCCCCTGTAACTCATACAGAAGACCTGGGCTATTTCTAACTCCTGGCTTCCACCTGGCCTACCACCAGTTCATGTCCTGGTTGTTCTATGTTTAATCCAGCTCCTTGCTTATGGCCTTTAAGAGCAGCCAAGGATGGCTCAAGCCCTCTGAGCACCCGCAGATATGTGGGAGACCCTGAAGAGTCTCTTGGCTCCTGAATTCGAATTGGTTCAACTCTAACCATTGTAGTCATTTGGGGAGTGAACTAGCAGATGGAGAACCTCTGTCTCCCTATCTTTCCTTCTCTCTCTGTAACTGCCTTTCCAATACAATAAATTTTTTTTTTTAATGAATACTAGGCAGCTGGCAATCACGTTGACTGAGCACCAGGAATGGGGGCCCTATCTGGGACCAAGGCAGAAGTCCCTTGAGAACCTGAATCCACTCCCTGGAGCATGCAAACATAGACCAGAACTGCCAACATGACCTTCAGACCCACAGCCACCCCCTTCATCTTCTGCATGAGGACACCAAGGCTTGGAGAGGTGTTGTGACCTAACCCTGGCCATTCAGCTGCCTAATGCAAGAACACAGGGTCAGCCAGAGTCCTGTCTCCGGATATTTCCATGCTTGCTGCCTGCCACTACCTCTGAGCAGCTAGGAGGGGAGAGGGTAGCATTTGGAGGTAAACAGACTTAGTCATTTATCTGCAAGAATTCTGGACAGGCAAAATTAATTTTTCTGTTCCCTGAAGATAAGAGAGCTGGATTTTCAAGTGAGATACAGCTCTGCTCTCAAACAGGATGCCCATGTGCTGAGAAAGGTCAGATACAAAGCGGTATTCCCTTGTTGTTTTTTCAGCACACGTCCATTTAGAATGGGTTGTTTATGGTGCGGCACAGCATGTAGACAGCACAACAGAGGGCTTCGTCTCCACCACAACCCAACTATCCAGCCACCCAGATGTCAACAGTCACAGCTTCCATGGATCGTTTGAGTAGCAATGTAAACAGGCACACATGCACACCACACAAACCCTCACTCCACGACGGTGAACTAAGCACACTGTTCTCATTTGCCTTGCAATTCCTCTTGATGCTTTACTTTCTAGAATGTTCGAGGTCTTCTCCTCCTAGAGACCCAGCCCAGAGAAGTTCCTTGGCATGCCTTGAATCATAACCCTCTTACCAATCCTTGCTCAGAAGTTTTCCCCTCTCATCTTGCATCTGACTCACCTGTGGACTTCCTCTTGGTGACAAGGACCTTGGTGGTCATGGTGCCCAGTATGCAATGTCGCTTGTGTTCCAAAAGGTGACCTGGGATTGCCAGTGAAGGAATTTCCTTAGTAGGGGAAAAGCTGTCTGCTCCCAGCTGCCCCTTGGGAGAAGCCGGGCTGGGGTTGGGGCAGGAACCCAGACGGCCAGGTGTGGGTGGCCTTCCACTCCCAGCACAGTGTGAGAACGCATAGCTCTGCTCCCATAAGCTGAAATCAGAGCAGAGTTCTACACGGAGGGCCTGGGGGCCCAGTTTGGATAATGGAAAACATTGCACCCTCCACCACAAGTTGAAATGAAATATAATTGGTAATAAAATGTCAGGAACTTCCAACTCCACAGGAGCTGGAGAAATTGTGTGGCTTAATTAGGACTGTCTAAGGCGAACCTGGCATTTGATGCGGTCTGTTGTGGTCATAAAGTGACTTCATAAGCAAGCATGCTAGATAGAGGACGAAAGAAATGTAGGCAGCTCTCAAGGACTCAAGGTGTTGGGAGCCTGGCAGGGTTCAGGAGCCATGTGGGGAGGAGTAGGCAGGGGCTGTCTTTCTGTGTGTGCCCCTGTGGTACTATCCTGACAGCCTGTGGGCAGTGATGGCTGGCAGTGTATAGCAGTGGACATTGCAGATATCTAGAAACAGACTGGGAGCTTTGGAAGTAAGAGGGTCAGATTTTTACTACCACCACGAACTTCCTGAGACATAGGAAATACAAGGGGCTCTCCAGCTCACACAATGTTGGAAGGTCAAGCCCAAGACTGGAAGCCACATTGGCATCTGGAGAGGTTTGCAGGGTGGTGGTGGCAGTGGTAGAGCAGGAGTGGAGGGAGGATCCCAGGGCCAGCAAGAAAGAAGAAAGAGAGGGTCTAGACACACACTCAGGCTTTTGTAATGTCTGTCCTCTGGAGGACTGACCCTGGAAGTCACACCTGCACTGACTTCAGGGCCTCCCAACAGACACGCCTCTTAGATGCCATAACTGGATGAAGTTGGAACATCTGCGTGAATCTGGAAACCATATTGGTGGGGGGGTGGGAGCAACTGAATCTTCTTGAAAATAAATAAACCAGTGTGGAGGGGTAGGGGAACCCCAAGCCCCCTCAGTCTCACAAAAGAACATTGATTCTGTTCCCGCAGGCACTGGGCACCCAGAAAGTCACCCCTCTGTGTGGTCCAGCTGCATCTACACACGTGGGAGGTTGATGGTAGGGGCAGGGTAGAAAGCCCATGTAAGGAACTGGCTCGACTGTGGATGGTCTATGTGACTGAGCACCACCAATGGACATCTTGGACTGTCAGTGCTTACTCAGCGGGAACAGGGACACCTCCCCAGGAGGATCCTGGGATGACTGACAAAGACAGTTAACTCAATGTACCCACACACAGCAGGTGTGTGCCAGAGAAAGCCACATTCCTCTAACCCACTCCATGCCCAGTGTGTGGGCCAACTCTGCTGACTTCCCAGCCACACACTTGCAAGTGGCCCCTCCTACCCTGTGGCTCACCACTCACCATGTTGTTTGTCTCATCCTCAGGGAAGTGTACCATGTGACGGAGAGCCTGCAGCGGGAGAAATCTGGACTCCTGAAGCAACTGGATTTCCTAAGGTGCATGTCCAGGCTGGGTTACCCTGGGAGCACAGCTCCAAAACCCCAGGGTAGAAGGGTCAATCTGAGTGTGTCTTGCCATGCCAGTGTGATGAGAAAACATAGCAGCTGTGAAAGGACCCTCATCCTCCCCAGTCCCCAACATAGGGTCCACTGAACGCCACCCACTGTATTACACTACGTCCACTCACCCCGATGTTCACCCCCCTCTCTGGCTCATCCCTCCTCCTGGGGAAGGGCTACCACTTTCTTCTTTGACTCCCGTAGCACTGTGCCTAGCGCTTAAACCAGCAGGGAGCTGGCCTCAATCGACTAAGTGTCTCATTGGTTTGACACAGCTCCTCTTTCACCCTACAGAGCTCTCAGGGAAGAGGGGTAGTTGTGCATCCAGGAGTGAGCATAGAGAAAAAGGAAATAACAAAGCAACACAGTGTCTCACGAGGGAGCCAGAACAGAACACCCATGCCTGGCGGATTCTTTGTGCTCATCCCTGTTCTGCTCTTGGCTATTGGTTGAGTAAATAAATCCCAAGCACAGAGCCAAGAAAGGAACCTTCCTCAGTCTTCTGAAACTACCCACAATGCACTCAAGACTCATGAGTCTGGAATGTGCCAGAGGAAGCCAACTTGTGTAGGGAAAAAATGGACTTCTCAAGTTTGCTTACAAGATGCTTGTTTGTTTGTTTGTTTTTAAGATCTATTTATTTAGTTGAAAGACAGAGAGAGATTGAGATATCTTCTGTTTGCTGGTTCATTCCTCAGACAGCTGTAATGGTTAGGCCAAGGCTGGAAGTCTGGAACTCCATCCAGGTCTCTCACATGGGTGGCAGGGACCCAAATAAACAACCTGTCAATCTGTTGCCTCTCAAAGAGTGCATTAACAGGGAGCACTCTGATATGGGATGCAGGCATCCCAAGTAGCATCTGGACCACTAATCCAAAACCTACTCTAAGTTTTGACTTTTAAAACACAAGTGACTTTGAATATCTCTTACTTAACAATGAGGAGCTTTGTTCTTGTTTTTGTGTAAAGCAAGGCCAGCATATGTCGGCAATGCTGCCACACTGGAAAGGGCTTCCACCTGGATGCCCTCCAGCTCTACCCCACCCAGTGTGGGGTACAATTGGGGTTCTTAGGTAGCTATAATCCATTGAACAGAAGGTATGCATGTCCCTGCAGGTTTTAGAAGAAAACAAGACCTGTGAGGGCATGAGTTTGGTATGTTCTCTTTCCTATTACACATAGAAAAATTAATAATAATAACAGATTCAGAGGATGCCCGGAAGAGAACAAGGAGGAATCACTCTACAACTCCATCTGAGTCTTTCAGATGGAGACCAGCAGCTACACACACCCAGAGCCTCTCTGTGGAATTGTGTGGTGGCAGCCAGCTTGTGAAGGTTAACATGTGGCTGGGAAAGCCCCAGTGGCAGTTTCCTTGCCCAGTGAGCTTATCAAGGATCACAGGAGAGAAGGAATTCAGGGTGGTGAGTGGAAGTGGTAAGGTAGGAAGAGCAGTGAGAATGTGAGGATCAGGACCGAGCAGTGGACAGCAGGTGGTCCATCAGGACACCAGCCGGGCTGTGACAAGTGAGGAAGGCTGCCACCACCATGCACATGGGGACAGAGAATGGCATCTCGGGGCAAATTGGAGCTAGACTAGGGTCATGTGCTGGTTGATGGCTGGTTCAGGTTCAAGATCCAGCATTGCCCTCACTGGCCACTGGTACACCCAATGGAAGCCTTCAGGTTCCCCTGTCCAGCTGCCAGGCTTCCTATGAGCTTCTGAGGCTATATCTGAGTTGAGAATCACAACTGGGCTGTGATGGACCCTGATAGCAGGTCCACATAAAGGAGACAGCCTTTGGCTAAATGCTAATGCTTCTTCGTGGAGACAGCCACACAACATAGGAAACAACATGGGAAAGACAGGATCACCCAGTCTCCCCAAGTCTTCATGTAGGTGCAAGCTGCCAACCTACTGCAGGCACAGGGGAGAGTTTTTATGGCTGGAGATGCTCACTTTCTTTCTCAAGATTTATGAAATACCTTCCACCTTCCTCCTCACTTGTTCTGCCAGCCCAGGCTCCTAGCCTGTCTGGTTAGCAGTGGCAGGTGTCTGAAAAGAACCCCGGGGCACAGGAAGGACCACAGACACATGAACATTTTGTCCCCCTGCCTCTTACTGACACATAAACTATCACCTCCCTTTAACTACGCCCCACATCCCTGCAGACAGAGATTCTACACAGGTCCTGGGTCTCCCACATCCTGCCTTCCCTCATACCCATCTGATCACCCAGTTGGCTGCTATTGCAGCTATCCACCATAAGCTCCAGGCTTTAACGGATTCTCTTGTATTGCCCACAGGGAAAGAAACAAGCACCTTCGAGATGAACGGGACATGCATTTCCAGGTAATCGACTGACCTTTGCTACGTTGATGGAAGTGTTACGAAACAAGGGCTGGGGCCAGGGTAGCCAGGTCTGTGTTAGGGCTGGCCACTTGGGATGTGCCCAAAGATTCCTGTGGGGACCTGAGGTGAAGAAGATGCAGAATAGCTTCCAGGGGATAGTTGATTTCCCAGGAAGTTGTGCAGCTTTCTTGTGTCCCAACGGAACCAAAGCATTTTTTTTTTCAATGCAAAAATGCTACTTCTACCTATGAGTTGGAACTGATGAACTATATCAACATAATCAGGTTTCATCTTTGTTAAAAATCTCTCCTGGTGAAAAATCTGCACTTTTATATACTGCGCTTGGCCAAATCAAAGATGTGAATTTCACCATTTATGTTGCTCACTTTGTATGCAATTTTCTTTTAGACCTGAGCAGCAGGACCACATGCTTGCCCAACTAGCGCTCACTGCAGTGTTTAATCAGAGGTTTTCGCTGTGGGGCGCGTGTCATAACATCTAAGATCTTGATCTCCCCTTCTCATTCTCCCCTTTAGACCAGAGACTGGGAGCAGGATTGATAAGTACAACTTCCGTAACCATCAGGATTATCAGGCATTGGACCACATGTAAGCCCTGCAGCACAAGGATCCCTAATTGTCACATGAGGAAAAGGAATCCCTATCCTCCCACCTGCGCATTATAAGGACCTTTTGAGAAAGATGTTTCGAAAGAGGGTTTGAGGACTGGTATTGTGACTTAGCGAATTAAGCCTCCTCCTGAAGCAGCAACATCCCGTATGGATGCTGTTTCAAGTCCCAGGTGCTACACTCCCATTCCAGCTCCCTGTTCGTGTGCCTGGGAAAGCAGCCAAATATGTCCCAAGAACTAAGGCCCCCGTCTCCATGAGGGACACCCAGAAGAAGCTTCTGGTTTCTGCCTAGTCCAGTCCTGGCCATTGGAATTTTGGGGGGAGTGAACCAATATATGGAAAATCTCTCTCTCTCTCTCCCTCTCTTTGTCTGCTTCCCCTTCACTCTCTCTGTGTAAATGTGACTTCCAATTAAACTAAATAACTCTTAAAAGAAAAAGAGGGTTCTTTGTACCAGATCTTTAGCTGAACAACCACTCAAGTTAGGAACTATAGAAGGAAGTAGGAACCCTCCATTAGGCCCAACATGGTTTATCACTACAAATCCTTGTGGGATCTTGTTCTGTCACCATGTCTGTGGTACCACCCACTGGCAGAACATGTTGTGACCACCCACCTGTGTGTGCTATTACAGTGAGCCTGCAGCATGCCCATGCATGCTTGATGATGAAAATGGTCACCACAGTTTCGGAAGTAGCACTGAATTTATTTTAGATCTGCCAACCCCGTGGCTTCCCTTCACTTCCTTTCCCTTTCATTTGCCAAACTCCTTCTGCAATGGAATGAGGGGAGTGGAATTATGAATACCAATTGGGGAGCTCAGATCACTTCCACACTGAGTAATAATTAAAGATTCCTGCAGAGGCAATGCAGGGCCCTGCAAACAAGGCATCTCCTTTTCCCCTCATTCAAGATCGTTGGGAACCTGGGGAGGGCTGGTTAATGAGAGATTTTTTTTCCCTATGATCCACTTCCTGCCCTGTTCTTCCTGGAAGATATCGGTGAGGAAGCATCCCTAAGGGACTTGGGAACACCTGCTCTACCCAGCTTCCCTGCTACTGGTGTTGAAGCGATATTTCTGTGCCCAGTTTGATGGACCTTACCCTAGCTTGGAAGCCTTGGACTGGATGTTGAGTTAATTCAGCTTCCAGGTTGCTATCTTTTCAAAGTTCCTGGGATTTTGAAGATAAGTGATGAGAGACACAGAGAAGAGTCAGCATTAAAGATGCAACAAAAGCTTTTAGACTGTTAAATATTCCTCTTAGGCATTAAACCTTGATCTCTTCTTCTTTGCCTTCCAGCAAATTCTCATTGCTCCCCCAAACAGGTGCTCTCTTGAGTGTTTATTTGATTAGCTTGTTAGGAAGGAGGTGGAGGGATTCTGGTAAGGGATGCCGATCAAAGGACTCAATAGGCAGATGCTAACAGGGAGGTCAGGAGACCAGGTGGCTTCAGAGTTTTGTGAGAACTTGACCTGTGAGGCAAGGTTGGGAGGCAGGAGTGGCCATGAGCAGACTCACATCTCAAGGACTTCTGTATTTCTACAGAAAGACAAAGCAGCCAAGGCAAATGCAGCTGCTTCCAAGGCAAGCTGGAAGCAGAGATCCGGATCCGTGATAGGCAAATACCTAGATGGCAAAGCAATTCTCGGAAGGTAAGTCACCACCCTGTTGTTCTTCCATTTAGATATCTCTTACACCGCATGGAATCTGACTCTGAGCCTGGAGTTCTACCATGCAGGAATGCCCTTGAGATATGGCCTTGGATGGGAGTGCTGAGGTTAGCTCCCCTTGATCCTTGGAGGACATGCTCTGCCCACTCCCAATGAGAAGGGGACTGTGCCGTGCATCCCCTAGGACAAGCCACTGGCTTCTGAGGTCTCTTGGCCATAGTGTGTGCCTGCAGAGAGGGACAAAAGGGAAAGAGAAGATGAGTCAGAGGAGGGAGAGATGGAGGGTGTGCCTGGAAGAGGCTCGGCATGGGTTGAGCAGAATGCACATGGGTTTTCACAAGTGGGACTCTATTGCCTAGGAAGGACCATCTACATATCCCATGGAATCTCCAGTAGTTGGATTCCAATAGTTACAGACAAGCTTAGGGTCTGGGCTTGCCAGATCATTTCAGAGGTTCACACTCAGCTCACTCAAAGATGACACGCTTTCTTGCTGCTGGATAGCATGATTGAGTGAGGGCTCAAGATTCACTCATCATTCAAAAACATAAGCCAGGACTGGCATCATGTTGTAATAATCTAAGCTTCCACCCGCCATGCCAGCATCCGATAGGGGACCTGGTTCATGTCCTTGGTGCCTCACTTCCAATCCAGCTCCCTGCTAATGATCTGAGACAGCAGTGGAGCATGGCACAAGTCCTTGGGCTCCTGCATGCATGTGGGAGACTTGGAGTAGGCTCCTGGCTCCTAGCTTCAGACCAGCATAGCTCTGGTCATTGCAGGCATTTGGGGAATGAACCAGCAGATAGAAGGTCTCTCTCTCTTTGTCCCTTCTCTCTGTAAATCTGCCTTTCAAATGAAAGTAAATACTTTAAACACACACAGACAGACATAAATCAATCCCCTACTCCCTTTTTTCAATGTGACCTCTGTGCAAAGTGAGGCAGCCAGACCCTAGATGCAGACTTGGGGAAAAAATGCCTACTCTTGATCCTATAAGATCTCAAGCATGAAGTAAGATCTGCAAAGGCAAAAGTGACTCAGCTCATCAGGCAAATTTGGGAGCCTGATCATCATGAATTCGTCCTCTAACTAGCTGAATAATGAGATACCGTTTGGGAGCCAAATTTCTGCAGTGTTTGGCCTGTTGGTTCCTGCAAAGTGAATGCACTCACTGATTGACTCCACAAGCACTCGCTGATTACCTATTCTGTATGAGACATTCTTTGGTGGTTCCGTGAGCCTCCTGAGACAAAGCAGATGTGGGGTCTCTGCCATCAGTACCCATTGTTGAATGCTCACTTAATACGCCTTTGTTGAGCATTTACGGTGTGTGAGGTCTGATGCTGTGTGCTGGTACATGCCATGATGAGCAGAGTATGTGCGATTTCCTGGAGGAAAAGAAATAGACAATAACCAAGTCAGTCACACTTTTTGAACCCTTGGATTCTAATAGAGACTTTGGAGAGAGTAGCTGTTCTTTCTACTGCTGGCATACAGCCTTTGGTGACAAACTGAAAAAACATTTCGTTGTGCTAAGTTGAAGATATTACAGAAGGTCAATAGGGCTTGAAAATTCACCATAGCAAGAGTTTTGTTTTTGGCAAAAATGCTTCATTTTAGGACTTAAGTAGACCCTTTCTTTCTTTCTTTCTTTCTTTCTTTCTTTCTTTCTTTCTTTCTTTCTTTCTTTCTTTCTTTCTTTCTTTCTTTTCACTGCAAACCTGCTGTGGGTGAAGATTCTTCCTCACATGCACATACTAATATCCACTCTTATGTGTATATTCAAAGAGGAAGTGGATAGGAATGCTAATTGTTTTCTTCTGAAATATTTAATTGGCAGGTAGTGATGGCATTGAGGGAGACAGGAAGGGAGAGAGAGAGGGAAGAAGGAAGAGAGAGAGAAACAGAATCTTCCATTCACTGCTTCCCTCCCCAAAAGACCACAACAGCTAGAACTCAGGTAGGCTGAAGCTAAGAGCCAGGAGCTCCATCTAGGTCTCCCACTTGTATGGCAAGGCCCTAAGTACTTGAACCATCTTTCACTGCTTCCCTGGGCACATGAACAGAGTTAGACTGGAATCAGAACAGCCAGGGCTTGAATCAATGGTCTCATACAGAATGTCAATGTCTCAAGTGGCACCTTAACATGCTTCATCGCAACACTGGCCCCACTGATTGTGCCCGAAGCAGATAAGCAGTTAAGAGACTTGATGGAATCTGTAAGAAGCTTGTCAGAAAGAAGACATTTAGCTTTTATTAAAAACTAGAATTTTATAAGCGAAAGCTATTTGAATTCCTACCAATGTTGCATTTCGCATCGAGGAATCCAAACTAATTCATTGTTTTTGTAAGCAAGAATTATATCTTAATTTATTGATCACCATTATAATTAACTTTAGTGTAGTGAGACTCATGTTTTCTTTTTTTTTCCTTAATATTTATTTAATTGTATTGGAAAGGCAAATTTACAAAGAGAAGGAGAGACAAAGAAACATCTTCCATCTGCTGATTCACTCCCCAAATGGTTGCAATAGCCAGAGATGAGCCAATCCAAAGCCAGAAGCCAGAGCTTTCCTCCAGGTCTCTCACATGGGTGTAGGGTCCCAAGACTTTGGGCCATCCTCTACTGCTTTCCCAGGCCACAGCCAGGGAGCTGGAAGGGAAGCGGAGCTGCCAGGACACGAACTGGTGCCCATATGGGATACTGGCACTTGGAGGCGGAGGATTAGCTAGTTGAGCCAAAGCGCCATCCCTGAGACTCATATTTTCTTTGTCCTTCTTAATAGCAGTCTTTAGGAGTGGCAAATATGATAAGCCAAAAGCAAAGGAAAGATTCCTCTGGTTGGCCTACAGCATCCTCCACTTGGTTCATTCAGCTCTCTGCTTCATGCCCAGTCCACTTTCTTTTCTCACTCATGTATGTCTCTGTTGCGGACTTGAGATCCTCCCGATGATGATTGACCAAGACTTGTGAGGAATTGCAAGCTCAGAAGGGCCTGTGTGAGGCCTTTGCTCTTGGAACCTTCTGGATATCCGACCAGTGCAGGGGCCCTACCGCCAACGGCCCCATTGCTTCCACCTGCGACTGCTTCTCCCTGCCCTTAGTGCGCAGGTGTACATGAGCTTCTAAGCCTCCTCACTACCAACTGACCGTGGCTTCCTGAAACACATAGAAGGGGGAAGGAGATGCACCCCCTGGCTTCTGTCTACCTACCTGTTCATTCTGAAGGGGGCAGTGGAGCCCACTGATAGCCCTGAGGCCTCCTGAAGGGGAGCGGCAGAGTACAGCTCACACTGCAGGCAGCTGCTCCATCTGTTTTCATCATGCCTGGTTCTGAATGGGCAGGGCAGACAGGAAAGAAGCTGGAGGACCCACAGTTAGTTAGCACCAGCTCTGAGGGCAGGCGAGAAGCCCTTATAACGTTACTGCAGGTGCTGTCCTGCAGTGTCTCTGTGTGTGTGTGTGTGTATGTGTGTGTTATTCTTGCTTTAGTATCCACTCAGTGGAACATTCCAAAAGGACAGGAACTGCAACCATGACATCTTTGGTGACACCTGATAAACATCACCATTGTCCCTTTCACCATCATCACCAGCAGGTATAGCAGGTATCACATAGGACAAGCTAAGCTGTTAGATAAAGGAGCTGAAGGTAGTGGGCTCTCAGCTGCGTATCTGTCCTCTTGTTGATGTGTAATGCAATGCCCACCCACACTGCTCTCTTCCCCACCCCACAGCCAGTCAGAGGAGGAGGAAGATGTGTTTGGCATCACCAGGAGGAGAAGCTCCCTGGGTCTGAGTGTGTACCCGCTCATGGAAGAAGAGCCAGGACCAGGTGATCCAGGGACCGGACACCCCAGGCGGCTCCGCAGAATCATCTCCATTGAAGAAGACCACATGCCCCAGCTCCTGGAGGCGGGCTTTGAGCAGCCCCTCCACCAGTGCCCAGAGGAAGAGGAGGAAGGCTCGCCCCAGGATGGGGAAGGCCAAGCCCTGCAGGCCGCCCCCTTGGAGGTCACCCCCATGTCTCCCCGGGGACAACCTGTTGGGAAAGAAGCCCTCTCCAAGGTAAGGGCATATCTGACATTGCCTGGCAGAAAGCACTGGTATGGTTTGCCCCTTGTTATCACCAAGGAGGTGGAATGTGGCAGGTGCTAGGATACTGAGTATTTATGGCTTTCACACACTGTCCCCTGCCTCTTCCATAGGTGAGTTTAACCCTGGTCTCCCTGCTGAATTCTACTGGGAGAAAGGAAACTAGTATAGGTGAGGTAGCCTCACTCCTAATCCCGACCTCGGAAAGGGCTTGTCAAACCCGCATCCTCCACTTGACCCTGGAAACCAACTTTAGAAACGTACACAATCCTCCCTGTGCCCCGTGGCAGCCGTTTGGGACAGAGCTCTTATACTTTGTGCTTCCCCCAGTGGCTGTGTGAGCAGGGGAGCGATGACTGGGACTTCATGGGGGTCAGTTCTCCTCCTTGGGCAGAATGAAGATCTGTGTGCATAGCAGTCCTGGAAGGCCTGTGGCAAAGAAGAAGTGGTAAATGGGCTAACGCCATTGAGGTTTCTCCACTCTTCATCCTGCACAGTGATTCCCAATCTTCCTGTCCCCCGTCCCTCCCCATGCTCCTGCAGTCTCTCTGGCACAAGGCAGGTGGATCCTCACTCTGCAGACAGCAGGTTAAGTTCATGAATATGAATAGGAATTCTCTGATCTCATGATGTGAATCCTGCTTGAAACAGATGGGTTTACATTTGTTGCAAAATTTGCCAAAATGTATATGTATATCAGGGAAGGGGTCAGTTGATAACAATCTCAGGGTCACGAGGACCCTTTCCCTGTCTCCTGGGTTTCGCATTTCCCACGCCATACGTCGGCCTGGGCATAAATAGATTGATGAGTCCCAAGCAAATGATAATTCAATGTACAGGGACAAGAGATCGACAGAATGTGCCATGCATGGATAGAGAAAATGGGCTGGGAGGCGTAGTTTGTGTGTGTGGTTATTTTTCTTTCTTTAATTTTAGTCCTGTGCTTGACCTTGAATTCCCTTCAAGAACTGTGCGGCACTGATTCCTCCCAGAAAAGCCTGTTCATGACTTTTCTCTGAGATTCAACATTGCTAATAACAGCCACTCTATTGTAATATTTGCTCAAAGAGAGGAGCTAATTCCTCCAAATCCACTTTGTAAATAGATTCCAAAGCCATCTCATCAGACTTGCTCGAGCTGAGCTGGGCCTGGCGGCAGGGTGCAAGTGAGGAAGCACTCCTCTGGGGGGAGAGACCCATGTGCTGACTGACAGCTCTACTCTCTGCTTGCTGTTTGCCCTGGAGCATCCTCCTGAGCAGGTGGATGACACCCAGTGGCTGACCCTGGGGTGTTCTGTGCTGGGGCTGGGCAGTCCAGATCTCTAGCTATAGAGTGGAGACTGCCCACTCAGTTGCCCCAGGCAGGTGTTCTTGCTGAGTTGAGAGCTGATAAGATTTTGGGGTCGGGGCAAGGGAGGTGCCTGTGTGTGGCGGGGCAGGGGGTGTGGTGAGAGTGTCCCTTTTGGGTCCAGGTATTGGGTGATAGGACAGAAATCAGGGTCATTCTATCTGGGAGGTGTGTACTTAAAGCCTTCTCTCTCTTGGTCTGCTGCTGGTCCGGAGGGGAGGACCAGTGTGGGAACAAGAGGATGGTGGAATATGGACCAAGCAAGGGTAGCAGCCAAAGCCGGCCATTGACCAGACCACATGCTGCCCACTCACAGGAGGAACGCTGCCCCTCCACACCAGATCGGCTCTTCAAGATTGTGTTTGTAGGCAACTCGGCTGTGGGCAAGACATCCTTCCTAAGGAGGTTCTGTGAGGACTGCTTCTGCCCGGGCATGGTGGCCACTGTGGGTGAGTCGTTGCCCCCAAGCTGGGCCTGGGAATGTGGTGAGGAGGGAGTCGGGGAGAGGGATCATGGGGATGGGTTTCTACTTTGTCCAGCAGCAAGGTCTACATGTGATGGAGCTCTGGAGTGCTTCCCAAATCCAGCTCTGGGTTTGTGCAGCTCCCTTGTCACCACCCTGCACTCCCGTCTCTTTCTCCCCACTCCTTCCCACCTTCAGCAGAACCCAGCTCCCCCAGGACTGACCATGATGCATTCTGAGGCCCACACCCCATACCTCATCTCCCTGCCTCCCTAGTAGACTACTGCTGCCCAACTTTACCCTCCCCTGTGCATGTGTGTGTGTGTGTGTGTGTGTGTGTGTGTGTGTGTGTGTGTACAACATGAGGTAGGGGTGGAACAGTGCTCTGGACAAACTTGACCCATTCTCCTTCCAAGGCCTGTTGGGTGACAGCTGTGTGAGTGTCAGAAGCCCATCTGCCTAGCAGTTAAGGAGTGGCCATGGCTGATGGTGCCCCCATGCTACACTGAAGTGCTACCTGCAGGTGCACATTGCACTGGGATGAGGAGCAGCAACACACAATGGCACAGGGACCTTTTAGCTTCCAGCAGGTTCAATCACCTAATAAGAGATAAACACATTACAGGTTGAACTTCCTTAGCGCCTACATCTGAAATCCTCAATGTTCCAAAATTTGAAACATCTTGAGCCCCAAGATGATGCCGTTGCTGACTGCCAACTGCTTCTACAGTTGTAGAATTCTGAAAATTCTCAGTGCTTCTACAGGTTGAACCTCCCGTGCCCCGGGTCCATGCCTGGGAAGACCCTACTTCCTTCATCTTATCCTCTCCTGGCCCTTCCAGCTCTTCTCCTCCTCTGCATCTCTGCCACATGCCTAGTGTCCCACTGTTATTGCCCAGCCCTTTCCACCACTGTGACAGCACTGGAAACATTCTCCTTAACCTCCCTCTGGGCCACTCCACCCAGAGGCCAAGAAACTCAGAGGGGAAAGAAGGACAGGACCTATGGTCCAAACCCAGAGGAGTCTGACCTTGCCTGGCATGGAAAGGAGATACTGATCATAATCCAACAGCATTGTATATGGTAGTGATGCAGGAAGCCATGGCTGAGCAGGTGTTTGGTGGAGTGGTCAAGTTGCCCCTTGCCACACCCATATCTCAGTGCCTGGTTTAACTCCCAGCTCCACATCTGATTCCACCTTCCTACTAATGGGCACCCCAGGAGGCATCAGATGATGGCTCAAACCCTTTGGTCCCTGACACCCACATGGAAGACCTGGGTGTATCTCCTAGCTCCCTGCTTTGGTCTAGTTCAGCCCTGAGTGCTGCAGGCATTTGGGGAGTGAATCAATAGATGGAAAATCTCGGGTCTCTGTGTATGTGTGTGTGGGTCTACCTTTCAAACAAGAGTGAATATAAAGAAATAAAAGGTTAAAGTAAGAAAAGAGGCGGTGGCCAAGGGAAGAGCAGGCTCACCTTCCCCAGAGGGCATCCCAAGGGCTGGGTCCCCACACCCCCAGTCACCATCCCGGCACAGGCATGCAGGCGACAGGGGCTTCTGGGCTGAACCCTCAAAGGCTCGTGCTTCGGTGGGGGAAGGGAGGATCTGTGTGCATCTGTGCATAAAATCAGCATCCATTTACATTTCCAATTTGAGGCCCTGGCTAAAAGCCTCTAATAAAGAGAAAGACAGATTTACACTTTCCAGGAGGCCAATTATGAAAACACCTACAATTTAGGAAGGGGGGAAAAAATCCAACATTCCAAATCAGGAATGCCCTTCATCATACCGCTCCACACACACTCAGATTAGCTTCTCTGCCATGCAACACACTCGTGCTGCCTCTCCTGTCGCTAAGCAGATGGCCCAGCAGCCGTCTCAGAAGGTGCACCCTTCACAGAGCTGTCATAGCCAGGGAGGCCAATGCGGTCCACCCCCAGAGTAGCATCTGATCATTACCTGGTGAGGGCAGTGGCCATGGCAATGTCCAGGAGGAGGTGATGCTGTGGTTCCTTCCAGCTCACCCACCTCCGTCATCAGAAGGGTCCTTGGGAACTTCCTGGCATCTGCTCTCTCACAGAGATAAGATCAGACTTATGCAGGGAGATGGACAGAGAGGAGAGAAATCTTCCATGTGCTGATTCACTCCCCAAATGGCTACCAACAGCTAGAGATAGGCCAGTCTAAAGCCAGGAGCTTCTTCCAGGTCTCCCATGTGGGTTCAGGGGTCTAAGCACCTAGACCATCGTCACTGCTTTCCTGCGTGCATAAACAAGGACTGGATGGAAAGTAGAACAGCCAGGATTCAAATCAGCATCTGTGGTGGCAGCCTCTGAAAGTGGACCTCTCAAAGGAGGTGAAGTAAAACTTCAGCAAAATTGCACCAATGTTCAGTGGAGAACTGAGACAGGAACATGAGACATGGATCTCCTGACACCTGGGATGTCAGACCCAGCAGTGGCCTCAAAATCTGTTTAGCCCAAGCCCTCTAGGACACATTACTTTGGGTTGCTCTTCTGTTGGATTCCTGTTCATGTGTTCTGTGTGCCATTTCTGTGTCCTCACCTCCTTCCAATCTCCATGGGTTCTCAACCATGCATCCAGTCCCCGTGGACCTGCTCACCCACTTCCTCCACTATGACTGTGGAAAGTACTTTGTGTGTTTGGTGGGGAGTCAAGCCAAGCTCGCCCCAGCACAGAACATACTTTCCAGCACTATGCTGTCCAGCTCACTCCCACAGAGACAAAGCTCTCCATCCTCTAGCAAAACCAGGAGCCAATGATAGCCAAGACCCAGCCGTTCCCGCAGCCCCCACCTGCACACCTGCTGGCATCTCTTGCCAATAAATGATGGGCTCCGTCCTCTGGGCCTTGGGCCCACTGGCTGGCTTCAGATCTGGCTGTAGCTGACCTTCTCCCAGGTACTTATCAGAAAGCAGGCAGACCCTCCAGGGTCCCAGACTGTAGATCCAGAAGCCAATCCACTTTTAGCTAAGAAGAAAATTGCCCCTGAGGTTCAGTTCCTAGCAAGTGCAAGGTATGTTTAGCCAGAGCTTTGTTGCTGGAACAAAGAAGCTAGGGCTCTGTGCCCAGCTACAAAATCAAAGGGACTGTGAGCCTCAGGGCTGGGATGACACCTCTGTGCCATAGCAGACCAGTTCAGGTAAGGCCCAGCATCTGGACTCCTGCAGCTTTCCATGGTGGCATGCATCTGTGTGTGTGTATGTGCTCCAGCATATATGTGCACGCATATGTGTGTAACTGGGCATGTGCTTAAACATGTTGTATGAGTGTGTGCAACTGTGTGCATGCATGCATATGTGCCTGTATGCATATGAGTATGTGCACATGCATTTTCAGATAACTTCTCACGTGGTTGTGAAGATGGGGAGGTGACATGTGGGAAGCATTCTAGTAAGGGGAACAAATCACTTGTTCCTCAGCCCATGTGGGAGACTCACATGGAGGTTTTCCCTCTACCCTCGTCTGGAGCGTGCGCCCCTGGACCACATTGATCCCTGACATTCTCTGAGTGGCCCCCTCAGCTTCTCCTCCCTTTGTGGGTCCTACATGTGCTGGCCTCTAACCTCAGCTGTGACCAGGTGACCTTTTCCACTGACTGTCTCCATTCCTCTTTGCTCTCCTCTGTTGCTGTCCATCCAAGCTGCTGAGCCCTCCAGGGTAAGGACCACATGGGGTCTTGATGGAGGTGAGAGGGGTGGAGGTGAGGGGGTGAGTGCTGAGGTCACGCCCGACATCCTCCTGCACTGGGAACATCCTCAGGGATGCAGGAGACAGGTGTGTCTGTGTCGAAGCCTCCCACTCCCCTCAGCTGCAGGTGCCACAGAATGCTGACTGCTGACCTCCTCCTGCTTCCCTGCTGTTCACAGCTACACAGCAAAGCGTTGCAGCCCAGAAAGCTGATTGTCATCACCAGTGCAGTGAATGGGCTGCTCTCGAGGGCAAACACTGTTCTTGGCTCCCTCCTTCACTGCATTTATTCTCTCTGTCCTCTACCTGCCTCTTCCCCCACATTTGGATTGGATGGTGCAGGTGCTAAAGGATGGTCCACCCTCCTGAATGCTTAGATGTGATTGCAGGGGTGGGGTGGAAAGATTCTAAGCAAAGAGAGAGAGGGGAGAGGGCAAGAGAGAGGGAGAGAAGGAAGGAAGGAAGGAAAGAAGGAAGGAAGGAAGGAAGGAAGGAAGGAAGGAAGGAAGGAAAGAAAGAAGGAAGGGAGGAGAAAATTTGGGAGTGCAGTCTTTTTTCTTTTTTAATTAATTGATTTGTTAACTTAAAAGGCAGAGCAACAAATGGAGAGAGGGAGAGAGAGAAACAAAGAGCTGGTTTACTCCCCCAATTGGCTACAGCAACCAGATCTGGACCAGGATAAAGTCAGAAGTCAAAAACTTCATGTAGGTCTCTCACATGTGTGGCGGGGATCCAAGGGCTTGGACAAGCCTCTGCTGCTTTCCAAGGTGCAGTTGTTATTGAGATCTTGGTGGCATAATGAGCAGCCAAGGCTCAAACCCATGTTCCCGATGTGGAATGCTGGCATACCAAGTTGTGCTGCAACGCTGCCCACCCCCAACCTGGTCCTAGTGAGGGAGCAAGCTGTCATGCAGTAGAACAGTCTGCATTGGTCTAGGGCTTTATAATCTGTGCCCTGACTTGACCATTGTCAAGGGTATGGATCGCATAGGCAGCTCAGAGAAGGCCATAGCCCACACATGGCAGAATCAGGGCCAGAACTTGAGAGCCAGACACCCCCAGGCAGCGAGCACTCTGTGTGCCTGCCCTCCTTAGCTCCCAGAAAGCTGCACCCTCGTCTGGATGCAGCCCCAGATGCATGTGAGCCATCAGACTCCAACCTGGAAGTGCTCTGGCCCCAGAGCAGCCCCAACAGGCCCATTCCTCATTGCAGGCATTGATTACCGCGTGAAGACAGTGACTGTGGACGACTCCCAGGTGGCCCTGCAGCTGTGGGACACAGCTGGGCAGGAGAGGTGAGCAGCTGTCCCCACAGAGCCTGGCCTCAGGAGGGAGGATGACACGCTCCTGATCCACGGCCCTTTCTTCTGTGCCAGGTACCGCTGCATCACCCAGCAGTTCTTCAGAAAGGCCGATGGGGTCATCATCATGTATGACCTCACAGCCAAGCAGTCCTTCTTGTCTGTCCGGCAGTGGCTGAGCAGTGTGCAGGTGAGCCAACCACCTCCAAGGGAACCCTGGGCTTGCTCTGACCACTCCTTCCTCTCTGCAGCCTGCTCACCCAGCCAATTGCAAAGCCAATTCATGAGGAACAGCCTGGTTGATGCATCACCTGTCCTTGCAGCCAAATGCCCATGGCAGGCTGGTCACTGGGAGCTGCCCTGGGCTGTGATGGGAGACCTCTGGCAGGACGCTCTCATGTGAGAGTACTAGGCAGGGCCTCAGAGCAGTGGCATCCCCTGTGAATTGAGAACAACCCTGACATTGCTGTCTTGCATCTCACCTACAATGTGTCACCTTGACCATCTGTGCATTTCTCCCCAACCACTTCAAAACCAAGGATCATGTAGATGAGTCACGTCCCATAGAATATCCCAGCTCTTCCACCACAAGCTCCCTCTGGGGTTTTTTGATTTGTTCAGAACACTTGCCAGGTCCTGTTCAGAGTCTAGGGATTCTAGTAACAAATGAGACACAAACAAAGCTCTCATCCTCCTGGAGCCTGACATTCTACCACCTGCAGCACCCACCGTGCCCAGTGCTGGGTCTCTTACTCATCATGTTGCTGTCAGTGGCAGCTTCACCTACTCGAAGGCTCTGCTGGAGTCTGGGGCTCCTCAGAGCAAGCAGCGGCAGCTGGGAGAGTGGCGCGGGGGCCCTCACGCAAGCAGTGCTCAACAGAGGTCAGATGAATGAATGGATATGCTCTGGCTGTGAAGGCAGAAACTGGAGTTGTTCATCTCTTCATGCATTTGGACCTTAAGATCTATGACACCTCCAGCCCAAATTGGTTTTGGCTGGTGAGGCTATTCCCTGTCTCCATTCATCTGTATCCTTCTCATTACCAAGAAAAACAAGGAACAGAATGGGTGCCAGATCCCAGAATTCTGTTGAATACAAAGTCCTTTTTTTTTCCAAAATTGCTTCACCTAAAAACCTTTTATGAAAAAATATAAATCTTGAAATGCAGCAGATCTTTCAGTCCCTAGCTACCATCAGAAGGAAATGGCATGGGTGAATGCTGGGGGTGATGCCTGTTTAAACATTGGCATTTATGGCATACCTTTTCTCCCCTCTTCCTGCCTCCTCCATTCCTTATTTTTATTATTTGTTGTGGCAGCACCAGCAGATTCACCACTGTCCTCCTAGAAGCTAAGCACCAGGAGAGATGCTGGGTGGGGATTCCTCACCCGCTGATTTTTGCTCCTGCTTCCATGAAGCCCTAAGTGCAGCTGATGGATTCCCTTTGGGGATGAAAGTTGGGAACCTTCAGCCTTTCTCTCAGGCAGATGTGCTCTGCTTCCTTCAGCTTTGTTATCTTGTAAGTCCTGGTGCAATTTTGGGATGATAAAATGGGTTTCCTCTTGGAAACCACCCATCTGACATACCCATCTCAAGTGAAGGAATCAGGGACACTGATTCTCCTGGTCACTCATTCTTTTCCTGGTCACAAGGCAAAGAATAGTCAACCAGTACATCTGCACCTGGTTGTCTGTTACAGCTGGGCAGAACCAGGTCCATGGCCTGGCATTAGTGGGAGTAAGTGGAAACCCATGCATGGAACTGTGCTCCCTGCCATCGTCAGGGCTGTCACTTCTTAGGCACTTGTGGCACAAAGAGACCTGGAATCCAATAGGAGAAAAGAAATCAGGTTGAGCTGGGTAGAAAAGGTTAAAAACTCTCAGAAGGCCACCTTGAACTACAGCTTGGGTGAGATTCCGGAATGTGTACCAAGCGTGCTCATAACTGGACAGAAGAGTGTTGTTAGCCCATGCCTTGCCTTTGCCTACTATAATGCCCCTTGGGAGCTGTGGTACACCCACGGGTGCAGGGAGTCCAGGCTGAGAGGCAAATCAATTCCTGATTAACAGAATTATCTGTAGGTGGCATTTTGCAGACCATTTGTAGCTCAAGTTTTTCCCTTTTTAAAATTGTAAGAGAACAGTTCTACTCCCCCCAGTGATGACTAACCCTAGGTGAACATCAGGTGGAGGGCTAAGCCAACACATACACCAGGACCCTTTTTTTGTCTGTGTATGATCTAAGGGCCTAGAGGAAAGAACTGAAATCTTTGCCATAGACTATGCTCTGCCCCTCACTTCCCAGCTTAAAGGAGCACATGTTGCTCTCCAGGGATCCTGCTCAAATGGAGACTGACTCAGCAGCAGCTCTGGGCTACATTCTGAGATTTGGCATTTCCAACAAACCCTCAAGGGAGGCCAGTGCTGGTGATCCAGGAGGCCACCCTGTGAGCTGCATGCAGAGACACTTGTGTCTGGCTGTGTGTGGATCATGCGGCCTGATGCACTTGAAAGCACAGGAGGCTACCACATCCTACGGCAGGCTGCGTGTCAAAGGTGTGCCACGGGGAGCATCAGAAATGCAATTATTCTCCCAGTTCTTGAAAAGCAAATTCATTCTGCCTTGGCAACCAGCACTCAGAGGTGAGAGCTGATAGATGGAAACTTACACGTAATTGATTCTGATGGGGACTAGAAGTAATAAGTACTTTCTGGTTGCAGGACACCTTGTTTTCCCAGAGTTCAGAGTGCTTTATCAACTCCCTCTCCTGGCAAAGGGAAGGTACAGGACAAGTTTTAGTCACAGCCTCAAGGCCCTAAATAGTGTTGGGAACTGAAGGGTGGCCAGTCCAAAGCCAATCCAAAGCCTGAACCAAGAGCTTCCTCTAGGTCTCCGATATGGGCACAGGGTCCCAAGGACTTGAGCCATCCTCTACTGCTTTCCCAGGCCACAAAGAGGGAGCTGGGTCAGAACTAGAGCAGCTGGTACATGAACCGGCACCCATATGGGATGCTGGTGCCAGTAGGAGGAGGATTAGTTTACCAAGCCCCAGCACCAGCCTTTCTCTATTGTTCCGATGGCACAGTGTTGAGAGGTCTGTAAGTCAGAGAAAATTACCATGACTCGAACAAGCTGATAGACCAGCACCTCTGAACTGGAAGAACGCTCAGAGGCAAATGCCACCTCTTGGGTCCTGTGTGAGAAAAACAAAGCTCCAAAGAGTGGTGGAAGTGAGTTGTCTGAGGTCCCTGCCACTTGGCCCCTGGAACGGAGCGGGGCCTCCGTGTGGGGCTCTGACCTGGTCAAGATGCTGTTCCCCTTCTCCCCCCATGACTGAAAACCACTCTGAAGAAACAGGTGTCCGCTGTTGTTGCAGGTTGTCTTTGTTTCAGTCTCAATGCTGAATGGTCCTTCAAGCTCAAGGGAGCCTGGCCCACGTCCCTCTTCCTCCCCGAGCTGCCAGCTAAAATCTCCAACTGTAATCTTGGTCCTTGGTGACAATGCATAGCACAGAGCAAAATATAGCCATGTGATTTTTTTTTTTTTTAATTTCTTCCCCACGTTCCAAGTTGAGCTCAAAGTGCTGGCAGTTTAAAATGAGCTACACAAATAAATCTTGTTTTGACTCATAGTCCAGGGGTTGGATAAATATGGAAACCCCGAAGATATAATTTTGTAGTCATTTTTTTTCTTAGCATAAAGGCAATGCTTTAATGTGCTGCAAAAAAAAAATTTTTTTTTGTTCTGACTTGGGAGAAATAGCAGTACTCTGCTAGCTGAGTGCTTTTTCATGCCCCCCAGCAAACTGATATTTACACACACACACACACACACACACACACACACACACACACACACACACACACCACCCCCAAAAAAGCCAATATCTTCAGGTTCTAAGCTTGAATGCCAGTCCTCTGCACCACACTGACAATTCCAATTTTTTAAAGTCAGAAATGGGTAATCTTCCGAATTTCAACGAATCTGGCCTTCCGATAAACTCCACTTCAGCAAGAGAAGCAGCTAAAATGATGGAAGACATCGAGGGGCATCTCTTTCAGAGACCAGCTTCAGACATCTGGTTTAGAGATCAGAGAAGAGAGGAGCCAGCAAGCCACCCCAGGGGTGCAATGGCAGGGCCCAAGTCTCCCAGAATTAGCTCGGGAGCTAGGCTCGCCTCACTCACTTGGACCTGCCGCACTTGTGGAGATTCCTACTGATTCCTGAAACAGAATCAAGCTCAGAAGTTGAACTGACCACAGGCTTGTCTTCTTGAGTACCAGAGGTGCAGAGAGGCACCCTTGACCTTCCCAAAGGAAGCAGTGGTCCATCAGTGAGTCACGACCTGCCTCCATCTTGCCAGGCACGGGTAGATGGGCTGAAAGCCTGGTTAGTAATAAAAAGCTTACTTATATTGAGATAGCCATCCTCATCCCAGCACCTTACCATACCTCTTCTCTGTGCAAGTCAGCACCACACAGTGCTCTGGGAGAAGAGGGGTTACTTTTGTTAGCCACAGTGCACAGCTTGGTCTTTCGGGAGCCACAGCATTCTGGGTACATGGTAAGTGGGTCTCTCACGTTCAAGTAATTGGAATATGGTGCAATCCACTTAATGTCTCAACTACAGCGCACATAACTTCATCTACATTGATGGGTTGGAAAACACCGTAAGAGCTTCTAGTGCTTTTAGTGGTTATTACAAGCATGAATCACCAACTTACCAACGGATACCACTTTTAGAAAGTCATGAACACTAAATAGCAGAGGGTTCATTAGAAATAGGAACCCAGACAACAAATGTCAGAGAACCGTGGATGTGGATCCATTTATTAAAAAGGCCTCATCGCTCATGGACTTTGCCGCCAAGCATTCTTCCACATTCCTAGAGACTTTAATGTGCTCATTTAGTCAAATGAGAATGTTTCTCCTCAGTTGGACAGCAATAAACACAAATGTGCCTATTAAAGACATACGGGGCCTTCAATTTCAAGTGCAAGTACATGTCTATCAGGTGCACTATGGACATCTGTTTGAAATGGTGAGGTAAGAGCTGAAGACTGCCCACACCGTGGCTGAGTATTAATTAGCTTCTGCTAGCCTGCCTCCCCCTTCATTTAGTAAAACACTAAATCACCATTTAATTTGTTACCTAATTTTGATGAAAAGTCCCTGATGAAATGTTCCACCACCGAGCAAAAATAATAACCTGTTGAGATGTGAACACAACCGTACTTACAGGACCGCTGAGCATGCAGTCCCAACAAGGACAGGGTCCTAGGAGACTAGCCGAGGTGAGCCTGTGGTGGCTATGCCACACCTGCTGGGGGTGGGGTGGGGTATAGAGGGCTGGCACCTTGCAGAGAGCTGGTGCAGCTGTGCAGGGGCGGAAGTGCCCAGCAGCAAGGATCCATAATGCCTGAGTTGGACTTGATCCCAAACACAGGGAGCTCCTCTGTCAACAGACCTTGAGAGATGGCACTTCTAATCCAAGCAGCCTCCAAGACAGCTCCAAGCCATGTGACATTAATTCTCTTGCTTCATTAGACTACACCTGCTCACTTACGATGACCTTGAGGGGCACTATCCACCCTGGAAGAGCGAACCCTCTTCTCATGACCCACTCTCCTGAACACCTGCAGAGCTCATCCCCCATTCAAAACCAAAGAAACTTAGGGAAGGAGACGCAGTCTCTGCAAAGACGGAACTGGGGGGCAGGGGCAGGGAGGGACCAGAAGCAGGTACCAGACTACCTTGCCAGAACTTGGTAAACAGGTTGTTGCCAAAGGTGGCGCTGCCTCTCAGTTTTGGGGGCTATTGGTAGCAGCTGGGGATGCTTGAGACAGATTGCACCTGCCCAGCCGACGTTCCAAGCCTGCCCTTGTGGGTGCTCGCTTGCTCCTTTTGAATGCTTCTCTCACTTGGTGGCGGCTTATCTGTTCTGCAGGAAGCTGTCGGGGACCGTGTTCCAGTGCTTCTGCTGGGTAATAAACTTGACAACGAGAAGGAGCGGGAAGTGCCCCGGGGCCTTGGAGAACGGCTTGCCAAGGTAAAGTGAAAGTGTTTCCCATCTCACTCTCCACCCTCACCCCTGCCCCAGGGCACTCAGACACATGCCTTAAGAATATTGGCGGGAACCTTCTCTGGGAGCCCCAGAAGAGGGAAGCAGCTGGGCAAGGTCACAGTTCCTGCACCTTGAAAGTCACAGAGCAAGGGTGGGCATTGGGCTTAGGGGTTAAGATGACACATGGCTCACGCCTCCCCTCCCAACATTGAAGTGCCTGGGTTCAAGTCTCAGTGGCACTCTTGACTCCAGCTCCCTGCTACTATGCACCGTGGGAGGCAGCAAGTGTCCCTGCCACCCACATAGGAGACCTCTCCTGGGCACCTGGAGAGTTAACAAGCAGAGGGAGTCTCTCTGTCTCTTACACTGAAAGAAGCTTAATTTTGAAAAAATTTAAGCCACAGATCATAAGACAGAGCTGGTTAGGACCCTCTAGGATATGGGGAAGTACCCTAAGCTCTCTTGGTTGGAATTCATGGAAACAGAGGTTGCTAATTTCATATCTGCTCTGACGCTTGAATCCCACCCTCTGCACTTGATCACCTCCAGCCACGAGAAACTCACTGCAGTGTGTTCCTTTAGACTGTGCTGTTGGAGAGCTTACCCTCCCTGTCCGGATTGCTCTTCAAAGCTGTGAACCCCAGGCAGACTTGTGGCATGCAGGGGACGGGGGGCTTATGCTGGAAAAGCTACCTTTAAAATAAGCATCAGGGATGGACATTTGGTAAAGAGGTTAAGTTAATGTGTCCTAGACAAGTGTTTGGGTTTGAGTCTTGTCTCTACTTTTAGTCTAGCGTCCTGCTAATACACGCCCTAGGAGGCGGCAGTGACGGCTCAAATACTTGGATTCCTACCATCCACACATGGAGCCTCAGATTGGGCTCCTGCCTCTTGGTTTGGCCTGGCCCTGCTATGACAGATACAGACATTTGGGAAGTAAACCAGCAGGTGGAAGATATTGCCTCTCTCTCTCTCTCGATCTGTGTGTGTGTCTGTCTGTCTCCCTGTCTCTGTCTTTCAAATAAATAAATAATTTTAAAAAAATAATCATCTACCTTCCTTCCCAAGAAAGGACTGAGCCAGGGTAACCACACAGGGCCCACCCTGTGGCTGCTTTCCTGGCCATGGTCTGGTTTGTGTGGATCCATGTTTGTGGGAAGAAGGGGGTTTAGCTGCCCTGTGAGTCCACAGCTTCCAGCAGGCTCACTCTACACAGACCCAGGAACCCAGAGCCCAAGGCACATGCACATAGAATTGAAATTGCAGGGCAAAGGAAGGAAGAGGCCCAGCAGGTGTTTTTGAGGGCTCACCAGGCAGTTAGCCATGTGACCACAATTCCAAAACCCAAAATGCTCTGAGAATAGGAAATTTTTGTTGCATTTCATCTGGTACAACAATTCAAAGGGAACTGGCAGAAGACTATTGGTTTTTACCTCCTTTCAAGTGTTTAATCAAACCTGCCTCCTCTGAAGAAATATGAAACATTTCTGGTTGTAAGATAACATCTCAGACCCACTACAGACTGTGCTGGGTCACCACTCCAAAAACTCTAATCCTCTGGATGCCAAGCTACATCTGGATACAAACATCTTGGCTAAGGAAGATGAACCCATTTCTTTTTCTTTTTCTTCCTGGTCAATGGCAAAAGGGTTAGACACAGAGTTGAAGGGAGCCATTCAAACGACCGCACAGGTCACCTGTGCTGGAGGGTGGATGTTGAGTTGCTACCCTAGAGTCTGTTCCATGTGACAGACTGGCAACAAACAGGGCAACATGAAGCATGTGGGGCTGAGGACCAAGAGCTGGGGGTGAGGCTGAACCCCGAGGGATTGGCCAAGGAAAACTGGATCCATTGGCAGCCAACAGCCTATGTGCCCAGAAGACATCCCGTTGGAAATAAGGTCTAGTACCATTAACATGGTGGTGATGAAACAAGCAATCTATTTCTGTCAGTGAGAAATGGGATATGATGAACTTGGATCAAGAGACCCTACAACCTTCCTCACCCCTACACACACACACTCAGCACAGCCTTGACTTGATGAGGTCAATGCCAGGAGACTGGGCAGCTCAAGTATTAATTAACTGGTGTACAGGTGAAGTCCTACACAGGCACCTCATGACACCTGCCTGAGCCCCATGGTACACCTGTGTCCTGGAAAAAGCCTGCTACTGGAAGCCCTGCCAGTCATTGAACCCTTGACTTATGCAGGCCAGCCACGTGCCTGTCCCCCCAGCCTCGGCTCCTCTGCTCCAGCCCTTGTGTCTTTGTCAGCCTGGGGAAGCTGGGCCTGCAGGTGAATATGCAGGTACTGGTGCTGAAGAGGCCCAGGAGGAAGTGTGCAGCACCAAGGCAGGTTTTGCTGTTTCACTGTGGTCACCAATCCCTCGGAGGACGCCCAGAGTGAAAGTCAAACAGGTGCAGGGCGCAGAGCAGGCTGGAGGAGTTGAGGGGACTGCTGGAGGCAATGCGGGTGGCAGGTGAGTGTACTTCCCACCTCCCTGCTGTCCCCTCAAGTTCCCCCATCCTCTGTCCCTCTAATTCTAGGAGAACAACCTCCTCTTCTACGAGTGCAGTGCCTATTCCGGTCACAACGCTAAGGAGTCCCTGCTCCACCTGGCCAGGTAACCACCATCGGGTCCACCTGGGCCAGGCACAGGAGGCACACTGAGCTCTCCAGGGTCTTGGCAGTCTTCTGGAAAAACACCAGTATCCTGCTCCACTTTTCCCAGGGATCCTCCTTGATAATGCAAACACTCCTGAGGAAGGTCCCCTCTCAAGTCCCTCCATATGCAGGGGTGGGAGAGTGGGGAGGTGGTGGTGGGCGGGATACATCACATGTGGCTGGGATTTGGGGTGCAGAACTGGACAAAGGAGGAGTTAGCACGTTCAATGCTGACCACCTAAAGAGACAAGTTCCTTAAAGTCCTGCCCCAAAATCAGGATATCAAAAACCCACTGTGACCCACTGCAAGTCCTTAAGCATTTATTTATTCATTCACTCACTCACACATCAAGGCATTCATTTCATTCCCTGCCTCCACCATCCACCATCCACCTGCCCATCCATCCAGTGCTTCAGTAGTGCCCGTTCTGCACTCAGCACTCATTTTGGGGAGGTGAAGACCTGCTCTTGTTGGAGTCATTAAGAACCAGAACAAGTCCTTCTCATCTTGGAGAGGTCATGTGCCACAGGGGAAAGTTCAAGACTCTTCTTGGCCATGATGCCCTGGACGGGGTTCCCTGATCTTGTCAGAAGTGAGGTGGGAGCATGTGTTAGACCCTCCCTACCTACTCCCAGGGTTTCAGGGAGAATCAAAGAAGATGTTCCAGGTGCCAGCGTTTGGAAGCATAATGCAGGGGTTCAGACACTTGCCGTTATTCTTAATACCTCATTTTTTGTGTCTAATCCAGAACTAGGATCAATGGCCTTTGTAAAGTGAACGACCATGAGATTGGTTTGCCAGGGCTGGGAGGCCCCTCTGCCAAGGGCTGCTTCCCACAGCCAGACCCCCTGTGCCCTCCAGGCAGGCACAGGCCTGGGGGAGAGCAGGTACTCCTGTATTATCCCAACAACCACCATCTGCAACTGTGGGTGGCTGGCCCAGGCTGCCGGCTCCAGGGACCCACAGCTTCTCTATCTACTTTCCTTGCCCCTCACCCAGGGTCCTCAAGGAGCAGGAAGACACGGCAAGGGAAGACACTATCCAGGTGGGCCGCCTCAGCAAGAAGAAATCCTGTTGCAGCTGAAAGCAGACATCCCCCAGGGATGGCTCCTTTGTGCCCACCCACACCTGCGACTGCCGAGCCCACACTCATCCCACCAGGAGGATCACCCACGAACGCCCACCCGCCCAGATCTCTGTCCTGGTCAGCCACTGGCCAGCTTTGTGTAGAAGGCAGGGAATCCAGAGCTGCTCTGGGGATAGCTTGGTATCTCCTCTCTCTCCCTCTTCTCTCTGGACCCCAGGTGCCCAGGCCAGCCAGTTACTTATTTATTTACCTTTCTCCCACTAATTTGTCTTCTTCATCTCCCATGACTCTGCAAAAGCCCAGGCAGAGAGAAGGGAGGCAAAGTTATGAGCCGCTCAAGTTCCCTGCCTAAGTCAGGATGGAGCTTCAGAAGCACTCGACACTCTGATTCCCTGGTCCCAGCTCTCAGCCTCTCCTCGTCCAGTTCCCAAAGCCACCACATTGCTCCAAGCCATCAACCTGTCCCCCAAGCCCAGAAGCTGGCCAAGCACTGTCAGGAAAACCCAGCAACATACTGTGTCCAGGGCTGGAGTTGTCGGGGTCACAACACCAAGCTCACCTGTAGATTGGAGGTTCAGTGTATACCTTACAGACCCATCTTAGCCAAGTGATGTCGGGCATGTGCTTAGCATATGCACCACAGGAGGCTACTTCAAAAAGCTTTTGGAGAATGGAATCAAACACGTTTATTTTGGTTCAAGACATAGGAAGGGTCTTAAGAAAGAAAATACATTTACCAAAAATAGTATTCACCAATTTCAGAGATTTTTTTTTTTTCACCAAAAGTCAGCTTGTCTTTCAAGTCCCTTTTCTTCCAGTCTCTTCAGGGTTGTCACTGCCATCAGCACTGAGATGCTGCCCTCTGCCCTCATCATTTGCCATGCTTCGGTTTCAGATTGGAAACCTCTGTGCACCTGCTAAGCTTCGGCCAGAAAGAAGCTGGCCCTTCCACCAATCGCCTCATCTAAGCCTCTCTGCTGCTTGCTGAGCTCCAGGCTGCCTTGGCCTCTGGACCCTGCTCTGCTCTCATCCATGGAGTTCCTGGTTTCCCCACACACACACCTGAGCCAATTCCAGCCCCTGGTCTCTTCTCTCTCTGCAGTTCCCCAGGACTGAGCAGCTCAGACCTGGCACCAGTCCTGGGTCTTGACCTGTGAGTGTCCCATGCTCATGGCATCCATGGCCCCACATCTGCTCTCTTATTCTTGTGCTTCCTCCCGGAACTTCTGCTCCCCTCAGTCCTGAGTTGCCAACATCAAACTAATGCCCACTGGCTTTGCACCTTTCCTTGCAATTTGTACCTTCCCATTCTCTTCGGGGTCTTTCATGTTCCCTGTGAGGTCATTCCTTTCTTCCCACTCCCCTCATCCTACAGCTTTCCCTGTTCCTAATACCTCATCCAGTCTTAGATCCCTGTCTTCCCTGTTCTCCTCCCAGAATCACTACATGTTCTGTCAACAATAGCTTGGCTGCGGAAGCCATTGCGTGGGCTGCCAACATCCCCTATCAGCGGTGGAGTGAGAGCTGCTCCACTTCCCATCAGCTTCCTGTTAATGTGCCTGGGAAGGCAGCAGGAAGTGATCCAAGTTCTTGGGCCTTTAACTCTAAAGTGAATCACTTATAGACTGTGTGCATTTGGATCATGTTTTCAAAACTCTTCTCATCTCTGTGCTTCAGTTGGAAAGTTGAATTCATTTAATATAATGGATAAAATGGGATTTATGTCCTTAATTTTGCTATTTCTTTGCTATCCATGATACATCTTCAAATTTATTCTTCTGCTTTTTTGTGTTAAATAGATATTTTCTAATGTGCCATTTTAATTCTCTTATTTATTACTTATTTTTAGCTCTTTTCTTAGTAGCTGCTCTGTAGATTCTTATTAATGTCTTAATTTATGACAATCCATTTGAATTAATACTAATTTAATTTCAATAGTACACAGTAAAGTTGCTTCTGTTAAGCATATTACGTTTTATGTTATCACAAATTACATGTTTATATATTTTGTACATCAGTATAGGATTGTAATTATTGCTATATGCCATTGTCCTTCAAAGTGTATAAAATTTATAAAATTGTACAAAGAGGAGTTACAAAGATGTGTTTATACTGTCTTTTATATTTAACTATATAATCACTTTTACCAATATTCTCTCTTCATGTTGATTTAAATTACTATCTCAAAAATTTTCATATCACACTGAAGAACTCATTTCTGGTATTTCTTTAATAAAAAAATAAATCTTTTTTACAAATTTAGTTTTATTTAGTTTTATTTGAAAAACAGAGTTACAGAATGAAGAGAAGAGAAATGTCTTCCATCCTCTGGATTGTGCCCCAACTGGCTGCAACAGTTAGAGCTGGGTTGGTCTGTAACAAAGGGCCAGGAGCTTCTTTCAGGTCTCCCTCATGGGTGCAGGGGCTGAGGGATCTGAGTCATCCTTTGCTGCTTTTCCAGGCCAGAAGTAGGAGGCTGGATCAGAAGTGGAGCAGCAGAACATGATCTGGTGCTGTGGACAGATGCCTAGCCTGATATGCACAGGGACAGCCATTAGTATTTCTTTCATTTTAAAATGTGTTTATTCATTTAAATAGAAGAGAGAATGAGAGTAACAGTGAGTGAGCAAGCGAGAAATAGCTTCCATTGACCAATGCACTTCCCAAATGACACAACTACCACAGATGGACAGGATGAATCCAGGTGCCTGCAATTTCAATCAGGTTTTCCCCTTGGGTGGCAGCGGCTCAAGCACTTGGGCCATCTTCTGCTGTCTTCCCAGGCACATTTCCTTCCCAGGAAATTGGATCAGAGCAGAATAATCAAGACTTGAATTGGCACTCTGTTATTGGATGCAAGTGTTGCAAGTGGCAGCATACACTGTGCCACGATTCTGGTGCCTTTAGGGTTTCTTGTAGGGCAGGTCTGATAAATAAGGTCCTTCAGTTCTGTTTATTTGGACAGATCTAATTTGTGCTTCATTTTAGAGGACAGTTTGCCATCTACTGTGACGATGCCATCCCACCGTTTCCAGCCACCATGGTTACTCATGTGAAGTCAGCCGTTAATCTCTGGGGAACCCTTGTGTGTGATGAACTGTTTCCTTGTGCTTTTAAAAGTCCTTGTCTCCATCTGTCAAAAATTTGTCCAGTTATCAGTGTCTTCAGAGTTTATTCTACTTGAAGTCTGTTTAGCTCCTTATATATGCCAGTTAATACCTTTCAATATATTTGGGATTTTTGAGTTGTTGTCTCTTCAGATATTCTTTCTCCTTTCCCTCTGAAGTTCCCATTGCATGTAACACGGGGTGCTTGCTGGTGTCCCACATGTTTCTCGGGCTCTGATCATTTTTCTGTATCCTTTATGCTTTGTGTTCTTTAGACGGGATCATTCCAACCGATCTGACTTCACATTCACTGAGCCTTGATTCTTTATTTCTTTTAGAAAAAGATTTTCTAGAATATTTTTCTTAATAGTGTCTAATAAGTGAGGAATCATTCTCACTTTCCTTCAGGTTTTTGACATGACTTTCTGCATGGTCTTTGCAGATGTTTAAGACGGTTGAGGTTTAAAGTCCAAGCTCTCATGTTGGTGGCCATCTGTCTCGTGCACACACCAAGCTCTCCTTGCGACTCCTTGCTTCATTCCTCCTGCTCCCACACAACACAGCTGGGACCTGAGGATTGTTATGTAGCCCCTCTTCTAATGTCCTCTCCAGTCTCTCCTGTCTTTGGCATCAAAGAAGGAAAGAGGCCCATGAGGTGTAAGAAATTCTCACTTCTACCTTAGTGTCTGGATGCTCTGCAGACAATGAGCTACCCAGGGAACTGCCAAGTCCTTTGCAAGTGAAGGGAGGCCTGCCAGACTCGGTCCCTGCTTCTTGTCCTGCCCAGAATCCAGACATCCTGCAACTATTCACTCCAAAGGCATAGGATGGAGAAGCCTGAAAAGCAGGGAGAATACTGTTTTTTTTTTTAAGAAGTAACCTAATTACTGCAAAATAATAAAGTGTTAATATACTTGCATACAAAACCTACCCCTGAGTGGCTTGTTGGTGCTGGTTGTGACCACAGACCCAGCTGTGTTTCTGAGACTGGCCACCCTTCTTTCCTTAATCTGAGATAGAGGCACTAAAGAGGCTGGACAAATTCCAACCAGGTACAAACCAATCCAGAGGGTTTTTTGTTGTTGTTGTTGTTATTTTGCTTCATTGGTTATTCTTTTCCTTTTGACAGAGAGCGAGGTGTTGACAATGCTTTCCAAACCTCCTGCTCCACTTCCCAACTCTGTTGACATTTCTACTAATAGACATATTAATTATCAGCAAGAGCAACAACAGAAAACACCCTAACTCCACCTTTGCACACGATTCAATGCAGCCCATTTAATCCAAGTGCCCTACTTAACAGGCAGCGTGACTGCGAATGGTGAGGGCTGGAAAGCTCCGTGGTGCCTGGCAGAGGACACACGATCAATATGAAACTGAAGAGCACAGAAGACGTTGCACCATTTATCATCCTGGGGCCAGGGCTGACTCAAATCCAAGAATGGACCCTCTCATAGGGCCTGGACCTCATCAAGGTTCTCCCTCTGACTCCAAAGTGGTACTTGTCAGCTTATTTTAGCACCAGGAGATTCCTCTCCCAGCAAATGAGGTCTCCTAGGAACAGGCAGGCCTGGGCTATCATCATGAATTACGACTCGAGCCATCTGACCTATAAACATGATTACTGTCCATAAAAACATTGCACCACTAACAGACATTGCCTGAAGAACATGAACAGAGGATTTGTCTTTTTGTAACCTAGAAGCAAGGATTGAAACACGTGGAAGTCAGAATGGATTTCGGAAACATGCCTGTGGTAAACTGTGACTCTTTGAGCCCAGGTAGCTAGTTGGTCAAGGTTTACAGCATCAGGTATATGGGCTTGCCCCGGGCCAGCCTGTAATGGTGGCTAACAGTTGTACTATTCTGCAGGGTGCTTATTAGGACAGAATACCCACAGGATGAACAAAAGACATCCTGGGTTCCCAAGAGCAGGAACGTACCTCTCTGTAGCCTCCCACAGTTTGGTACCATGTTCAGCAAACAACGCCTGCCCCATAGGAATGCTTGCAAGCAGAGCAACGTTTCTGGAAATCAAGGCCCACCTCCGCTGGTGAGCCACTCCTTTGGAGCTCCAGGTCCCTGTGGCCTTCATGGATGTCTGAGGTGGATGTCCTGCTTTAAACGAGCTGCTACTCAGGCTTTTAACACAACATGCTGGAGATGGTTCCAACTGCTGCAATGCAATTGCCTTTCCGACAGCATGGTGCCCATCAGAACATTCCATTTCATCAGCCCCTGGACTTCCCAGCTGCCAATAGTGGCAGCTCAGTAACTCAATTGGACTTGGACTGCATGTCTCTGTGTAGCAAGGATATTTCTCTGCCCAGTTGTCCTCCTCCCAGATGTAGGACTGCCCATCCCAAACAGGCTATCTCTCCCAAACACTTCCCTTAAGCCCCCCAAAGACCTGCTCAGAATAATGACCTGCCCATGAGTAGCACAGCCTTGGATAAAACTAAAACTATGCCATGCCCAGTGTCCAGCCCCCATGATCTGTAAAACCGTGCTTGCCAACTTGCCTTACCCTGACCTCGCCTCCAGGATAGCCTAAGGGTCAAATAAAAACTATGGAGAAAACTTAGTGGAAAACCTCTAAATAAATAACAGTTATTACATCATCATCTCGCTTCCCATGCCAAACCGAGCAGAACAAAACAGGAGAAAAAAAAAAAAGATGGGAAAATCCCAGGGCTCTTGGGAACGGGGTGAAGCTGGGGTCACAGGTGAAAGCACCTCTCATTTCTCCTTGAAAGGAGAATAAGTAAAACTTAAAGTCCTTGAAGGCACAGGGTTTCATCTGGGAACACTGCGTTTCTTCCCAGTCTGCTTTGAAGTTGGAGAGGCAGCCAACATCACAGACTAAGAGGTTTGGCCAGCAGAGTTTTGATCTCATTCGTTTTTGTGTTTTCCAGGGTCTTGGTACATAACAGACACTCAGTGTGTAGATGGGTATGCTTGTTGCCCAATGGGATAGCACAGGATTCGTTTTTTGACCTCCCCTTTATAACGCACTTCCATGCTGGAATGCTAAAAGAGTTGGGGGAACGGGACAGGTGTTTAGCCGAGCAGTTAAGATGGATTAAAACACCCGTTTTCTTCATCTGAGTTCCTAGGTTTGAGTGTTTGCCCCAGCTTCAGAATGCGACGGACTCAGCGTGCTGGAGACTCTCACTCTCTCAAATAAATGAATGAATTTCTTAAAAAGCAATGGAAACTAGCATAGAAGGATTGGAGTGGAAGAGAGAGCCTGAATTTTCTGTCCCAGGAGGAAGGGTGGCTGACTTTGTCCCTGAACTTGCTTTGAGTTCCTCTGGAGAGGCAGGGTCAGGAGCAGGGGCAATGTGGAGACAAAGGATGCCAAGGTGTCTCTAGGCAGGAGTGTAGCTCAGATCTCTGCCCTGTCATGGCCCCAGCTTCCTCCCTGGGCAGTAAGTACAAGACCCGGGCACTGAGGGATGTTCCAGAGAAATGGGAGATAAGGCATGGCAAAACCCATTGCCACTGAATAAACCTAGAGGCCTGAGAGAAATGAAGCGCCAGGACTCCCCAAAGCTCACCTGTCCTGCCTCCCCTCCCCATCCCTCTCCCTGTGGTCCCCTGTGAGGCAGGGGAGCACCTGATCCAAGGTGCAGCCCAAGGCTTCCCTGGTGTAGGAATTGATGCTGCAGCCTGGCCTGATCCTGTAGGTTTCTCTTTCCCTGCAGGGGATGTGACCGGCTTTGCGCCCCATGGGACTGTGTAAACTAGCCATCCCTATCTGATGGACTTAAAATATGCCAGGAGCCGGTATCCTGAATACAAGAAATAGCCCAGCAAATGAAGCCGCCTTTCCCTTCCTCTGCTCCTCCTGCCCTTGGCTCCCTCTCCACCCCTCCCTTTCCTGCCCCCTCCTAAAGCAGGTGCCTTGCATGAGACCCAGCCGCTGCCCTGCCCAGGCCTCCCTTTCTCTCTAGGGGCAGAGAGCGTGGAGTCTGGATTTCCTCCTCAGCTCTGCAACCAACCTGTCATGGTGGAGCTGGGTCTGTGGCTCCGAGCCATGCTCCACTTTGCCATAGGGTCTCCCATGCATACCCTCCTAGCTCCAACCTCCTGACTTTCCTCACCAGGAGACTGTGGTTCAGCAGGGGAAGGCATGTCCAGAGGTCAAGGGCAGTGAGCAGCCGGGCTGCCTCCTGTGCTCTGCCTTGGAAGCCCACCATCAGCTCCCCCAAAAGCCTTTTCACTAGGTGCTCTGGGAAGGGAGCTCTGGGAGACACCCCTACCCCCACCCCACCAGAGCCATGTGACCAGAGATGATTTGGCTCCCACACCACCTGGGAGAGCTCCCAGGTGCCCAGCTCACGCTATTGTTCTGCACGGGTCCTGAGTTTTGTTCCCACAAGCCTGGCCCCCCTCTGAGCTCCTGCAGCATCTCTGTTCCAGGTGTCTCCGAGTACCCACCTTCAGAATGGTTTCCAAGCAGCAAAACACCATAGGCTTTCCCGCTCTGACCCCCTGAAGCGTGCACTCTGCACCTCCTGCAGGGAGGGATCTTCATTGGAGTTGTTTCTGCTTCTCTTCCTATGAGGGCCCAGAGCCAGCCAGCTGCATGAGCCATGTACCAGGTGGGGAGCCACATTGCCATGTGGGCTCAGTTGGTCTCACTTGACGCTCACACCGGCCCTGGAAGCAAGGTGTTATTATCATCCCTATCGCATAGGGAAAGAATCAACACAAAGCATGGAGTTGGGGAATCTCACAGCAGGCATCATCGCTGTTTGCTGGAAGAACCGGAGTTGAACCTCAGGATAGCTCATTGCCAAGGCTGGCTGGAGTTCCAGACTTCTTCTGTGACCGTGAAGCTCGCTGCGAGCATGAAGCCTAAGCCTGTGACTCTATCCCACTGAGCTAACCAATCATGACCAGAAAGCAATTGTCATAATATGAGAAACCCATCATGACCCACAGAGTCTTGGACAGATGTATCAAGAATGCATCCCGGGCGTTGAAAACAATGCCAAGCATGTGCACCTCTTCCTTAGAAACAGCACCCTAAGGACCTGAAGGCAGCAGGACAAGCCCCCTACCCCATGCCAATCCAGTCTTAACTCAGACACTCCCAACTGCCATGCACATCCTGGGAGAGGGAGGAAGAAGTCCTTGTGGGAAGACAGCATGACACCAGACAGAAGGATGCAAATGAGCTTGAGGTGGCCCGCACGTGCACGCACACACAGACACACGCACACACATACATACACACACACACACAAGGGTTCCTTGTTAGTGTGGCAGGTGATGGAAAAGGAACAAAGCCATCTGTATTCAAGATGCGTGCCGTTTCAGCAACAGCAACCTGAAGAAGCTGTGCATCGCCAGCTCTCCCTGTGACCTGCAGAGCGGCTGCAAGCTTTTTTTTCTTCCTGCAGTTAGTTTTCCAAACAGGCAATGGTTAAGGCTGCTGTCATCTTCCCTGGGCAGGGAGTAGGGGGAAAGGAGTGACCGCCAAGTTGAGCTCACTAAATGCCATGCACACCTTGTCCTGGTTTAAATCCTTCTGTGTCGTCTCATTTGCCAAGGGAAAACGTCTCCTGGATGCTGTTTACAAGGCTCTTGGCCGGGGAGCTTGACTCTTCACACAAGCTCCTTCAAAGCCTCACCTTGTCCCTCAGCCCCGTCCCTGCCTGTGTCTTCTGAATGCTTCCTCCCCTTGCCTTCTGTCCCCTCCCAATTTCTCAAGTCTCTGTTTTGGGGATGCTCTCTTCTCTATAGAACCTTCTCTTTCTCCCTCAGTCTCCAGTACGGTATGTGTCATCCTTGGGAAACTGTGGAAGGACAGGTTGGGGTCTGCTGTGGTCACCTCTGAGTTGGTCCCACAGCAGGAACCCAAGGCCTCCCCATAGTAGACTGGGCAGTGGAAGAGACAGCGCTCACTTCACTCTCCTGGTGGCCCCTGGAACTGCAGCTGGGAATGAAATGGCCATGCCCAGCACAGGTGACAGGGACTGCACCGTGCTCCTGGCTCCTAAAGACTCACTCTCTCCTGTAGTTCTTCTAGGACCCTCTGACTCAATGCGATGGCAGCACACATTCCTATTGCATTGATCCTCGGTTATGACAGCAGGGAACTGATGGGTTATTCCCGATCGGCTGTAGCCAAGCAAGTTGGCAATGTTGATGTGACTGTGATTCCTATCGAAGACTCACTTCCCAGCCTGGTCCCGGTGCATGTCCCTGGCTGGCCCCCGGCATGTGCTTTGGAACCATCAAAGAGATGAAGCACTCTGAGGATAAAAACTCCATGTATTATTAACCAAAACTAAATGCGACCGGAGGAGGAATTCTCCTGGGCAATGTAGCATGTGCTTACAAAGTCAAATGAACACATCTGACTGAGTGCTCTTCTCCCCAGGGTGCAAAGCAGACATTTCACTTCTCACTGTAGGCTGAGTGTCAAGATCACCAGGAAGTTCCAGCGCTAAGAAATGGGTGTGGCATGGCTAGGTAAAGCTGCCTTCCGTGATGCCAACATCCCCTCTGGGTGCCAGGTCATCGTATCCTGGCTGCTCCATTTCCAGTCCAGCTCCCTGCTAATGTACCTGGGTCCCTGCACCCTGAGGAAGTCCTGGAAGTTTCTAGCTTCCTGCTTCTGGCTTTAGCACGGCTAGTGTAGGTTGTTTTTTGCAGACATCTGAGCAGTAAGCCAGCAGTTGGACCATCTTTGTCTCCCCCTTTGTCTCTGTTGCTCTGACTTTGGAATTATTAAATACATTAACCTTTTTAAAATAAATAAGCCAAGAGATGGGTGTAGAGGCAGCTGCAGTGAGGCCCAGCCCAGAGTACAGTAGCTAGGGCTTCCGCCAGGATATGGTATTCTCACATGTTTACAGTCTTACAGGTTAAGGTTGGGGGGAGGTACCTCACCTAAGATGGAACTCAGCTCAACATGGAATCCCTTAAGTCAAGCCTGTTATTTCATTATGAAGAAAACTCCAGAAATGAGGTTGGGGACCCTGGTTGCTGAACCCAAAGGTGGTGGTGGGGAGATAGTGCAAAGAGACGGAGCTCCCATCCTGTGTGGAACTAGGGTGGGGGACAATGCCACTTCGAGGAAAGGCAAGACAAGGGAAGTGTCCAGGGGCCACAATGACCCGCTAGACCTGAGGAAGACTCCAAGCAAGAAGAGCATAGCACAGGGCTAGGATCTGATTTTGTTGCTGAAGCAATGCATCTGATCCTGGTGATTCCTAAGGATAGAGGTTGGCTTGGACTCCCTGTTATGAAAGTTACAGCAACAACACAGTACTGGTGAGGACTTGGTGTTGCTTCACCTCATGGCAGAAAGCCAAGGGCAAGGGCATGGGTGGAAGACACAAGCATGAGGAATGTCCTTGCTTCCTAACAACCCACTTTCTTGGTAACTAATCCAGTGTCGGGCGAGGAAAACTTCCCACTTGGGAGAGAGGCACCAATTCATTCTTGGGGGTGCCGACTCTACAACCCAAACACCTCCCAGCTGCCACAGCTGCCTTGGGGACCAGGCTCCAGCATGAGTTGTTTTTTGTATGGATGGGGGGGGAGTATAAATCACAGCAGATGGGCTTAACTGCCTACCACTACTGAGATCCAGAGTCAGGCTGGACCTCCAGGTGCTGTACCAGCTGCAACGCAAAGAGGAGAGGAAGACTTTGGAGGTGGGGACCAGATAGGACTTTCAAAGGCCTTGTGTCTTGCCATAGAGATGATGGAGGTTCACATCCATCTAAGGAAAATAGCCCCAGTGGAATCGCTTTTATGAAAGCCAAGAAAATGTTGCCGGTTCTGGAGGCTTACAGACAAGGTTCATGCCTGTTGGTTCCTGGAAATCAAGCAATGGCTGGAATCAGCTACTGTGCAGAGGAGATGTTCTTAGACCAGCCCCAACAGCCCGCTTCCAACCGGGAGCTCCCCTTTACAGCACAAACAGATGCAGTTTCCACTGGTTCCCCGCTCTCCCCACCACACGGAGCCCCGGAACACGACACTTTACATCTCCGCTTCGTTCTCCTGTGTGTTTATTGGGCGCTCACAGAGTCTGTGGTCGTATGCTCAGGGGCCGGAGCCACGGTCTCGTCCAGAGGCGACCAGGGCTAGTACAGAGAATGTTTCAGAGCTGCTTAACATCTGGTAAGGAATGGGGAAGGGAAAACTAATCACAAAACAAATTCCTATTCGAAAGCAACAGAATTCTCCTCTGAGAGTAATATATATTCTATGCACACGCGCACACGCACGCACCCACGCACACACCCCTCCGGAGGAACACGCGAGGATACCCACTTGATTGTATATGCATGCATATACAGATGCGTGTGGGTCAATAAACTACTGTGGATGCTGTAGGCAGGCACACACAATCACACACCACCGCACAGACAGATAATCTGGCTTATACTATCAAAAACACCGAATCTCCAGGTTCTAGTGAAAGCAATCCGACCTAGATGCCTGCAGCATGCAACGGGAGGCTCCGCAGGGTCACAGTTAAGGAGGACGAGGATGGGGGTGGAATTAACACGGGTTCATTTCCAGCCTCGGGGCCCCGGCCACAGCACACGAGGTTGCTGGTTGCGGGCGCCAACAAAGCCTTTCGCGAGGGGCTCTCGGAACTGAGTGGAGGAGCCCAAGGCCCTCTGTCCAGTGGCCGGGCCCCACGCCGGGAGCCCCCCGGGTGGGCTGAGCAATCTTCAAGCCAGAGTTGCTAACTCTGGTTTGCCAGTGTGTAGTCCTGCAGTACAGGATTCCTTGGGACAGCGCGGCAGATGGAGGCGAGAGTTTCTTTTCTCGCTCTCTGCGGCGTCCCACGTGTGCTAACGCATTTTGTAGTCATTAGATACAGATGTTTCACACAACTGTCCCTTAAAATCCAAGTCTACTGTGAAATCGAGGTCTCGCTGCCAGGGGAGAGAGAGAGAGAGAAAGAGGTTGCACCATTAGTCTGGGTTGACACTCAGCCCCTCCCCTCATTCGGGGTTCCCCCCAGTGCCTAGAACTGGGTAGTCCCCAGTCTTAGGGGTTTTTTTTTAGCTAAACAGAGCCCATGAACAGCCCTCAGGAATCTACCACAGTGCTGTGTTAGACTCATGGGAAGTTTTCATTGTTCTAAAATAATATATACATAGCATATTAGTTATAACGGATATAGTAAACAATATATAATGTGCGTAATGTAACATATAGGTGTTTATATTATATAGTATATAATATGTAGTTTATGATATGTTTTTAAAATACACACTAAAAAGGTATACAATTTGTATTATATATGGCCTATATAGGTAAATACTATGTATACTATACATCATATTTGTTCTATAAACATATATTATAGTTCCTCTGATTTCATCCTGGTGTTCTAGAATCTTCTATGGCAAAATCTGGGCACTCAACAGGCTTTTAATGCATGCCCCCCACCCCCCGGCCAGGGTTTGCTCAGAAAGAATCCAATCGCCTTCAGTCCACAAGAACAGCTGCAGAAACACTAGTTCAAATGTCTCTCGGGACACCACAAGTTCCTGTGTCCGAGGTTTGTCCTATATGAGGTGGATACCTGTTGCACAACACTCCCCTTGCCTGCTGACATGCTCTTCGTGAGCCGGAAGCTGAGAGGTCAGTAGACTGGAGAAATTTGGGAGTCAGGTTGCAGTCTGTCAGGCACACCTGATCACAGCCACACGTGGCCACTGTCTGCCTTCCTCCCTGACTCCCCTGACTGCACACAACACTCAGGTTCCTGGGCAGGATGGTCCTGGGAGCCCTCACGGGTCCCTTGTCTCTGCTGACCACACGGAGACGGCCTCAGTACTTACCACGTTTTTGGCGTTTGGCTTCATGGTTATGGTCCCGTAGATCTCTTCCCCCCTCCGGACAGTGAGGTAGTCTTCCAAGTAGAAGACGGTCTGCTTCCAGTGGGTGTAGGGGGCGTCGGGGGCTGGGAGGGGTCAAACGAGAGGGCAGAGTCAGAAAATTGGTCCCCAGAAAGTTGGGGCCAGGATACCAAGTAGGGCAGTGAGCTTCCCACGGGACTCGGTGAAACAACCAAACGTAGTACTCTTGTCGAGTGGGATCAAACCCCTGATGATCTCCCTTGTCCAGATTTCCACTCACTTGAGATTGTTCAGGCTCAGAGAAGGAGGAAATGTCATACCAAAAGATAGATGCTTCTAGCTAAACTCATTAGCGCAAAGGAAGTCTTAAAGTGCTACATTTCAACAGGGTGAAGACCTTCAGACAGTGCAAGGGGCAAGATCTGTGGAGCGGCCCACCCCATCTCCCCTAAAACGACAACTTTGTACAAACGCCACAGCTGCACCTTTGAACTTGCTGCTCCCTCTGACAAATGGCTTTTCCTGCCTGCATCTCTGGTCCCTGGAACTGGCCCAGCCCTGCTGTGAGGTTCCAACTGTGCGTTCCTAACTGGGTCAGAAGAAACAAAAGATGATTCTCACAGTCTCTGCCTCAATCCAAAGCCCAAAAGATGATGCTTGCCCTTATCCCTACAGTTGCCACGAAGTCTTACCCACCTGACCCTGGGCACTTGATGGCTCTCCCAGCTAAGTGTGTGTGGTCCTGTCTTATGGGCCATCTTCCTCTTCTCATGCAGCAGCTGTCTTTTGAACACGTCCCCTCCCTCTTTCACTGCCTTCTCTGCCTCATCCTCCAAGGACATTTCCTTTGGGAATCTTGGTCCAACCACCCAAGCCTGGCTGTCAGGCTCCCCGAGAATGCTGAGCTTGCATCATCCTGGCATCTATCACAATGTGCATGCTTTTGCCTCCCCACTGATTCGCATCTTCTACAGAACTGCAGTCTGCCTGTGGCCAGAGCCCATACCAGCCACGCTTTCCTGTTGCAACCACAGCTTCCAGTCTGTGCATACTGAAACGACGATGAGAAGAACCCAAAGAACAGATATTCTGTGATGCTTGATTGTACCCACAGATGTTCTGTTACACTCGATCTTCCACAATCCATTGTAGAAGAACCCAATTACAGGAAAGTTCTTGATGATTCTGGATCTTTCCTTCCCCTACTGAGATTCACTCAGGATCAGTGCTAATATTGAGAAGACTTGAAGAGAACCTGATAAGAAGCCGGCAGGTGGGGAGACTCAGCGGTGTCCTGTATGGCTTTGGAGGCAGAACAAAAGCCAGTCAATAGGAATTGCTGAAAGGCAGATGTTTAATTCGCCAGCAAGAGGGGGGTTTGTTTTACAGCCTGAAGTCTGCCAGTGCAGATGTTCATAAAACTGCCACCAGAGAGGTTTATTATGCACAAGGTCAGAACAGGTGACCTCTAAGCTCTTACAAAACTCCAACATGTATTTTAATGATGGGGAAAGCTCAGTGTTTCTTTGCCCTTTGCAGTGAACGAGCTTGATCAAATGTCAGTGGTTTGGACTGAGAGTCAAGTTAGCCTTCAATGTGTACATTTGGGAAATCGATGAGAACCCAAGGTCATGGGGAGAAAGTGTTGTTGGCACACGTGGAAGGGAAAAGGGGATCATGAATGTGCAATATGCACCTCTCAGGCCCTGTGTCCACAAGCACATCCGGCTTCCCGGCCTACTTCTCTCTGTAGAGTCCACCTGCTCCCAACCCCCACGGAAGAAGCTGCCAGAAGCTAGTTTCTGGTTGTGTGCGTGTGGCGCATGCCAGCGTGTGACTGACAGCACTTTCGCCCCCACCTCTACCCACGCTAGCATAGACGAGTGTCACTCCCTTTCCTAAAGACCTTCAGGCAAGGGGACGTATGTGGCCTCCTTCTGTCACCTCGGCAGATGCCTTAGGAGCACCTCAGGGATGTCACTGGGCAGAACTGCTAGTTATTGAGTCCCCAGGCCTGCTTCTGACAGTGGCCCCAAAATGCACCAATTTGGGGTTGCAGAAATGTGCAGTGTTTTTTTAGCATCAGCACTGAAAGGTTGGAAACTTCTCCAAACATCCCATGTCTGGGCTGAGTCCACGAGCTGGCCACTAATTGGAGTAAGTCAGTTTTCACAATCCTGGTTCTCCAGCAGAAGAAACAGATGAAAGTTTAGAAGGTCTGACTCAACTCCAAGAAACTCAGATTCAGACTTGTGGAAAGAGGCAGACCCCCTGAGAGTTAGCCCCCAGCCCATTCCCAGTGAAGCAGACTCAGCAATGCCTGACATCACTGGGCAGCTCGCAGCATCACTAGGGTGGAAACAGCAGGACAGACATTGGATTGGGCAACAACAGGCCCAATTTCTGGTCCCCACTTTGCCACAGACCTGCACCATGACCTTGGTTTCATTGCCTCCCTCTGTGATGATGAATCCCAATATTTCTCTGCTGAGGCATCACAATGATGCAGTGAGATGATAAAGGGAATTGTCATATATGAGGAAGACCAAACCTCCTGCCATGTCTGGGACAGTCCTGGGTTCCATTCTTCTTGACGTTAACTCTCCTTTTCTCTTAAAAACCATGTCCTTACTTGAAGGACACTTGATCCAATGATCACCATACCTGTAACATAGTAGGCTAGCACAGAACTGCTGTGCCTAGGAGGTGCAAAATCCTTCCATAGGTAAAACAGGGTTGCATGTATACATCAGCTGTGTCTCCAGCCTACCAAGCCATGCTGCCTTGCTCTGGTCTAGAATGTCCTGGAGCAACATCCAGGACACTGCTATGCCCACAGATGGTTTGGGCAACATCCAGAGCTCTCTTCAGCGGCGTACAAGGCTCTCCCTCCCCAGCTCCACCACAATCCACAACAAACTACATGGAAGCTTTCAGCTTCTCCATTACGAAGATGGCTTCCTGCTCTTAGCGGTAGCTTTCCCTTTGTCTCCCTAAAGCTTCCTCCTATCCCAGTCTTCTAAGCCCTGGAATATATTTTGTAGCTTGAACTGAGCATGATCAAAATGCCCACTAGAATACACGTGCAAGTGAATGCGCCATCCATTCATTCACTATTCACTTGACGAATATCTATGGGGGATGGCTATCCTGCATCAGCTATGGTGCTACATTTGGGGAATGGTAACTAAGATAAACATTACTTTGTGTGTGCCTCCCTCCCTTCCTCGGCCCGCCCCTTGTAGATGCTTCAGCATAAAGGAGAAAACACTCAGGTGCCTAGTGATGAAGTTTGGCAGGGGTTCAGGGTTGGGAACATAGAGAGTAACAGGAACACATGACAAGGGCTTCCAGCAAAAATCTTCTGTGATACTTTTGAAAATGGAAAGCAATTTTGTCTCCAGTTTTATTTTTCCAGGTGAAACAGCTGGTGATTTCAGGACTTAATCATTTTTCTAGCTATAAATTTGGAATTGTCTTCCCTAAGGGATTATCAAGCTTTCTGGACAATGAAGGATTATGTATCGGGGAAGAAAGCATCATTGACCTGGAAAACTATTCAAGGTCACAGGATGGCAAAGCGGGGGGAGAAAGAGACTGCCCAAGCCTGAATGTAACATGCTGAAGGCTAGGTCCCATGTAGTCATCCCACCTTACTGATTCCTGGGGAAATTAGGACTCTATTCCAACTGATGCTCCGTCCCCCACTAACACAGCCGTCTGGTTTCCACCACAGCCCCAGCAGCTGCACTCCGCATCCCCTTCCCTGGATATGCCAAGGAATGGCAACAGGCAAGCCTGTTGCCTGGCAGAACTAGGAAGGCCAGGTGCCTGTGCTCATGGGTGACAGCCCTGCCTGGAGCTGCAGACATGTCAGGGCCGTTAGTAGAGGCAGTGCTGGGGCAGCACAACAGGGGAGGTGCTGCTGAGAATCCCTCTCCACCCGAAGCCTGCAGTGCTAGGTTGGGAGGGAAAACCAGGCTGGGGGCTGCACATTGCAGGCTATGCAGTACAGCAAGTTCAAAGACAGCTGAGTGCAAGCCGTACCCAGCTCAGGTTCACCCAGAACATGGCCTTCAGAAAGTTCATGGAGAAAGTGTGTGATAGAAAGACAAATACACATTCCAATTTTTTTTGCACCAAAATGAACTAATCTTTTAATCCCAATTTTCATCAAGCTTTCAGAACTACATTTGTAAATATGGTCATATTTTTTTCCAAATAAAAAAATAGATCGGGGCACAGAAAATGCCAGAGAAAGTTCAACTGGAGGTGACATGAGGGCTTGCGGGGGCAACATCCAGGTGGATGCGAAGGTATTAGTAGCAATTTAGTCATTAAAGTTAAGTGGTGGGCTCAAGGGGATTAATTATATGAATCTGAATTAATTTATTTACATTGGTTAACAATAAACACAATCATATTACAGTTATTAATAAGGCATTTCTACTTCATATTTATATTCTAATTAATAGCAATTTAATAATGGATAGATTTACAATCTAATAAATTCACTGCTAGTTGCTAATTACATTCTAGTTAATGATGACTTATTAACGTTTTAGTACTGAGTTAAGGGAGGAGTTCATTGGTGTTCATTACATTAATAAAGAAAGAAGCAAAATAAAACTACGCAGGAGCCAGTGATTTGTTACATCATGAACCAAGAATTAGGATTCATTGAACTCTTTAGAAAAGGAACTCCATTGGTGGTTGGAGTGTAGGCAATCCAAGCAGAGCCCACTGCCAAACCCATACAAAATGAGAAAGCAGTCTGCCACTTGCTAGACTCAACATCCCACACTACCTTCCCAAGGTGCCTGAGAAAGCCACTGAACCAGTTGTACTCCCCTGATCTAAATTTACCTACATGGGAAGCCTGCAGGCAACAGGGGTCTGCTTCAGCCAGAAATCAGAAAGTCTTGGCAAGACCAGCATGCGTACCTTCGTGAGGAGGTGGAATTGCCCTTCCAAGTAGGGAAAAATTCTGGAAAGAAACCCCAGAATTCTCAGCCATGGTGTTCAGAGCAGTGCCCCTCAAGCTGAGGCATCTTGATCTGTGTTAACTCTCACCACTTCCCAGGTGATACTAGTACTGTGGGCCCAGGGGCCACACTCAGAGACGAGAGGGGAGGGGAGGAGGGGGAGGGGAGGGGAGGGGAGGGGAGGGGAGGGGAGGGGAGAGGAGGGGAGGGGAGGGGAGGGGAGGAGAGGAGAGGAGAGGAGAGGAGAGGAGAGGAGAGGAGAGGAGGTGGAAGGGAGGAAAGGGGAAGGGAGGAGAGGGGAGGGGAGAGGAGGGAAAGGGAGGAGAGGAGAGAGGAGAGGGGAGGGGAAGATGGGGGGAAAAGAAAGGGGAGGGGAGGGGAGAGCAGGGGAGGGGAGGAGGGAGGGGAAGAGGAAGGGGAGGGGAGGGGAGGGGAGGGGAGGAGAGGGGAGGAGAGAGGAGGGGAGGGGAGGGGAGGGGAGGGGAGGGGATATTTGGAAAGCCTGCATGCAACTTACCTGTAGAGAACCCCATTTTCTTGTGGCACTTGGTAAATTCAATATTAAAATAGGTGACCAGGGCGTGGACGTAGTCGTTGCGCTGAATCTGCAGGCAGAACGCAGATGTGAACGACAGCTCCTCCGTCTTCACCGTGTAAATGTCGACCTCCTGCAGCCCGGAGGAGAGAGAATGCCAGGAACTTAGGGTCCCAGCCAGGTCTTGGTTCAGCCAGCAGCCTCACCCAGAGACAGACTCTGCAGGGGGGGCTGTCACGATGTGTACAGTGCCTGCCCAGGGCCACCTGCTGTCCTGCAATGACCTCTTCCATCCTGTCTAGGGTGGAAAAGGGTCAGGCAATGATGGCCAAGAAGATTTGAATCAAAATCTAAGTGGATGTAGAATTAGGAGGGTAAGTCATCTAATTAAGGGGCGGGGATAGGAGTGGGAGGAGCGGGGAGAAGTTTATTAGAGGATGTGTCCCTAAAATTCAGTCAGAGCGCCCACCTGAGACACTTGTAGCAGCCTCCTAGACCCACCTGTCAGAAGCACACTGTGTCCTAGCAGACGGCCCCCCTTCTCACAGACTCAAATTCCCAAGCAAGCGTTCTCTCAGAAGCCAAGCCTGAACTCAACAAAGCCACAGACTGTGCTCAGGGAAGCTGTGCTGGCTAGACAGGTTTCACCAATAAATAAAAGACAGAAAGAAGAACTGGGAATTCTCAGCTCTGGCTGGGGAATGTTGGGCACAAAGAACTAATAATTCTCTCAATTGCAGGCAGGAAGTGGCTGAAAATCAATCTTGTGTGGGAACAAGGCTAACAGAAGGATGGCTTGCAACATGCAGTTCTTTTGCTTGGGAAGGACGCCAACCTGCCGTCTGTCTGGTTCCCATGATGTTGGGATAACCCTCTTAGGAGTTCAAGGGAGAGCCCGCAGGTACCCTGTACCCCCACGCAAGAGCTTTCTGTTGGTCAGGACTGTGGAGCAAGTGGCTTGTGATACCAACAGGTGGACCCATGTACCTCTAATGGACTGATGTTAACTTGGGTGACCCCCAAAGGTCACTGGGTAGGAGTTGACCCCCAGGTGGCACCAGTTGAGACGTCCTTAGATGGCTGCGGCATGTCCTCAGGAGTTGGTCCTGCTGGCCTCCTGGGCTGTCATGAGAGCACCGTGACAAAGTCCTGGCTGCTATATGCTCCTTCCTCTGCAATGCTCTGCCACCCACCACCACAGGGGCCCTGCCACCCACCACCCACCACCACAGAGCCATCCCCAGAAATGGCAGCAAAGCATTTGGCTTTTCAGCCTCCAGAGCCATGAACTAAGCAAATCTCTCTTTCCTTCATAAGTAGCTTGGCTCGGGTCTTTAATTATAGTGAGAAGAAAGTGAATAGGTATATTGATAACTCACAGGGGTCCCAGACTGGAATATGGCAGGAGTAGTGAGGAGAGAGTAGTCTGAGCAAAGAGAACCAAGATCAGTATAGAGACAGAAGGATATTTTTTATCACTACAGTTGTCTAGCAAAGGGGAAAGGGATGCAAAGGACCCAGTGACCTTCAAAAAGAAGTCTTGAGAACACAGCGATGACAAGAAGAGGAAGTAGTGGCCCAAGGAGCTGGCCAGATCAGAATCTAGCTGGGGTGAGCGGCCAGGACAGCCCCTGGAAGCTGACCCCTCTGATTGTTGCTTGGCAGGAGGGCAGGTGGTAGTACAGGGGTGGTGGGATGCTGGAGTTTTCAAATGTAAATTCTGTTGCATCTCTAGACTAAATGGTGAGCCCTGGGTAGGGTTTGCAGATTCTGATGGGCTCCTGAAGCCTAGTTTCTCCCAAGAATCCCCCAGGAGGATGCCCAGCAGGTGCACACTTCAGGGCCCCTGAGTTCCTCACACACTCAGCCCATGTTTCCATGTCTCCAAGTTTCTAGGTCCCTCTGCAGGACCAAGGAAGAGGGCCCAGACATGCCTCTCTGTAACAGCGACCCACAGAGTCAGACAAATGCATGGTCCAGCTCCCAAGGGACCCCCACACCTCTTCCTCTCCAACATAGACCATCTCTTGCCCTGTATTCATTTCTCCCAGACTCCGCTCCTGCCCTCTAACCACCCTGGCCTTTTCTCCTCTGGCTGCATTCTACCTGCGAGAGTGATGCTGACCCCATGAAAGAGGTCCTTCACCTTGCTCACTGGGGTACACTCTCAAGAGGTGCACTGCTGGCTCACACAGCAAGCCTCTCCCCGCAGCACAGCAGTCTAGCCTCCGCCATTAGACTGGAGCTCTTCAGGGGTAGCAGCTGCTCCTCTTTGGCTTGCACATCCTCAGTGTGGAACAGGGCCAGAGGTAGCAGCATTTGTTCGATTTGTCCTTCTTTTGGAAGGAGCTCTCCCCACCTCCATCCCCGCCTAGACTGTTTTTTCCTTCCCAGACTTCTCTGTGACCACCAACTGACAAGTCTCTTTAATGCTACTCCTTGGGTCAACAACCTTCCTTGGCTCCCTACACCTTCTCATTTGGACCTGACCTTTTCTCCATCACTGCCCTCATTTCTCTACTTCAAGCGCGTGCATGCGCAAGCATGCATACACACACACACACACACACACACACACACACGCATACATCCCATTCCATCTCCAGAGGGTCTGGCTATCAGACATTCATCCAGCAAATGTCAGCTGTCAGAGGGGCACTGTTCCATGGGTCCTAGACATATTTGCATCCCAATAGGGAGCCTGAACAAAAGCCTTCCAGATAAGTAATGAAGCTGTACCACTTTACATGAAAACAGTCAATAAGGGAGGCAGGTGCCCATCCAGGCCATCTGTGAGGGTGGGATTAGCTGCTGAGACACAAAGGACCCCCACCCCGCACTGCCCCAGGCTCAAAACCACTCCTTCCCCTGGCAGACTGGACCATCTGCAGATCAGCCTGATGCCCTAGGGCCCACCACTAAATAGTGCAGCAAATGATGACTCCAAACAGCAGTCTGGTCCAAACAGAGCCTTAATTATAATAAAGTGTCACACTCTGCAACATTAATAGCGATGAAAATAGCAATTATCTGTGTGAAGAAGGGCAAGTGTTTTCCCAACAGGCTCAGCGAGGCATTCTTAGAACACGGGTGAGAGAGCTAACAGAATGGCTGTCGTGGTTGAGGAGGAGGGGAGGAAAACCCAGGCATCCTCATCCTTGGTGAACAGGAAAGCACAGGCAAAAGAAGGGGCAGGTTGGCACCACACATTTCCGGTTGTGAGACACTATCCGAACCTCGGGGAGTGCCCAGGAGGAGTGTGCGGGGTGTCCCTGATCTCCCAGCCCTCCTCAAAAGTCTGGCTGCAATGATCCTGCACACAAGCAGGTGTAACCAAGGGCAAGATGCTGGCTGGCTCCTGTGTGAGAGTGGAGGAAAGGCAAGGGAAGACCAGACAGAACCAGGCTGGATAGTGACACGATGAGCAGGAGGAAAACAGAATTGCTATGGCTGTACCTGCAAGCCAGGCCTGGCATCAGGACAGGAAACAAAGAATCAGGGGTTGAAGAAATGCTATCCCCAAGCTGAAGCCATCCCCAGTAGGTGCCTTTGGCTGCAATGTTGACAGAACTCTAAGTTGTGGATCAACTACCTGCCCAGGGACACTTCCCCATAAAGAAGAGGCCCAATGATGGAGGGGCTGGCAAAAATAAACAAAGGGTATGTTTGTTCACAGTTACTCCTGCCTGGACTAACAACAGACTTGTCTAAGAAGTAGTGAGAGGGGCCAGCATTGTGATGCAGCAAATGAAACCACTGCCTACAACACTGGCATCCCAGATGGGACTGTCTGGCTCCTTGGCTTCTCCCATCTCTGATTCAGGTTCTTCAGGTTCCTGCTAATGCACATAGCACAAGATGACCCAGGTCCTTGGACCTGAGCCACCCAAGTACGGACCTGAGTAGATTTCTAGGCTCCAATTTCGGCTTGATCCAACCCCAGTCATCGTGACCATTTGAGGAGTAAACCAGCAGATAGCAGATACTCTCTTTCACTCTGTGTAACTCATCTTTCAAATAAACAATATATCCTATGTTTAGACATGGAGGACTCTTCTCATCTGGACAGGGCAGCAGTATAAATCAGTCATTTTTAAAAATATACATACATGTATTTCTTTTTATTGGAAAAGCAATTTCACAGAGAAAAGGAGAGACAAAGATCTTCCATCTACGATTCATTCCCCAAACAGCCTCATGGCCACAGCTGAGCTTATCCAAAGCCAGGAGCCACACGCTTTGTCCAGCTCCCCCATGTGGGTGTGGGGGCCCAAGGATTTGGGCCATCCTCTGCCACTTTCCCAGGTGCATCAGCAGAGAGCAGTGTAGGACATTGTGACCCTAGAGAGTCAGCGAACACAGGACTACAATTGATTGGATAATATTTGTAAGAGTATAACTTAATGGGTGCCTTTTGTGCGACTGATTGAATATCCTTTGCATGGTATACCTGATTGGATTTCATTTGTATGAGAACACTTGGTGGAATAAACAAGACAAAAGGAGTTCCAAACAAAAGTATAGAAACAGTTGATGGGTTTTGTTGATAAGCTCAATACCTCCACCCTTATCCTATATGACTCTCAGTGTATTAAGTCTGATGCGCCTAATAAATTTCGGCTATTGATCATCAGTCACACGTGTTATTATTGGCTCCGTGCACCAAGTCCATCGCTGCAGTACAGCGACAGAACAAAATCAGAAGTGGAGCAGCAGAGCTACAAATGACTGCCCATATGGAATGTTGGTGCTGTATGTACACATTTAATACACCACGATGGTACAGTGCCAGTCAGCCCCATAGCAGTCTTCCAGAAACTTCCCTCACTGCAGTGGCCTTGGGTTTTGCCCTCTTGATCCTTCCAGAGATGACTCAACATTTGCAGGAACAAAATCACACACACACACACATAAGAATTCGTGTTCTCAGGGGAGGATGAACACCTACATAATGAAACTATGATCCTAAACTTGAAAATCAGCTTGGATCATCCAAAACTGATTTCTTTCTATATTTAAATAAACACACAAGGGGAAAGCAGTTAGCCTGATGGAATGCCCAGGTTGAAGCCCCAAGAGCTCCAGCTCCTGAGTCCAGCTTTCTGTCGACGCCTGCCCTGAGACGCAGCAGTGGTGGCTCAAGCAGGAGGGTTCTTGTTGCCCCTGGGGGAAGCCTGGGTGGAGTTCTAGGCTTCTGGCTTTAGCCTTGGCCTTGCTGCGACCCATCTGAAGCATCTGAGGAATGAATCAGTGGATGGACCTCTTGCTAGCTGCCTCTCCAATAATTAATTTTAATGTCTAATAAGAATGAAGCAGCACCTATGTATATGGTTCAACATAAAGTATTAGCTTCTAGAAATGCAAACACACAAAAGAAGGACTGAAAGAATTAGTTTCCCCTGAAGGAGTCTAGTATTGGAGGGGAGGCAAAAGGTGTTAGATGATGACCACTGCCCGCCTGGTGCTGACCAAAGTGGCCTTGCATTCCAAGATGGCACAGCCAGGTTCCCAGCATGCCCCATACCCAGGATAAGTCTCCAGACCTTTATTAAACAGGCGTTGGTCACCACTTGCTTTGGGTCCACAATGTCCACCAGCGGCTCCTTCATGGCCACATCCCGGATGCAGGTCATGTCAAAACCATACACGTTCTCCCACCCTGCAGAAACAGGCCAAGACATGAGACAGGCAGCAAGACCCCCTAGGAAAAAAAACCCTCCCTCTTGAACACCGGAGAATAGCATGCCAGAGAGGAGTGGGATGGGGTAGAAGGGGCTGCAAGATTCCCTTGTATCCGAGTCAGGTGAAAATCACTCTCTCTGGTGGGGAGCAGTGCCCATCACTCTTCCACATATTCTCCAATGTGCTTGTGCAAAAGGCAGGTCCCTGCCTTACAGCTCACACAGCTGAAACGCGTGTCTACACTCCTGCCCCTGTGAACTCCCCCAGCTGCTTTCTATGGTCTTATTACTGTGTTGTTCTGCACATCCAGAATGACCCTCCTGTTTCCTTTTTCCCACCTGCTTCCATGGATGCAACACAGCCAAAACAAGCATGGGTCTTCATCAGGTGCAATGGACTACAGCACTGCCTCTAGCTTCCTAGGCCCTGTGCAAGCAACACAACCTCTTGGAACCTCAGTCTGTTGGCCTGGGGAAGTACACAGTCATCTTGACTTCTCTCCACACCAGGAAGTGTTCCCCAAGGACCCATCCCATAATAATCCCTGGGTAGGGCAATGACCATCCCAGCTGCGCTTGCTTTCCAGACTCTTTGGGCTACTCATAGAAAGGACACTTCACTTGGGAGGGAGAAACATTTCAGGGGCAGAAGTTGGTGAGTATAAATAAACCAAAGTCTGAGGGCCCGAGATCACTGCCCAATAATAGTAAGAACTGCCATTATAGACAGCTCACCAAGACAACTGTGACTGGGATTGGTTGGTGTGTGGTTCACACTCAGTCCCTGGTCCAACATCATGCACCATGACACAGGTGGAGATCGGGCTCCAGCCCAACACAGTACAACCCCTGGGTCAACTACCCTGACTCCATTGTGACAGCACCCAGCAAGGCCGTGTTCTCTGCTGACAGAAAACCTTCTGCCTTCTCTTGCAGTTTGTGGGCAGCTGCCTGCCTCCCGTTTATCTGTTTATTCGGATGGCTTTAGATGTGTCTTGAAGTAGAGATGTTTTTCTCTCAAATCTTAACCAGATTGCAAGTTTCTTTACAAATGGTCCCTTGGGGCATGTCCATCCCTGTGTCTGCTTAAGGGATGAGGAAGGGAGGGGGCAGTGTGGGAGAGTGGTCGCTGGGAGCTTTGTTCCTTTCACTTAGATTGTTCTCGAAGGCACACAACAGACTTCCCTGAGGAGCAGAAGGCTGGAAAAACACTCACTTGGGGGATTCTGGCTGGAGGACAGGACAGGCTCTAATCTTATCCCAAGAAATCACTCAAACTGGAATCCAACTTCCAGCAGAAAGGGGTGCTGGGGGAAGAGTGCTGCTCGTGGGCTTCCTGGAAGAAGGTCCTTTGGAATCTAGAAACAGTTCTGTCCCCTCCAAGAACAGGACCCACATCCAGACTAACACTGCTCCTGTAGGCACCTGCAGCGATATGCCTGCCCTTCCCTTCCATGGATCAAAGTTAAACACAAGCATTGGGCAACATCCCAAAGGCTCATGTGTAGATTGGTGTCCACATCTGAAGTCTGCCATTTATTTACCTTGGGCAAAAACAGGATCTTTCTATCTTTTTCTCTTGGTTTCATCTCCTTTATAGCAGAGATAATGGTGGTGTTGAGGTGCATGAACTTAAGCTGCCATCTGCAGCATCAGTGTCCCATTTAAGTGCTGGCTTGAGTCTTTGTGGCTCCACTTCTAATCCAGCTCCTTACTAATGCCCTGGGAAAGCACTGAAGGATGGCTCAAGTGTTGGGGCCTCTGCCACCCAAACAGGTAATCCAGATGGAGTTCTAGACTCCTGACTTGCAGCCTTGGCTATTATGACCATTTGGGAAATGAACCAGTGGATGGAAGACCACTCCATCTCTCACTGTTTCTGTCACTTTGCCTCTCAAATAAATAAAAATAAAATCTTTTAAAATGTGGATGATTGCAATGATGGTGGCTATGTTATATGGAGAGGTGATGAGGACTAAGTTTGATCACAGATGTTAAGTGCTTTAGACAAGAGTCTGGCATGTCAAAAAAAAAAACCTTGGCATTGTTACCATTGAGCAATCTGAGCTCTGGCTTTGCTGCCATTCAAGCTGTGTGACCATGAGCAGTTCACATACACCTCCAACACCACCTTCTCTGGGCTCAATTCTAAAATGAGGATGTTGGCTCAGTGGTTCTATAGTGTAGGTTCATCACGAGCACTTGAAAAAAAAAAAGATTTATTTTATTCTTATTGGAAAGTCAGATACACAGAGAGGAGGAGAGACAGAGAGGAAGATCCTCCGTCCATTGATTCACTCTCCAAGCGGCCTCTACAGCCAGAGCTCAGCTGATCCGAAGCCGGCAGTCCAGAGCTTCCTCTAGGTCACCCACACGGGTGCAGGGTCCCAAGGCTTTGGGCTGTCCTCGACTACTTGCCCAGACCACAAGCAGGGAGCTGGATGAGGAGCGGGGCTGCCAGGATTAGAACTGGCACCCACATGGGATCCCAGCGCATGCAAGGTGAGGATTTTTATTCACTAAACTACCATGCCAGGCCCGGGAGCACTTTTTAAAATAGAGACTCGAGAGCCCAATTAGATATGTAGAAATTGTTTGAAAGTTGATGAGTTTAAAGCTACATAGGCAATTCCAAGCCATTTGAGACATGAACCCATGGATGGGAGGTTTGTGCCTCCTCCCCCTCTCTGTATCGCACTGCCTTTCAAATGAATAAATGAAACCAAAAAAGAAATCCAATCCCAACATTTAATACCTTTCTTGCTTCCCATTGCCTCCAATGACCTCAGGAAGAGTTAATGCCTATCTTTTCTCCACCCTCTGCTTTTTAGGGAACAGATCACCCAGGGCCTTCCATTTTTTCTTTTTCTCACTTCTGCTGACCATTCATTTCCCACCAGGCCCCTTTACCAGCAGCAGAGCTGAGATCCGAGAGGATACAAACAGATTAAATTTCTGTTGCAATTATATTAAATGGTTAAATGTAAGGATGACTGGCCACCAGGAAATATTGTTATTAATTATCTAGAGATTTAAAAAATAACACCAGAAGGGCCTGTGAGCTTTCTGTTTATGGATTGAAATAAACTGAAATGGATTGTGCAATGAATGGAACTGAAGCAACAACACAACCTATTAATACAGACTATACTGACTCAACTCCCCACTCTAATATGCTGGCAAGAAAAAAGAAGGTTTCTTTTCTGGGCATAAAAATTATTCCCTCTCTACACTGGTTTTTTTTTTTTTATGATTTAGTTAGTTTAAAGGCAAGGCTATCAGAAGGGGAAGAAAGAAACAGAGAAAGAAAAAAAACTTTCTCCTCCTGGTTTGCTTTCCAAATGGATGCAACAGCCAGGACTGGGCCAGGCTAAAGCCAGAAGCCAGGAACTCCATCTGGGTTTCAAGTGTCCATTGCTTTCCCGGGTGCATTGCTAGGGAACTAGATTGGAAGCAGAGCACTTGGAACTTAAACCAGCACTCTGAAATGGGGTGTCAGCAACTTAGGTTGTAGCCAACACAGCAGCAAGCTGGACCCTGGTCTACTGTTTGTTTATTCAGTGTGTCCTCTATTAATGAGGAAAAAAATATATGACTTATGAAAAAATTAGTATCCACCATCAAAAGAACAACTAGTCACAGGACCAGGTTCAAACACAGCTCAGATGTTGGAAAGACCCAATAGATACCTTAAAGTCAAGGTCACAGACTTGTTGAAGAAGCTGATGGAAAGGCAGACAATGTGTGTGATGGAGAGGGAACCTCATCAGTGAGCTGAAAACTGCCTTTCAAAAAGTCAACAGGAATGCTAGGAACCAAAGTCACAACATCAGAGAGGAAGAGGTTCCTTTCAATGAGATCATTTAGCAACATTATTACCAGAGGAAACATTCAATAAATTTGAAAACAGATCAACCCAAAGGACCCAAGTTGAAACATAAATAGAAAAAAAATGAGAAAAGTAAAGTGTCCATCATACGGATGAGACAATATCATTCACTATCCAATACATCTGTAAAACAAGATGTGAGATTTCTTGAAGAGAAAATAAAGAAAATTGAAGAGGAAGATATATTTGTATGGGTAATTACGTGACACTTTCCCTAAACAAATAATCAACCCACAGATTCAAAAATTGCAAAGGCTATGGGTAGGATAAATGCAAAGAAAAGAAAGCTAGCTGAGCCACGTGTCTGAAAACCAAAACAGAAATCTCAAAAACAATCAAAGGTAAAAAGGGTAAAAAAAGGAGGAGGCCTTGGAATAGGTTTAACTTCTTATTGGAGGCAGTGTTATGGTATGAGGCAGCTAGTTCAGGGTTATGAGCTTGGAAGCCACGCCTCTCCCACCCATGTGGTTCTTTCTGTCCACCTGAGACACTCACTTATTATCACCTGGAACCTAAAAGGGAGAGGTATTATGTAGTTGCATAACCACTCCGCTCACAAGCCGCATAAAGGCCCATGATAAATTGGGACTCCCTTTCTTGGTCATGCTTCCCTAGCTCTTGCACTCCTGGCCTCTTGGCCTCCTCCCCAGTACTTGCCTGCTCTCTGGCTTTCACAGACTCTGAGGACAGGTAGCCCCTGAGCACGACCCCTGTGTGTCTGTGTTCCTCACCCTCTGTTCACTGCTTGGGCACGTCAGTGAAGACAAAAATGCTAAGATGTTTTATATTTCTAATTTGTATACTTTCAAGAGTTCCAGGAGAGGAAAGGTCTAATAGTACTGGAATACGGATAGAGAAGCCAGTGAAGGTGAATGTTTGCAGCTTTGTAAATGTGTCCAGATTGTTCACAACATGTCACTTAGGATAATTTATATAGCTGGGGAAGTTGGCACATAGATCTGCAGCTTAATGAACTGATTGCACAGTAATGACCATTTGTTCCTCTCAGGGTTTTGATTCAGATTGGATTGCCATGATGACTTTTCATCTGCTAATTTCTAGTGGGAGCTGCCATCACCAAGCTTGGTTAATAGACTCCCAGTACATCTTAGACTTGTCTGGCATGATCTCTCTCGCACCCCGAAACATCAGCAGCGACATTCCCCCTTCTTCACAGTGGTCCAGGGATTTGAATGTCTCTGCCAAAGCCGATGGGACTGCCTCCAAATCCTGCCATGGAACACCAGCAAGTCCTACCAGGAACCATCAACAGTTTCTACTCTGGGCAAAATAAATGTTCATACAATAGTTTCATGCTTTTGAGGCTTTCAGCAGCAAAGTCAACCCCTTGCGTAAAATGGATGTTGGGTGTATATGTGGAGGAGAAACTCAAGGGCAACACTGACTTCCCAACCCACCCCAAGCTCCAAGAAGGCTTGTGCTCCAGTTCCCAGCTGTAGACATGGCTCTTGTTTCCAATCTGCCCCCACAGCACAAGCTCATGTCCAACCTTGTGCCTTGACCAGGATGCAGACTGCAGTACTGGGTACTGGAGGAGCTTCATGCAACAGCTCACAAAGGAATAGAATAACCGTTGAGTTTCTTTCCTGTTTGGGGATTCTACGAAGCTCCTCTGCAGTCGACAATTTTTAAAGTGATTCCTCTTCTCTCCCAGTGAAACACTACGCTTGGTACATTCCTCTTCTGCTGGTTTGCTTCTATGCTTCATTCATTCAAGACCTATGTTCTCTACTAACTGATGAGAAAATTGAGGGCAGATTCTGCATTTTGCACAGCTTTTTACAAATGTACTTATATATGAAAGGCAGAGAAATAGAGAGGGAAGAGATGCTGAGAGGGAGAGAGAGATCTTCCATGTGTGGGATCACTCCCCAAATGCCTACAATAATAAGGACTGAGCTAGACTGAAGCCAGGAGTCTGGGACTCCATTCAAGTCTCCAACATAGGGGGCAGGGAGACAGGTACTTGGGCAATCTTATTCTGCTCTCATGAGCACATTAGCAGGGAGCTGGATCAGAAGCAGTGTAACCAGGACTCAAACCAGACTCATCCCACAGGGGATGTTGGCATGACAAACAAGGCTTTAACTGCTACCTCTCAACATCGGCCCATGGTGCATTCCTGCTTGTCCATGTTGCATGTAGTTGAGAAAGGGAAGGCAAGAAGGAAAGTGGGAAAGGAGAAAGGTGGGAGGGAAGAAAGCTTTTTTTAAAAAAAAAAAAAGTATTTCCTTTCTGGAAGGGACTGGGCATTGAGCATTGGGCACTGGGCACATCTCACTCTCCTGCCCCTCTTGAAGATTTTTCCTTCCTGCCTGGTTCTTGGCTTTGGGAAATGTGCTTACTCTCGTTCCCTTAGCAACCAGCAGTCTTTTGGCTTTACTTTTGATTTAAAACTCAGAGTAACCCACATCCCTGTGGATTTGAAACAGATTTCTAAATGAGTTTCCTTCCTTTACTTAAAAAAATGTTAACATAAAGCTTAGCAATATTTTAAATATGTTTTAAGTGTTTGTTTTCTGAGGTTTTTTTTTTTTTTTTTTGGCGGGGAGGAGGAAGCAGAGACTCCAGAACAAGAAAAACAATGGGACTGAGTTTCCAATTTATTATTATTATGATTATTATTACAGAAATCATGAGAATTGCAATGGGTATGGCAACAAGCCATGAGACCTCCAGCTGGAATGCCAGCTCCTTTGAGGACCAGGCTTCCAGGGAGAGACCCCGGACTGGCTCATGTTCAGGTATACACCCCAGTGCCTCCCCAGCAAAGCCTGATGGAGGGGAATGGAAATACGTGCCTGGGGCTGCAGCTTAGGAAACGTGTGGGTGCAGATGCCCCTGGAGCAGTTGTACAAAACCCTGTTGAGTGTCACTGCACAACAAAATCTCCAATAGGCAGCTCCAGGGTGCAATGCATCCTGTTGACACATGCCTTTGGTCTTTTTCGCAATGTTGGAGGATGAGACCAACAGATATGGCATGCATGCTTGCCAGAGTGATGAGCAGAGAAGGGTAAGTTACACATTCAGGGACCAGAACCAGCGCCATCCCATAGAAACACCAAGAACTGTCCTTTCTTGTGCGTGATGGCACTTATCCTCAGAAGAAGCCTGTGGGGTGAATAATGTTGTTTCACAGGCTGGAAGATGTTCTTGGCTCAAAACTATCCAGCCAGCAAATGGCAAAGTCAAGATTAAACCCAGGGCCAGCTGACATCCAAGCATGTGAATTAGGCCACCCTGTCTCACTTTGCTCTTGCTAGAACTCCTACCCCCATCAGTCTGGAAACCAGTACCAAAAAACCACACCAGACCAGCTGGGACAGACAGTGAGTGACCCAGGGTGGTCTCTAGAATATAGGGTCCTCTTGCCTTTGAACCTGGCTCTAAACTTCCTACTTTGGCTTAACATTTCCAGAATGGTGCAGACACACATCAAAAACAACTTCCATGGTTTGGATGAGTTCTTGCCAATAGTATGAACAACAATTCAATGACAACTGCTTGGATCCACACAGCAACAATTTGTTGAGCTTCAGAGTCTCAGGATAGTGGCCCTTGCTTATATATTTAGAATCTCTGTGAGCCCCTCCATGCTGATTCTGCACCTTATCCCCTGGGACAGGAACCTCAGATGTGCTGATTCTGATGGATAGTTTTAGAGCTTCTGGCCACCTGCTTTGGGCTTGGTAAATCATGTGGTTGGTTGTGTGTGTCTTAACCCCTTGGTCATGCTTGCTTCTGACTGAGAAGGTTTTCTATAATCTCATTAAGAACCAGATCCACATCACTGAGAAATGACATTTAAATAGAATGAAAGAATCCTTTGGGCATCAGATAAAACAGTTTGGAATGGAGAGGGCACTTGGTCCAGCAGCTAAAAACACTGGTTGGGAGGCCCAGGCCCTGGGCCCCAGGTAGCAAATCCAAGTGCCAGATTCTGGCTCCTGACTCTAGTTTCCTCTTAATGCAGACCCCAGGAGGCAGCGGTAGTGGCTCAAGTGACTGGACTCCTGCTATCCATGTGGGAGACCTGGGTGGAGTCTCTGGATCCTGGTCTTTGCTTAGCCCAGCCCTGAATGTGATTAGCATTTGCACTTTGGAGATCCAGTAGATTTTGGAGATCCTTTTCAATATCTCTGTCTTTGAAATAATTTTTTAAAAATTCTTTTAAAAATTGTAAAGTTCTTTTTGGTCTTATCTTTTGAAGGAATCATGTGTTTTAACCTGATAAGACACTATGAACACAGATTTAGATTTGATTCTCTTATCTCTCCATATATGTATGTATGCATATACACACACATGCACATGAGGGTGTGTGCACACACACATATGTGATTGTTCAAAGTGAAGTCTGCATTTCCCAGAATAATATGGCAAAGTTGGGTGGTTCCAAGGCCAGACTCAAGCTGATGGACCCAGCTAGAGGACCCTCCCCACCAGCTCCGGCTCCTGCAATGGACTTAGAGGATCACTGAGCCTCCTGAACAGGCTCTCAGCATATGTCCTGCTCTTTTCTGAAAAAACGCATGGCTTCCATTCCCTTTTCACCCCCTCTACGTTCATTCTCCCACTTCGGAACGTTTGAGAGCAACTGTACTGTTTAATTTCTTTCAGTAGCTCTCCCATTCTTGGGACCCAATGAGATGCATTTAGAGAACAGTCTCAGATACATCTCACAGAGCTGCCAGCTATGCGCTCAACTCAAGAAATTCATCTGAGGCCCAACCACAACATGCAAGAGACAAAGCCAATGGTGACTTACAGTGGATTTTGAAGTCCTTGTATTGTCTGTCTTCAATTGCTACCACGTACAGAGCTGCCCGGTCTGGAAACATAAGCCCTCCGGGTTTCTGTTGACGAATTGTGGGGAAATGGGTCTCGTAATCTATTCACCTGATAAAGACATCACATTTTGAACTGCACATGGAGTCAGCAGACAAGCCCCCTGTTGCCAGCATTTCTCCCTTGGGGGAACCATCACTTTGGCCGGGGTTGGGATTCAGACAACAATGTTCAGTGTTTTCTTTCTGAAGCAAGAATTTAAGGGACCTTGATGTTGATAGTACAAGTGCAATAGGGTCAGAGTACACAAGTGATGAGTAGAGAAAGACATCAACCGAGAGGAGCCAGCGTGAGCAATACCCATGGCCCTCTGGTAGCCACGCAAGTCCTAGCATCTGTTGGACAGACAAATTCATATTTTCTCAAGACAGAATGCAAATGAGGCCAAGGTTAGACCTCCAAGACCACATCCTGACACTAGCTATACTGGACTGGAGAGAATTGTCCCACCCCCTGACAACACATTAGCTGTATTATAGTGAGGGACGTGGGAGAGGGCACCTTGTCACTCACTTCCCCCTCTGAAATCCTCACTCCCTAGGTTGTTGGCTGGAGCCAGAGCAGCAAGACAGTGAGCAGACCAACGAGGGCGCAGCACTGGGGGCACTTACCAGCCACTTGTCCCTGGCAAAGATCACCGTGTTGAGCATGGATTCATAGAACAGACAGTAGCCCATCCACTCGCTGATGATGATGTCCACCTTCTCCACGGGCAGCTCCACCTCTTCCACTTTACCTTTAAATATGGTGATAACTGGAAAATAAGAAGCCCAAGGCCATGCTATGGAAGGAGGACCCCCCTAGAAGCCACGAACACTTCACTTCCAAGCCAGATCTGCAGGTCATGCCTGAACCACTTGCCTAATCATTTGTATACATGGCCTCCTTCTCTTTTGTCTTTGTTTCTTAAAGGCCACCAACATCAAAGCTCTGAGAAACTGTAGGCCACACAGCCTCAGATCCCATCTGGGCTCCTCATCAGCAGAGCTTTATCAACCCAAGGTCGCATGGAGGTCAGCGTCTGGTGCTGTTTTAATTCCATAAGGATGACAGAAAGTTGGTTCAATCAGCTGTGACAAGACCCTGACTCAGACAATGTGGAATGATTAATCATAATTAATTGCACTCCTGGGAGCAATAAACTCTAAACTGGGAACTTTCCCCCATAGCTCCAAGTGTGCAAATCAGACATCCAGATTTTTGTTTTTGTTGTTGTTTTTAATGGGATTTTTTGGACTTTGGGGATTTGAATGGTTGTTACAGAAACAGTCATTCGGATTAAAGGTCACTTGCTTAGCTTTGTAACTCTTTTTAAAGTTAGGCCAGTCCAGTCTCATTTGAGCTTCCACCGTGCACCCACCAGACTCAGCTGACCCCATAGAATCTCAGATAGGTGTTCTCCTAATTTTATATTTCTCATTGTTTCAGAGAGCAGAAAAGTAGATGTCTGGCAGAAAAGTAAATGGGAGGATAACAGGTATGACAGTATCTTAGGAGCCCATGAAGATCCCCGATGCCTCTTCTCACCCCAGAAAAAACCCTAGTTCTATTCTCTGCACTTTCTCAACCCTTTGCTCACATGTCAGTTTTGGCCACAGCCACGCCCATTGCTACACACCTGCTGAGAACCCCACCTGCCTCAAACCTGGGAATGCGTTCTCTCGCTTCCCTACTTTAGCTTCCTATTTCCAAGACAGGGCTGAGCACTTGACCCCCTTGTGAACATCCAGGAACCATGAATGAGTTGAATAGATGAATGGATGAATAAGCCATTCTGCACAAAGGGCATGGAGTGAGGAGACAAAAGATGTGCAAGCTAGTCCTAATTATGATTGTAAAAATTGCTAGCACTTGCATTGTGGCTTGCAGAGGTATTGTCTCAGAAAACCAGGGAGGAACTTTTGTGGTTGACTTTCTGGCTCCATTTGCCTGTTGAGAGAACTGAAGTTTGGAAAAATCAAATCGCGGAGCCCAATACTAGGCTCACTGTAGAGCCTTACTCAAGTCACTCGCCTCCCCAGAGGGTCTTCTGCATCACCTGAGAGATGAACTTTAATAAAACCTGATCTGCCTACACCAGCTGGGTTGTTGTGGCTAGATTAGGTAACTGGTTAGGCTAATGAGCGAAAGGAAATCAGAGGAGTCAATGGACTAGGCATCCGTCTCCCCAAGGTTGGCCAGGTTGGTTGAGAAAGAATCATCACAAACAGCCACAGCAGACCAGACCCATCAATCTTCCCTGATGCCACCCTCTATCTTGGCTGCCTGCCCTGGCTTTCTCTGGGATCCAGATTCACAGATAAAGCCAGCCCATTCTGGAGCCAGTGGTGATGGCAGTGCGGGGGTTAGGGGGTGGAATGGCATCAGTGTCTTTACCACAATATCTTTGTCCTCAATGTCTGGGGCATATCCTGCAGCAAAGGGCCCCATTACTGACACTGCATAGTGTTACTGCTCTGGGGGCCTCCTAACCTCCATAATGGTAACTCTTGCAACATGGCACCTCTCTCCTGGTCCATGCCCCATCTTCATCCAAAAACACAGTGTTTGAGGTCCCATGTTGTCCCAGGGCACTGTTGTCCCGGCAGCATGTCCCAACCTGATCTGGATCCTTTCAGCAGGCAGGTCCCAGACTGCTGGGTCAGAGCTGTAAAGTCATGCGGACTTAGGTCTGAGCATTTTCTGAGCTCGAGGCTCTGCCTAACATTTCTCCTGTCATACCAGAGTAATCGAACCTGTACCAGACTCCCTGTCACCCCAAAAGATCACTTACTACTTAGAACCCTTGGAATCATCCAACTCAGCACAATGATCATGGATAGGTGACTGCAATGGCTTGGCCAAGGTGGGCTGGGGTTTTTCAGAATGGATTGAAGTCCACAAGAATGCATAAAGCAATGTAGCTGCCCCTGACTCAGGCATCCAGCAAACCAGTCCAGGTTCCCCAGTCACCCACTCTGGCAGAAGCGTATACGGGACAAACTACCTCCTGCAACAAGAGCATTTGTCCAGTTGGCTTTCTCCAGCCTTAGCATCCACATCTGCGGATTCAACCAACCACAGACAGAAAAATATCAAGGGAAAAAAATTGTGACTGCATTGAACAAAAACAGGTTTTTCTTTCTTGCCATTATTCATCCAACAATACGAAATACCAACTATTTCCATTGTTTGAGGTATTGTAAGTCAAGATGACTTAAAGTGCAGCAGAGGCTGTGCGTAGGTGTTATGCAAACACTATGCCATTTTATAGGAAGGACTTGAACATCTGTGGACTTGGCTGTCCGTGGGGGTCCTGGAACCCGTGTCCCGCTGACACTGCAGGAAGACTGTGCAGCCAAGGCCTTCTGTACAAAGCACTCCCCCGCCCATGGCATGTAGCATTGGCCAGGCTTGGCAGCTTTAAGGTCTGCACCATCATGCCCCCTGCAGAGAAAAGTGTCCCCTTCCTACCCACGCTGTGCTGGTAAATGTTTAATAACTCACTCTACAAAGAAAGAAACCCTGCTACTCCTGCCACAGCCAATGCCAAGCCCAGGATGTGATGTCACCAGGGCAAAGTTGGGAATTGGTGCACGTGCAGCATGGGCTGTGAGAGGACTTCAGCCTGCTGTTGGGGTTACCCATTCAAAAGCAGACTCTGCCTCCCTTTTTTTTTCCATGATGGCATCCCGTTTCTTTCTAAGCAATTTCACATTTTGTAGTTTGACGAGCTTCTGCTCATGTGCTTTGCTGTCTGTCTGCTGTGTGAGACTGCAAACAGCGAGAGCGAAGATTTGGTCCATCCTAGACGACACTTGCTGATGCCCCACGCTTGGCACAAGGCCGAATGTGGATAACAAAAGCCCCGAGAGGAGGAAAGTTGTGAAACTCATTTCTAAGAATCCTAATGGGTTGTCTCCTGAGTAGTTAGGAATTGCTAGGCACTGCTAGTACAGGTTCATTAAAAGTAACTACATATGTTTCATCTCACTTCCTCTTTGGACAGTGCTGTTAGTCAAGGTAAGTGAAACGCCAATAATGATAATAGCTAGCATCCCGGGCCTCTGGCTGCCTAGAGAGGCTGTTGTCACGGTGTGTGCTGTCAGGGTTCAGATCCTCACATCTGGCTCTTCAGGGAGCTGGAAGCTTGGTCTGTTGCATCTGCTGATTCCTGTGGTGTAAACATTTCCACCACAGCCACTGCATCCTTCCACACACTTCCTGCAAATGTAACCATCAACTCCCAGGACCCTGTAAGAAGCCTACTTCAGACCACCGCAGTGTTACATCAAGCAATTATGGAATTCCCTACCATGACCTGAGGAGGCATGAGCCATCTTGGTCTCATTTCACAGATGAGGAAAGGAAGGCACATAAATGAACATTATGCTAATTCTAGCAGAGTGTGAACCAGGAAGGCGAGTCGTGAGGCAGTGCTGCCAGGGCACCGTCCAAGGACTTCAGCAAGTACGGTCTTAGACAAGCCCTCTCAGCCACTGTGTCCTAGCAGAGAAGATGGTGATGGTGTGGATTCACAGCTGGGGACAGGGTGGTACTGCCAAGTGCAGATTCGGAGCTGCCCACCGGAGCCTTCCAGGATGCCCTACGGAGAGGACACAAGGCAATGACCACCAGGAACAGGAAACCCAGGTTGAATTAAAAACGCCCATCAACCAGGTAAAGGCCAGGAAACAGAGTGCAGCAAGAGCATGTAGGTAGACAACAGAGAGAAGCTGGTTTCTGGCTAGGACCTGTGTGACAACTGCTTATGGAAAACAGAACTTTCTGCTGGATGTTCAGCATGGCATTCCCTGTACGTATCTTTTAGCACGGCTCCCAGTAGGAGCGAGACACTAAGCATGGCTAGGGAAGAAGGTGGCTCAAACTCAAGTCCTCCAATATAAAAGAGGAGGGAAGAAGAGGGAGATGGGTGGGCTGGCAGTGTAGGGGAAGGACGCCTCACTCCTGCATGGCCCCACCCCTGGGAGGACTGCAGGGAGGCAAACCCCTCCTTCAGGGCAGGGGGAGCTTCCTAACAATCCCAGATCCTTGGATAACTGGCAATGAGCTCCCCATTGGGAAAGACATCCAAGAATGGAAGATGGCCATGAAGGATGCTAAAGAAGCACAGAATCACATGTTCTTTATATTGAGGCTTGGATCCTGTGGTCCAGAATTATTAAGGTGAAGAACATTAACCCTAAATGACTGTAACTGATCCTGGTTAATACCTGGAAGGATTGTCAATTGGCTTAGTAGTTAAATGCCACTTAAGACACCTCTATTCTGTTACCAACGTGCCTGAACTCAGTTCTGGCTTCCTGCTAATGCACACCCTGGGAGGCAGCAGGAGATGGGGTTCAAGTACTTGGGTCCCTCCCACAAACTTGGAAGGTCTGCATTGAGTTCCCAGTATGCACAGTTAGCTTGGCTCAGCACCAAAAGCTGCAGACATCTGGGGAGTGAACCAACAGTTCAAATTTCTCTCTGTATCTGTCTCCCTGTAGGATCATTGGGGGCGGGGAGGGGAGAACACCTTTTTTTTTAATTCCATGGAACTTGGGATTGACATACAAGCATCTCTTGGCACACAGAATCGTGAAACCCATGCACATAACGGTTCTTCCAGAAGCTCATAGAAATGCATAGGGATGGCATTGTGCCTTATAAGGTTAATCCCCCACCTGCAGCACTGATATCCCGTATGGGCACTGGCTCAAACCCTGGATGCTCCCCTCCGATCCAGCTCCCTGCTAATGGCCTGGGAAAGCAGAGACCAAGGCTTTGGGTCCCTGCATCCATGTAGGAGAGCTGAAACAAACTCCTGGCTTCCAGTTTTGGAATAAACCAGCTCTGGCCATTGCACCAATTTTGGGCATGATCCAGTGGCTGGAGGATTTCTCTCTCTGTCTGCCTTCCTTCCCCCTGCCCCCTGTAACTCTGTCAAGCTAAATAAACAAATCTTTTAAAACACACACAAGCATGGTTTTCAATTTTTTTTCACCAAAATAAATTTCTTTTTAAATTTCATTTCCACTGACCTTTTCTTAAAGATCTTAGAGATTTGTTTATTTTATCTACTTAAAAGGCAGTTATAGAGAAAGTGAAAGAATAATCTTCCACCTTTTGGTTCACTACTCAAAACTATTGCAACAGCCAAGTCTGGGCCAGGCCAAAGCCAGGAGCCAAAAACTCAGTTTCTCTCACGTGGGTGGCAGGGGCCCAAGTCTTTGAGCTATCATCTGCTGCCTTCTTAGGTACACTGGCAGAGAGCTAGATCGGAAGTGGAGCAGCTGATACCGAAAACTGGCAGATACGCACACACAAGATGCTCGTGTGGCACGTGGCAGCTCCAGCTGCATCCCCCTAACACCAGCCTCTCCGCTGCTGGCTGTGCCCTCCAATGTGTGAAGCCTTGTACAAGGCACTTGATGTAAACCCACCAGCCCAATTGTGTGCTGACACAGCTCCCTCCAAAAGGGAGCAAGTAGGGATTCTGGGTGGGAAAGGCGCTTGGCAGCTGCCTCCCTGTAAGCAAGACCCTCAGTCCACTGCCTGTGCTGGCTGTTTCATACCCCTCTTACGGGCTCCTTCACCTGTGACGTGCATGCCGTGTGACGTGCGTAAGTAGAAGCACACAGCACAGGGACACACTCCTCGCCTTTTACTTCCTGAGGAAGAAATCGGTTATGATAGTTTGTTTCTGGCATTATAAAAATTCCATCAATCTCAGAGCTCCTAATCATTTTGCATAATGGATCTGCCTTTTTAGGCATCTGGGCAATTCACTAGTTTCCATGTCAGAAGGAGAGGAAATAAATAGTACTTAAGTCAAGGAAGAGTCACAGGGCTGTGGTGCACAGAGATCAACATCCCATGCTGAGTCCTGGATGTTCTTCCACATCTGATTCCAATCCATGTGAATGTGCCCAAGAAAGCAGACGAGGATGGTCCAAACACTTGCGGCATCTGCCATCCACATGGGAGACCTGAATGGAGTTTCTGTCTGCTGACTTGGCCTGGCTATTTTGGGGGAGTGAATTAGTGGATGGAAGCCTTCTCTCTGTCTTTGTCATTCTGCCTTTCAAACACATAAGGGAACCCTTTGAAGAAGAGTGACTAGAACATGTATGGGGGCCACATGTGTGGAACGAGCCACGTGAAGGCTGCCTCAGGTGCCTTCCTGCAGGTGTGCACATCCATGTGAGAGACCTGAGCCCAAGGAGCCGGACGGAGGTGGGAAGGAGAGAGCTATGGATTCTGAGTAGCAGGTATTTTGTGCCCTGTGTTGTTATTTATGTCTCCCCACCTCCGCTCCTGAGGCCCACACAATTGGCTGTCGCAGCATTTCAAAAGCATTTCCATGGAAGCATGGGCACAGTCAAGCTGTCCTCTTGCAAGTGCACCTGCCAAGGCTGAGTGAGCTGCTTCAGCAGCTCCACCCACCTATGGTGACAACCCCCACCCCACGGAGATATAAATAAACAGTGTGTTTTACAAAGGTCCCTGCGCCTGGAGTCCTGATCTCAGTATAGGGTGAAGACAAGGAAGGAACACAGGTGTGGGGCTGGCTGTCCTCCTGGGGGCAAAGGTCTGATGCTCTCAGGCCTTTGTTTTAGGAGGTCAGGATGGGATCTGAACCATCAGAATCCAGGACACGGGGGAAGGGAAAACCACATGTCCCAGCTGCCCAGGAAAGCATGTGTCCATCCTGGTGAGTCAGCCCAGGAGGTGAGACTCCCATGGGGAGGCCAGCTGGCTCCACACATCACAGCCTGATTGAGAAATGTCGCGTATGCTCTCTTTTCCCTTCCTATTATTCTTCTCTGTCACTCTGCTTTTTAATAAGTAAATAAATCTTGAAGGAGAGTAGTTGAGACAAAGAGATGTAAAGGGGTTGGGCAGAGCCTCAGAGTCAGGTGGTACCATGCAAGGGAAGGCCCACAGAGCTGGCCTAACGGCCCTGTGGAAGCCTTTTTGGGCTCAGAGATGGGACACAACAGAAACTGATTCCACATCCATCTGTACCTGCCCAACCCTCCTTGAAAGGATTTTCCTCCAAGACTGATGGCCATCAACACACTTTGGAAAGGAGTACAGGAGCCAGAGCCTAGGTTAGAAGTGAGTTAAGTACCTCTCCAGCCTTAGCTTTTCACCTCTGTGAAATACACCACATTAGGGCTGGAGAGAAGGCGGGCCGAGGAAATCCTGCCATGCCGGGCTGTCTCATCCTTGCAGGGGAAAAAAGAAAAAAAAACTGTTCTGTTTTTATCTTTAGTAATCCAATCAGACTCCCCTGCCAAGGTCAAGGACTTTTCTGAGTACATGGAAGAGAAGTGATTCCCCCCCACCTAACTGAGCCAAAAGGGGTCAGGCACAAGCCAGAGGTCAGGAGGATCTAAGTAATATTTCCCTGCTCACTGCCAAACACAGGCTGCCTGCCAGGTGCCCCAGCCCGTCCCACTCCTTGCCTAGCCAGCACAGAACAGAGCCCCCAGTCCAGTCTTTCCCAGTCCTCCCCGCCCAGCAAGGTCTCAAGTCTGGCAGTCTTTCTAGTCTCCTTGTATCCAAGCCACTGAGTGTGTGCAGGCACAGGGACCGGCCCCCATGGCCTATCACTGCCATGGCTTCCCTAACAGAGAGAAGGGGCTAAGGACTGTCACTCACAGTCTGAGGAAAGGCAAGGTGAGGAGGGGACACACGGAAGCTGAATGCCCCAGGGAGCCACTTCAGTGGCAGAGCTGGCGGATAGTGCAAAAGTATTTCCTGGCATCTTCCAGGACCTGCCTGGGCAGATGATGGGGAGGATGGCCGAGCTGGGGCTCACAGAGAGGGAAGAGGAGGGGGTTGAGTAGTGGTTGTGCTGGTGCTGAACTCAACGAGTTGCTCCCTGTGAGAGGACTGAGCAGGGACAGTTGGGATGTCGCTGCAGGTAAGGTCTGCTGCAAGCTGGGACTTGTATGAGGATGGGAGCCTCATCCGCCCAGGACCACAGCCATGCTAGTGGGGGGTCTCAACCCCAACTCTCTCACTCCCCCCTCAGGGTGGGGTGGGTGGGGGAGATCATCTGGTGCTCCTTTCCACCCCAAATGGGAACACCCAAGCCCCTGACACCCTCCACCCACGGAGAGCAAGGGGAGGAGCGTCTTACTGTTGTCCAAGTGGTTGGCTTTAATAATCTTCTCCGAGTAGTCAGAAATACTGGAGCATTCAATCTAGAAGGGCACAGAACAGAAGAGTAAGCTATCAATCTGAAGATCGCAGCCCATCCAGCACAACCAAGCAGGTAGAAAAGCAGAGGCCCCAAGGAGGGTCTAAGACCTGCCAGTGGTTGTGCTTGGCTTTGTGGCAGCCTGAAAACTCACACTTAGCCCACCTGACTCCAAGTCAGCTCTGGGTTAGCCTATGCCTTGAGAAAGAAAACCATGCCAGAGTCTGAGGAACAGCTGGTGGGTCTTGGTCTCCTGCCACTGCCACTGGCCTGCCGGGGAGGGTGCAAGGGCACAGCCATGGCCGAGATCCCTCTGTGGGCCTCCCTGAATATCATCCTTACTTTGCCCTCATGCTTGTCCTCTGAGGCAGATCTGAGCAGGTCCTCCAGGGAGGACCACCTGTCAAACACCAATCCTGGCCCATCCTGAGGTCCTCCCCTCCCCCTAAGGCACTCACACCCTTTGACTCACACTTAGCCTTTTGCCGGCTCTACCCGTAGCACAGCCCACTCCTCTGCATCTAGAAGTCTTTCCAAGTTCCTTCCATTTCCAGAGCAAAGGATCCCAGGCATTCGAGGGGTTCCTGGGCTGCCATTTGAGGGCAGGAACTCTGGGAGGGCAGAAGACTGGGCTGGGTGGCAGTACTGACGTTTAGAGCTTAACACAGCCTGGCCTGTGCTAATGCCCTGGAGCCCCATTCAATGTACACTCAGGGTCTCACTTCAGACTAGCCCTGGCACCCATCCCTTAGGGAAATAGGAGCAGGAGGACATGGAGGGGGCAACTGCCTCCATCAGGCACAGAAACAGGCCACTGAGCTCAAACAGCAGCTGAGGGGATAGCCATGATCAGGGCTCAAGCCCCATAAAACTACCCGAGCTCTGACCACTCTGTGGGACTCTGCTTCTCCCCTGTCCTCCTCCACCTCCTCCTCCTCTTCCTCTCTCGTTACATCGTCAGGTCTGCAAGATGCGACTGCATTCAATGTGGAAAATGTGGGGTCTCCAGCCCAGGCAGCCCAATCACATACAGCCCCCCTGCACCTTCTCATCATGCCCTTGTTCGCTGTACCTGGGGCAGGAGCAACATGAGGTCACGCACCTGTACTGGAGCTGCCCAAAGCCATGGGAGGTCCCTCCTCCCTCTCTCTTCTATTTCCTTCCTTCACTTTCTTTTTCCTGTCTGCGCCATTTCTCTAGCTTTTCTCTGTGTCTTTCTAGTGTTCCATTTCTATTCTCTTGGTCAGTCTGTCTCCAGCAAGCTCTCTCTCCCTTTTCTTCTGTCTTTTTCTGTCTCTCTCTCTCCCCCAATTCCTACCCCAGGCCCCCACCACAGTTGAACAGTGGATGACAGAGACACATGCAACAGGAGAAACTGTGAAATGAGCCATCCCTGGCGGGGGAGCCAAATGTGGTGGCGCCATCACGAGCAGAGCGGCTGGGGAAAAGGGCGGGAGGCAGACAGATGGTGCCAAGTGCCCACAGCTGGAGGCGCCGAGTGGGCGCCTTCTGACAGCTCCTTGGCTGGAGCCCCCGATGACTCAGGGGGGCTGCATTCTTCCCACTAGGCCCTGACCCTACCACTAACATGGTGGGAAAGGAAAGGACAACCCTGTGGAGGAAGCACTTGCAGACCACCAGGAGGCCCCACGTCCAGCTGGCATGCCCTGTGGACCCTATGGTCTCCCTGGTCCCTGGGCATCCTCCAGCCTCCTCTCCACTATACCTGTCCTGGTTTAATCCCTCACAGTCCACCCCACTTTGCAAGGGTCAAACAGCAGCCCACGGCCCTGCCTGCCTTCCCACACTTTCCTGCTGGTGTGGGACACCCCATCTACTCTGCAGCTCAGGCCATGCATTGCTGCTGTGCAGCCAGGGGCCAGGCAAGGCTCTGAAGTTTCTGGGAAGGTCAGCTTCACCTTTGGTTAGCAGCGCAGTAGCAGCCAAAGCAGTGAGGTCAAAATCAACTTGCTTGTGGCTTCTCTTTTGGCTAAAACCAAGTGAAAACCAATTCACTTGTCCTTCAATAAAGGAAGAGGGGTCTCCGCTGCATCTTGCCCACTCCCCCCCAACCACCACAAGACCCAGAACCCTTGCCTCGGGTTGGACACTGTCCTAATTGCCTGTGTGAGTGATGAATTCATTTAACATCCCTCCCATTAGTCCCTGATGGACTCTCACTGGGCCCATCTTAGAGATGGGAACATAGGGATAACTTCTCCATGTCTCCAGAGACTCAACTCAGAGCAGCTGCAGTATAACCACAAACTGCCACTCCTCCAGCTGACAGCGGAACTGTGCACCCAAAGGTGATGATATCAGGAGCGCCTCAGGAAAAAATGCATTGCCTCCATCCACATTAGCAGGTGCCAAGGGCAAGGAGCCAAAAGGCAAACTTTGGTCACAGGAGCTTTCCCTGTCTCTTGGAGGGCTCACCTGGTTTTCTCCACCCCCTTCTAGGGTGTGACTCCTGCAAAAGGGAAGAAGGGCCTGCAGGAGGGTGAGGGAAGGGGAAGGGGAGTGCCACGCTCACCCCAAACACCTTCTTGGCCCCAGCTTTGGCAGCAAACATGGACAGGATCCCGGTGCCACTCCCTACGTCCAGCACCACCTTATCCTTGAACACGTGCTTGTTGTGGTACATGGAGTTGCGGTACGTGAGCGTCCGCACCTCGTCCTTCAGCATCTCCTGTCAGGGACAAAGGCAAAGGCAGGGTCAGCGCAGGCAAGATGCCTGGGTGGTCAGCAGGCTCGCGGGCACCTGTCCAGTCCAGCACAGCTTCCCAGGATCTCCATGAGCCTCAGTAGATCACAGCTGCATAACTGGGACTGGAGCCACCTGTGTCATTCCTAACACTGTCCTGAAAGACAGCACTGTGTTGAAAGAGAAATACATACTCAGATCCAAGACAGCTCCAGTCTACCAAACAACAAAGAAAATTGAATATTGAGTGTAAAGTCAATTTCAACACAGGTGTTGAGATTCATCACATATTGTGGGCATCCAAGGGTTGTTGCTCTTACTGCCGCTCTTGGCTGTTGTTGAATAGAATTGCATCATTTGAACCTACCACCGTTGATTAACCCATTCACTTGTTGATGGGTAACTGGATTGTATCCAGGACTCTGTTATTGTGAATAAAACTAACTATAAATATTCTTATAAATTATTTGAAATATGTAGGTTTCCATTCTCCTTGAAAAAGGAACTAGAAATGAGTTTGCTAGTTCTTAGGATATGTGATACATGCTTAATTTCAAGAGAAATTAACAAATTTTACAAAACAGTCATGCCATCGTAGGCTGCCCTCACCCCAGGGTGTGAGAATTTAAGCTGCTTCTCACATCGGGAGCTTACTATCCTCTGTCTTTTTAATTTTAGCCATGAACTTGTATCTTGCTATAGTTTCCACTGTATTTCTTGGTAGCATTGAATGACATATCTTGTTTGGCATGTGTCTGTTGCCGCTCCATGAACAGGCTGTTTTAGAAAATGTCCATTCAAGGGTCCCTCTGTCCACTTCTTGAGTTGTTTGTCTTGTCCTTGTTGAGTTGTAAAGATGTGTATTCTAGAAACAAGTGCTTCATTGGATACCATACTTTGAATACCTTCTCCCAATCTCATTTCCTTTCTGTGTTCCTTCAGTCATTTGAAAAACAGTTGTTTTGGCTGGCATTGTGGTACAGCGGGTAAAACCACTGCCAGTGATGCTCACATGACATTTGGGCACCAGTTTGTGTCCAAGATGCTTTGCTTCCAATCCAACTCTGTGGTCTAGGAAAAGCAGCAGAAGATGGCCCAAGTGTTTAGGGCCCTGCCACGTACAGGGGAGACCTAGATGTAGCCTGACTATAACCTGGTCCAGCCCTGTCCATAAAGGCACATAGGGAGTAAACCAGCAGATGAAATAGTTCTCTCTGTATCTCTCTTTCTGTTTCTACCTCTCTGTAATTCTTCCAAAATAAGGAAATCTTCCTTGAAAATTGGCTGCCAATTTTGACAAAGACCAATTTTTCAGTTCTTTTGCAACTAGTGCTTCCTGTACCCTAGCTAACCTTTATTTAGCCCAAAATTTCAAGGACGTTCTCCTGCATTTTCTTCCAGAAATTTTATGGCTGTGACTTTTACTTTAGATCTATGATTTGTGTCCAATACTTTTTGTGTATGAAGGAAGTACAGGCTGTAATTTAATTTTTTTAAAATGCGGTTTGAGCACCATTTGTTGAGCAGACTATTATTCCGCTATTGAATCCCATTTGCCACCTGACCCAAAAACCCTGTGTATGGTTTCTGGGATCTGTTTTGTTTACACCAACTCAACACTAACCTGATTACTATATCCTTATCTATATTTTATTTATATTAGCATGTACATTTTTATTGACTACATTGTGGTATTTCAACACACGTAAACAGCACATACTGATCAAAACAGAGTGAGTGTCATTTCCATTCCATTACTATTTCCCCTTTTTAAAATATTTGCTTTGCTGGCTTGTTTGTTTTGGAAGGCAGAGAGACAGGTGGAGGGAGGGAGAGAGAAATCTATTTGCTGATTTCCTACCCAAATGCCCGCAACAGCTGGAGCTGTCCCAAGCAGAAGGCAGAAGCCGTGAATTCAGTCTGGGTCTCCCAAGTGGGTGGTAGGGCTCCAAATACTTGAGCCATCACCTGCTGCCTCCCAAAGATGAGCATGAGCAGGAAGTCAGAATCAGAAGCGAAACTGGGACCTGCAGCCACATCCAGTGTGCTGTGCAGACCCGCCAAGCAGAGCATTACCCACAATGCCACACACCTGCCAGATATCCTCATCATTTCTTTGTATTTGGGGAGTGCCAGCTCTTCTCTTCTAGCTCTTCATAAAACATGCAGTAAGTTATGTGAACCACAGTCTTTCATTGTGCTGTGGGACACCAGAACGTCTTCTCTTTCCCCGACCGTGTTCTGGAATGCATTATCCAATCTCCCTCTACCCTACTGCTACTTGCATCATCCCCTTAAGCAGTCTCCAGTAATGACAATGCTACATTCAGATCTATTATTATTATTATTATTATAGATTTCACATATGAGAAAGAACATGCAACATTTGTCTTTTTCTGTGTCTAGTTTTAGCTGCGAAGGGTAGGGTTCTTGTAATTGTTATGACTGAATAGTATTACATTGTGTATCTATCCACATTCAGTTTAGCCTTTCATCACAGGCTTCTAGACTGAACCCTTAAGCTTGGCTATTATGGCTAGTGCTACAGTAAAACATGGGAATGAGCTTTCCTGTTGATGTGTTGATTTCATTTGCTTTGGATGCATGAGTTGACCAGACACTGGCAAGCTGGATCACATGGCAGATCTGTTTTTGGTGTTTTCAAAGAACCTCGATTCTGTTGTTCACAACATCTGTGCTCAGCTACATTGTCACCAACAGTGTACAGTTGTTTCTGTTTCTCCACATCCTACCCAGCTCTTGGTTTTTCTCCTCATCTTTTTCATAACACTCATTCTGGTATCTCATTATTGATTTACCTCTCCCTTATGATGAATGATACTGAGCATGTTTCCCTGTTTGTGGGTCATCCATGTTTCCTCTTTTGAGAAACGTATCATCTGCCCATTTTAGCACTGGATTTTTTGGACATGGCATGATGGCCTAGCGGCTAAAGTCCTCGCCTTGAATGCGCTGGGATCCCATATGGGTGCCACTAGGAGAAAGACCTGTCCTACTATCAACTCAATATCATTGTTCACTATTGCTCTCTTCAGATTTTCTATACGTTCATGATTCAGTGTTGGTAAACTATCAGCATCCAGAAGTGTATTTCTTTTTGTTAGGATGTAGTTGTCCATAATATTTTACAATGATCTGCACTGTCAGTGGTAATATATTTTTCTTTTGTCTATGATTTTGTGTATTTGAGTCTCTTTCATTCTTTCATTCTTTCATTCTTTCATTCTTTCATTCTGCTAGTCATTCTGCAAGTGCCAGGATCCTATGGGGCATCGGTTCATGTTCCAGCTGCTCTATTTCCCATCCAGCTCCCTGCTTGTAGCCTGGGAAAGCAGTGGAGGATAGTCCAAAGCCTTGGGACCCTGCACCCACGTGGGAGACCCGGAAGAAGCTCCTGACTCCTCACTTTAGATTGGCTCAGTTCCAGCCGTTGTGGCCATTGGGAAGTGAATCAGTGGACAGAAGAGCTTTCTCTCTGTTTCTCTTTCTCTGTGTAAATCTGATCTGCCTTTCCCATAAAAATAAGTAAATTCTTTTTAGAAAAACTGTACTGAAGATGCATGCTTGGGTGTCAGTCAGCTCCTATGGCTTTGGCTCTGGTTAGAAACCGCACTGGAGTCACTGACAGCCTCCTGCCTTATAAGCCTGACATAGACATGGGACCCTGCAGCCGTGGTTGGCTGCCAGTGCTCCTGGTCCCTCTCTCTGTGCTGGCAGCCTGGTCTCTACCTGCTGAGTCCCTGTGTCCCCTTGGCTCAGTTTCCACTGCTCTCGCTCAGCTACTCACCTTGTGATACAAGCATCTATATGCTTGTTTGTTTGTTTCTCCATGGAGGGCATCCTCCAAGCACCTCTGCCCGGTCATCTTGATATCTTTCTATAGCTTAGTAGTAACTTGGAAATGGAAGAGTAAGGCTCTTCCAATGTAGTTCTCTTTTTGACTTAATTCTTCGTAAAAATTATTTTGTCTTTTTCTAAGTCCTTTGTCTTTTCATTCACATTTTATAATTTAGGTTATGAATTCCTGCAGGATCTCCTGGGATCTATCAGAGATGCACCGAATCTGAAGATAAATTTGGGGAGAGTTGTCATGTTATCCAAATTGAGTTTGACAACCCAAAGAACATTAGATTCATTTATTAGGCCTTCTTTCATTTACCTCTGAAATGTTTTATAGGTTGCAGAGGAAACTTATTCCTGAATATTTTGTTTTGTTGCAGTGCATATGGCATTTTAATTTTCATATTTTCCAATGTGTTTGTATACACACACACAAACACACACGTGTATGTATAGTGTCTTCACATATAGCAGCCTTGATCACTTCACATACCAGTTGTAGTAAGGTTATTTTTTTTTCTCTAATTGTCTCTGTACAAAAAGGCCTTGTCACTTGTGAATAAAGGCAATCTGACTTCTTTCTATCTGTATGCTTTTTCCGTTTTGTTCTTTCCTCTTGCTTTGTTACACTGGCGAAACTGCCAGCAACGATGTTGAATAGAACTCTAGATGACAGACGTCCTTCCTTTGTTCCAATAATATTTAACTTGTCACCATCAAGTATAATTTTAGCCGTAGGCTTTCCATAAATGTCTTTTTATCAGACTAAAGAAGTTCCCTTCTATTTTTAATGTACTGAGAGCTTTATCATGAATTTGTATTGAGTGTTGCCACACATTTTTCTATACGTATTGAGTGCATAGGACATTGTTCTTATGATCTAAGAATGTGTTGTTCTCCAAAACTGGGTTTTGAATAGTGAGCCAACACTTCGTCACAGAGTATTACCCTATTAAAATAGGGGTGGGCTGTATTTACTCTACTTTGTTGCAGACATTTTTAAGTACATTTATTTCTTCTCTAGGAACCAAAGTTATGCTGGGTTCATCACAAAGGTTTGGTTGTATTCACAACTTGGGTGTTTAGTGCAAAAGCTTGTAGGGACTTGGTGTTTTTCTTCTTTAAAGGTCTTAGAACTCACAAGTAAAACCACAGAGGCCTGGGATTTTTGTGTGTGTATGTGTGCCTGTGGGAAGATTTTTCAATCATAAATTCGATTTATTTCATGGATAGCTATTTTGACTTTCTATGTACTTTATGTCTGCCTTGACAAGATATTTTTCCAATAAATCTGTTTCTTTCTTCTAAGATGTCAGATTTATTGCCATAGCATTGTCCCATTGGTCTCTCACTGTATCTGCTGAATATTTGTAGTATCTGTAATGGTGCCCTTGCTTCCATTTATGGTCTTATAACTTGTGTTTTCTCTGTTTTTTTTTTAAATCAGTTTAGCTAACTGTTATCAATATAATCAACTTTCCAAAACCCAAATTTTAAATTTGTGATTTTTTTTTACTGTTTTCTGTTTCATTGTTGTCTTATTTCATCTTTATTATTTCTTTTCTTCAGTATGCTTGGGGTTTGTTTTTTCTTCTTTCTCTAGCTTCGTCAGGTGGAAGCATTGATCACCGACTTTTTCTTGGTATCATATAGCCATTTTAAGCTATAAATGTTCCTCTTTATGCTGCTTTAACTGCATTCTTCAAATTTTTTAATGTTGTGTACACACTCTCCTTTAATCTAAAATGTTTTCTAATTATTCTTGTGATTTGCCCTCTTGTCCATTGGTTATTGGTAAAAATATTGCTTGATGTCCAATCGTTTGGAGATTTTACCAGATAACTCAGTGGCCTTGGTTTCTAATATAACTTTATGAGAAGAAACATACTCTGTATGACTCCAATTTCAAGATAATTGAGATTTGCTTTGTGAGCAGCCTCGGCTCTATTTCAGTAAGCACCTCCACAGACACTTGAAAAGAACATGTTTTCTTTATTTTGAACGATTTTATTTGTGACGATATGAATGCCACAAAGATCAGGTTGTTTGCATCACTCCAATTCCCCACGTCCCTTACAGAATTTTTGTGTATTTATTCTTTATCAATGATCAAGACAGAAGCATTGCAAAGACTTCCCTATGATTTGGGATGTGCACATTTGAGCTTCTTGCAGTGACCATCACCTTCCAGGCCACACTATGTGATCCAGGGTTAGAATCATACGGAAATATGGGTGCTGGAGTGGAAAACAAGCCCCCAGCTCCTCCCTACTCCCTCTCTGGTCCTGGGACATACAGGTGCCCGCCTGCACCTGCTCATGCCTCCCAGGTCCCTGCCACTCTCAGAGCCCATGGGTGAGGATAGGGTCAGGGGTCCGAGGAACCTATGCCACCTTGATAGCAATGACAAACAGACACATGGAGCATGTCCAGGTTCACCCTCCTGCCCCCACCTCCACCGTCAGAATGCTTTACCTCATGGATCCCAAAGTGGGCATAGGAGTCGAAGTAATAATCTCTCGAGGTCATCTCCTCCGGGTTTAGCAGCTTGGACAGTTTGCCCCTGCCAGGGCAGCTGGGCTGGGTGGACACATGATGGACGCAGGGCACAGGTTTGGGCGGGACCACGGGCTGAGGGGGCTGAGCCGGGGGATTGCTCACCTGCGAGGAAAAAAAGGACCCAGGGTGAATGAAGGCACCGAAGTCCCGCCCTCTCCTCCCCTGAGCCCAATCAGCCCTGAAGGACGCATGATCCCTCCAGACTTTCCGTGTTTGATGGAGAGGTCGCTCACCACCTAGAGGTCCAGGAGAACTGGATTTAACCCAGGCCTAGCTCTTACCCATGGTGGCCTAAGCCAACAAGTTTTCTTATCTAATAATCAAGGAAAATAATATCTTCCCTTACTGGGTGCTAAGATGCCCAGTGGCGAAGGGTGTGCAGTCCAGAGCTGGTCCCCTGAGTTCTAGATCTAGCCTCAGCCACTTACCAGCTGTGCCACTTGGGACACCTAATTCCTCTCTTGGTGTCCATCTCTAAAGTGGGAATAAAGGGGCCCCAGCCTTCTAGAGCTGTCCTGAGGGCTAGACAAACTACTGCTAAGTTAAAGTGCTTGCACAGGCTGAGCTCATGGTAAACGTTTGTTAAACCAAAGTGTTCAGCAAGATCAAGTCCCCCAGCTTCACTCTCCTCCACAGGTAGTGCCATACTCCAATAGGAATGGGTCTCTAAACACTGGCTCCCTGTGGGATCTGCATGTCACACCTGTTACCTTGTACCACTGGCTTTGGATTCATAGTGCCCGCACCTCCTGCGGTACTGTGGCCCACCTCCTGCCTGCACACCATGAAATGTTGGTCCTTCTCACTCCCCTGGTCTTGGCAACCAGCCCAGCGCTACCCCTCTCCTCACCCTCTGCTGCTGTTGCTGCCCACCTTGGTACTCTGCCATCCCAACCACCACAACCCTCCCACTGCACCAGCCTCAGGGAGAGGCAAGAGAAAAGGATGGGATTGAGAGAGCTGCTTTTCCAGGGAGAGCAGGTAGGGCCCAGAAGCTCAAACTACAGGAGCTAGGGAAGACCTCTTCCCACCCCCATCCCCACCTCAGGAGAGTAGGAGACCCCATGTGTCAGGATGGCCCCCACACACAGGGCAGAGGTTTAACAAGCAATTTCCAGACTCGGCCCCACTGCAGCTGGCAGGCGGGATCTCAGATCCTATCAGGGCTCTAGTAGAAGTTAAGCACAGATAATGGGAGGCAGATGGCACAGGAGTTCGTCCCTCGACCCCCAGGGCAAGCCACTCCACCTGAAACTCACTGCATGCCCTTGGAAAGTGATTGTCATCCCAAAAAACTTGCAGGCTGTGTGGATGCATATAGATAAAGACTTTAGAACAGTGCCTGGCTCCAAGCACCTTATTATTACTAATATTAGTACAAGTCATAACCCTGTTCCGTGTCCCTAATTTCCCATCTGCGAGCTGGGTCAGCACAGTCTTAACTGTCTTGATTTCCTGCAAGGGAAAAACAGAAGATTTCAAGGACAAAGCCACAGCAAGAATCCAAGTGAGTGGCACACCCTCCCTCACACTGTGGGCAGGGACCCTAGTCAGGCTGTGTCCAGGACTGGAGCAGAACAAGCCGGCAGAGTGTCACGATCCCTCTTTTCCCAGCGTATCTAGGCTGACGCCTCTGGGATCCAAGCAGACTTCCCAGTTTAGCAACATCACATTTCAGGTCGGCAAGATCCCAGGCTGGCTGGCAAGAGAAGCAAGTGGGGCTGCCTCATTAGAATGCAGCAGGTGTGCCCACCCAGCTTGGGATGTTGGTCACGGTCTCCAGGAGGCTAAAAATAGACTGTGTCAATTGTATGCTCCCTTGCAGGCTGTAGAGTCACCTCTAAAGCTGAAAAGGGCTCTTTGCATACGGCTGACCCCAATATTGACTCTGTTTAAATAGATTAAGGAGAGAAAAACTCTTAGCTGATCCAGGCATCAGACTCAAGTCAAGGTCACTCAGGCCCCCACCAGCCCTGAACTGTCAATCAACCCTGAATCAAAAGTCTTCTTTCCATAGGAGGTTCCCTGAGCTTCATCCCCGTCACACCCCCCAGGCAGCTAACTAAACATCTATGAAAGAGCTGACATTGTGGTGTGGTGGCTTAAGCCACTGCCTGCGACGCCAACATCCCAAATCAGAGTGTCAGTTCAAGCCCTGGCCACTTCAATTCCAACCCCAGCTTCTCGCTGGGGATACCTGAGAGAGCAACCAGAGATGACCCAAGGAAGTGCCTGGGCTCCTGCCACCCACACAGGACACCCGGCTGAAAGACCAGGGCACCTGGCTTCAGCCTGGCCCAGCCATTGCCCTTTATAGTCATCTGGGGAGTGAACCAGTGGAGGGAAGATCTCTCTTTGCCTCTCCCACATAGTCCCTCTCTCTTCCTTTCTCTATCGCTCTACCTTTCAAATAAAAATAAACAAATAAATCTTCAATGCATGCAACGGGGTGAATGGGTTTGGGTAGCCATTTCAGTAGCCACAGATGACAGGATGGAAAGGTGATCCTGGCCCCGTTCCCCATGCCAAAGGTCACCATTCAGGCTTACAGCCTGCTTGTGGCTGGGCAGCTGTGTCCATCTCTCCATGGGTGGCACATGTGGAGGTAGGAACAAGAGTGACCCACGATCCCTGGACATTCAGCTGTGTAAAACATTGTTTCTAATTCCAGCCATGCCCACAGAACGCCTGTGACATTTGGCAGAAACCAAGACGCCAAGGGCTGTGCCCTCTGAGGTTCCTAAAACCGTTAATGGCTCTGAGAGGCACTGTAATAAGGCTGGTTCTACAAAAGAAGTTGGAGCAAATTGTTCCGGGCATTCAAAGGCAACAGCGTTCTGTTCCAGGATCCAGGAACTCCTGGGGTAGCTGGCAGTGAAGCAAGATGTTAGAGCACTGTGAATAGATGTTGGTCAGTGGGGGGTGATGGCACAGACTTCGAGGAGGAAGGGATGGTTGGAATGGAAGGGTGAGGTGGCAAGAAGGCAGCTCCCTCGCTTGGAGCTGGCTTGGCTGAGATGGTGGGGAATCTGGCTGACAAGGAAAGGATGGCCAGGCTAAGAGGTGGTAATTAAATACCAACGATGATGGGGACATGTTGCCGGGTTGTAACCAGGGAGCTCACTGTTTGAGCTCTGCTTTAGGAAGATGAATGTGGTCAAAACAGGGAAGAGAAAGAAGTGGAGGGACCGAAGAAGCATGGGATGCACTTGGGAGGCGAGTTAAAAAGTCCAGCCAAGAAATAATGAGAACCTGGAGTGCCCAAGGGGCTGCCTGCCAGAGAGACTGCAGAAACAGACTAGATAGGGGTTGGCAACTGACAGAATGCAGGGAAAGAGAGGCAAGCCAGAATCAAAGATGACTTCAACACTTCAGGCCTGGGTGAGTAGGAAAATGGTGGTGACATTAACAGAAATCAGCAAGTCAGCAAGAAGAGCAAGTTGGGGGCGGGGAGAAATAATGAATTTCAATCTGGATGTGTGTGATTGGAAATGGCATTGAGTCATATAAGAAAAGATGTCTAGCAAGCAGACAGGAATGCGGCTCCAGCCAATCAAGGCCATAAACACAATCGGAAAGCAAGTGACAAACTGAAAAATGCATCCTGACATAGGAGGAGATGGCGAACAATGCCTTCGACCCTTAATAAGGAAAGAGCTCTTACAAACCAATTTAAAAAAAAAAAAAGATATTTCTAGGACTGGTGTTGTGGACACAGCATAGATCAGCTGCAGCTTGCTGATGTCAGCATCCCATAGGGGCACTGGTTCAAGTCCCAGCTGTTCTACTTCCAATCCAGCTCTCTGCAAATATGCACCTGGGAAAGCAGCAAAAAATGGCTGGACTACTTGGGTCCTTATTACTTATGTGGGAGATCTGGAAGGAGTTCCAAGCTCCAGGCTTTAGCCTGGACCAGCCCCATCCTTGGTGGCCATTTGGGGAGTGAACCAGCAGATGGAAGATATACCCTCTTCTCTCTAACTCTGTCTTTCACTAGAAATCGGGCAAATTAAAATTAAACTACCTATGATTATCAGATAAGATTTTCTTCCTCCCTTTAAAATGACTAAAACTCTTCTGCCTTTATAACATTGCAATAAATAAATAAACACTTTTATATTCTTCTAGTGGATACATAAGTAGATTGAAAATCCTTGGAAGGCAGTTTGGCAAAGCCCACTAGAAGTGTTAAAAAGCACGACTGCTTTAACACAGTAATTACATACTGTTTTATCCTAAGGAGGAGTCATGGATAATCATAAATTCATTGCTGTAAGAATTTCATGGCAATGCTACCCACGCAGGCAAAAACTAAAGAGTTCATTTAAATGCCCCCACAAAGCAATGTTAGTTTAAAAAAATAAAAGCAATGCTATTCACACGTGATAGATGACCAGACAGTCATTAGAAATGTTGAGGACAAAGTGATGAATCGTCAGTTGAGGAGAACACATGGGAGAAGACTAAGTGGTGTGGTCACATTTTCACAGTGAAAACCTATCCACGTTCTGTGATGGGGTGCAGCCAGCTGATGGCTAGCACCCGCTTGGCAGGTTAATTGACAGCAGACATCAGGGAATCCAGGTTTCCACACCCCACCCTTCCCACCTTCTCTTGCATCGTTCAAGCTGATTGACAGAGTGGATGTGGTATGCACCTGGCCCATCCTGCCTCCTATTGTGCTAGATTAGGTTGGTTACCTACAGGAAAACTTTGGGCTCCAGTAGCTCCCTTCCTGCTTCCTGCATTTCATAACTGAATACATGGAAACTTTGTTTCTCAATTTGGTTGAAGGATAAGAGTTTAAAAAAAAAAAAACTGATTTCTGCTATGCAGTGCAGTGGCTCCTAGAGTGTAGTGGGAGCTACTGTTACCAAACTCGGGCAATAAAGACTCCTCCTATCATCCTACACTTGGGTCTAATGTGATCTCTCTCTTTTCTCCGCAACAGTCCAAAGGTGAAGAGAGGAGACCTAGAGAAAGGACCAGTATGGTCAAAGATTGAGGTGAGGCCGGACATCTTGTTGCTAAACCATCTGGGTGGAATGCCAGTAGGATCCAGGAGAAAAGAGGGTAGAGTGAAATGAGAGTGGGCCTGGTCC